GCTTAAATATATATAATATATTTAATATAAATATATATATATATAATATAGAATGTTCAAGACATGATTCAATTTCTACACATCACATAACATCCCAAAAACCTATACTTTAAACTTTTACGAATCCAAAACTTTTTGAAAATGTTGGTCTTTGTACAAAAAGTTGTATCCTGCTGCTATCTCCGGTAGAGGACCTGATATCAATGAGTACAGGATAGGAGAGGTGCGGGGTCAGTGACCTTACATTCCAAAGCCCTGTAAATGACTACTCTCCGGCCTAACCCCCACCACAGCCGAACCAATACGCTATCATCTGCTTACAATTTACACCTATCTTCCCCACCAAGTAGTTCTGCTATACGGTAGAAATAGTGTAAATCTCTGTAGGTTAAAATCCGTGAGAATCTCAAGCTTTTATACACGAACAGACATTTCAAACCAGGTGTTAAAAGAATAGTAATCTTCTCTTCTTATTTGTGCGTTTCCTTTGTAAATGTTTCAATTATCTCATAGTGGGCTATGGTTAAAATACGGAAATAACTCAATCGCTCTTTTAGCGAATTTCCCATAAAGGGAATACTCCCGCCGCAGCAAACCTGCATACGTAGTGAATTTCTATTTACCTGGCTGGATTTCGACTAAAAAAATTCCCTTTAAACTATTAGATTTATTTCATATTTCAATAAAATTAATTTTAATACTTTAATGAGTTTCTTAGGTTTGCTGCTACAAGGGGAGTTAATAGGGTGTTTTTTTTTATTGAAATGTTGAAAGAGTATATTAAATAAATAAAGTTGCCAAATTTGGTAGAAATATATTCATAAAAATCAACAAATATAATTAGTTGGTAAAATTACAAGGTGGTGATCTAACCCCCCCCCTATCACCCCCTTCCTTATCCCCCTTGGTTATTTACCTTCCCTTATTTTGCCATTCAGTTAGTATTTCTACAAATTGATTGTTAAAATTAATGTTCAAATTATCGTTGTGAAATCCATTAAAGTCTTAACTGTGGTACAATATGTATCCTAACCTGACAATTTTCATCTATTTTCCTTTCATATCTGTGCCATCGATTAATATTTCCGTATTACCGGTAGTGGTGTGAAATTATTGTTTCAATCTGTATAATGTAGATGATTCTATGTTAAAAATTAAACAAAAATGACTCCAAATTTATTACGTTTACTAAATTCAAACAGATTTAAAACAGAAAAGATTAGAAATATAAATTTATCTATCCAGTGAATTGCACGAATAATTAAAGAAATTGTTAACCTAATGGTAAAAAGCTGGAATTGCCTCTAATGGTCTAAATATTAAAAATATAAAGTAATGTGGTACCATAACAAGTATTAAAGCAGTTTCAAATTAACTGTATATCAAAATAAATTAAAAGGGCTAGATGTATGTTTATTTGTAACCGCTGGTAATAATACGGCATTTTTCTCTTCCCATACAACAACAATATGAATATTGTTTGATAATTATGCAAGACTTACCAACCCCACCCACCCCTACAACTATTTTTAGAGAAAAATTTCAACTTGTCTGTTTAAAGAATTTTGCAATAGCCTACAGGGTAAAATAGGAGATAATCACCTATACACCTACTAAACAAAATATGAAACCTTTGAGGTTAAAAATTAACCCTAATTTTATCTCGTAAGCACCCATTATTAACCATCCCGAGTCCTGTAAGAGACACATGGTGTATTAAACATCAGTGGTCATTGACCACTGCATGCAATAGTCCGAGGCCCACACTTTCACTCAACCACGGACCCGACAGGTGTCTACGAGTAGAAAGCCGCTGACCAAAGGTTTCTCTTCCATCTGGCTGGCTTTAAAGGATCTTAAAACACCATATCGCAACCGATCTACGATTTATTTTCAATCAAAGCTTGGAAAGGATACACTATATATTTAAGTCCTAATCGCCAAATATCAATTGTGTAGACCGGTCCATGGTATAAAACATGTTAGACACAAGTTTGCATAACTCATAAAAAGGCACATCTTCAAATTATTACCTATTTGAAATGTTTGCATCTAAATATTTAAGAAATTTCTTGATGTAAAAATAAAGTTACTCAGGTATTTAAAGATTTTTTCGATCTTTAAATTTGGTTAAAATAACTGATTACTACCTTTCAAATACCCATTTAACAGATTGAATTTATTCAATCTAACTTCTTTAAGTTATTCCATTAGTTGGATCTCGATCACTTAATTTTAAATTTATTTACAGAGTCATGGAAATCCATGCAAAAACCAGAATTCTGAAAGGGATATTGAATATGGTAACATAATCCTAAGCAGACACACATTGTATTGCCATGGAGGTAGCATCGAGAGTAGAACACAAACTTATCTCTTTATAGAAAAGGATGTTCGTTAGTTTGTACATTTGTATAAATTATATTTGGCAGGGATAAATTATATTTAGCAGGAATAAACTCACATCATTGACACCGCTGGACTGATGGCCACGAAACTTGGTATATAGCCTAGGCTACATCTAGAATTTCATGGAGTAGGTTTATACACCTCATTAATTTTATTGTGATAACACTCAGGGCTCAGCCCTGGGACCGTCTTAAAGGTACCCATGTCAGGGATTTTGAAAGAATTTTAGTTAGATTTGTTACCTAAATCAAAAAATATACGAAAGTAAAATTTAAAACAGGTGATGTAGGCCTACATTTAAGGTATGTTTCGTTCGGCTACTTAATTGTATTTGTTTATAAAGATTTGTTCCTTGATGTTGCCATATGGTTAATAAATTAGACTTTTGCACATATTTTAAATGCAATACACTACCGTACCGGTAACTTATATAAAATGCTGGTAATCTATGTAAAAAACTCAGGTAGGTATGTTAAGTTTATCCTTTAAGCGTTACCATGTACCATAGATAAAACATACTCCCTTAGTAGATTTTCCCATCCTTATGGAACACCTGAAGCCAATTTTACTGGTAGTTCTATCTGGTGTACTACAGAGTCGTGTTTTGTTTACAATTCGTTTCTTGCTATTTCAGTAATTTAAAAGCTTGTTTATCCAAATAAAACGATCTAATCATAAACAATAACTTGTCCACTAGGTACATACCGGTAACCAAACAGTGAGGCACTAATCATGAGAAACTAAGTTAACTCTAAAATAATAGAAACAAAATGCAGACAAAACACAACATCTACGGTACAGCGGACAGAACTAACAATAAAATTGGCTTCAGCTGTTCTATTTAAGGATGGGAAATCTAACTAAGGCGTATGATTTATCTATGCATGTACTATTGGATACTGTAGACTTCCCATCTATATGAACTAGCTGTAGCAATTTTTTTTATTAAAAAAGAATGTAGTTGTGTGAGCCAGTCACAGAATGTTTTAGCGTGTAAAATTATATTTTATAACCTTATTTTTGGTTGCTGAACAGGTTGATGGGTCATAACAGTTGCTATAATAGGCTAGCTCACCATAAGTCATTCCCTAACTTTGTCTTTTTTTGACTTTGTAAAAAATAAGTAACAAATTTAACATGGGGATGGAATGAAATCTATTAGTTAAAGGTTACTATTGACTATCCGGATAAATACTGAAGAATTGCCAAACCAGCCATCCGATTGTGATGAAACTTTGGGAAGTTGCTCTACCTATACCGATACAGTAAGTTATGTGTCCAGTGATGTTTGTGTGAAATAGGCCTACAATTTTGAAATACATTTCTCATACCTTAAGGAGAATGATTTTATTACATTTGAACAGGTAAATAGCCTACTAAATGAATGTACACTATTAATAAGGAAACCACTGGCTTTTTTATAAGAATCAAAGAATCTTGACAATTTTAACTTACCTAACTTATTTCAACAAAATTAATATAAGTTGGGTTATCATAGGATAAGTACCTAGTCAATAGTTTTAGAGTTTAAGTTTTCTGTTGTTGAGTTAACTAGGCTAGCCCATAACTTACCTGTACGAATATTGATTGAAACTATTGATTCGATTAGTAAACTTTCATGCGATTTTTGCACCAGTTTGGTTGGTTAGGTTATGAAATTAGCCTAGTTAAATTTTAGGCTGCACTTTACTTTAGGTCCTACACTCTTTCGAATAAAAATTTTGATCGATATATCGATTGTTTCATTCTAAACTAACCAAACGATATATCGAATGAAACAATCGAATAATCAATATTTTCATTCAAATGAGTGTAGCCTAGGACCTAAAGTAAAGTGCAGCCAAATTTTATAATAGATATTTAAAATATCGATTAAGTTATCAAGTAATATTTTCACTTCGATAGTTTCAATCGATAGCATATAGGCCTAGCCCAGTTAAGAAACTGTACCCAAGCGGTAACTTACTGTATCTGAATCATAGACACTATCAATAAGTTTGTGTTAAACTTAATGTTTGTTTTGTTAACATTCATAGAATAAGGTCTATGACTTGGTTTCATTTAGGCTATTAAACATCAACTAAAAGATAAGTTGTAGGCCTAGGCCTCTACGCAATAAACAGATCATAAAACTTTAAAAAAGTTAACTTCTAGGTAAACTTAACTCAGCTCAATTTGATGTTCACATCGGGAACAAATATTTTAGAAGCGATCCCCTATCGAACCAATTTATAATTGCCAAGTTACCTGTGTAACGATATTCAAACTGATAAGCAGGTTCTCTGTGGAAATATACCTTTTACTAGGCTAACTTGGCTGCACTTTACTTTACCTACACTCAATCGAAAGAAAAAATTGATTATTCGATTGTTTAATTGGATATATCGTTTGGTTAGGTTAGGTTAACCTTACCTAACTAACCAAACGATATATCAAATGAAACAATCGATTAATCGATATATCGATCGATATTGTCATTCAAATGAGTGTAGGAAAGTACTACTGCACTAAAGTACTGCACTAAAGTAAAGTGCAGCCGGCTAACTTACCTCTAGGCCTACCTTAATTTAAAATTGTATCATTTGACTCACCCTATTGCTTTCCAGAGCCTCCGCACTATGTTCCTCTTTCTGGCGAAAACAGTTTGTACACTTTGTTTTGTTGAAGATATTCGGAGCAAATTTTCTACACTCTCCTGATCTTAGTAAGGGGCCTGACATTTTAAGGTAGGTAGTTGAATTATTACAGTTTTGAAGGAGATTAAATGGTGAAAAAATTAATTTTGATCAGAATGTATAAAATTAATTAAAAGAAGCCTTTGGGCTATTTGTTGACTAAGCAACTCAAGCCCAGCATAGGCCTACATAGGTGGTCCACATACACAGCACAGGTAGATAACCCTTCCATTTTCGACCCCAGCACTACCGAGAAACATAACTTAGTTTTAATACTTCATTTCTAATCCCAAGTAGAAAGATACAATCGTGAAATAAGTGTCTAAGCTATAAAACAGCCACAAGATAAATGAACTTAGTTATATCAATTCCAAGGCGCACTAGACACATAGCCTACATGTTTACGATTTCAACCAACAACTAAACTAACCTCAACCTCAACTAGAACTGAGGGAGGCTAGCTTCAGTCAGCAGGGAAGGGGGACAGGACAGGAGGAGAGGAGGCAACTAAGCGAAATTAGAAGGAGTGGAGGGGATTGAGGTTTGGGTTTGATCAGAAGTAGGAGAAAACAAAAACAGGCCCTGAGTTGTAGCGCTTTCGTAACGGGAACCAAGTACAAGAACGGCGATTGTAACAGTCAGCGCATTCTGTTGGTACAACAGTTAAAGCTTCGTCATATCATGCATGACTGTCATCATAGATAAAAAAAACATCGACTCTCTTCCCTCCATAAGTATGTGGGAGCAAAGAGAAGTAAATTATTTTACTCTTCTCTATGCAGGGAGAGCGAGCCTTGGTTGTGGCCATGGGACATTACATACAATGGACTATAACTTAATAGGCGGAGATTAAACACAACACCTAAGTATGTTAAAATTAATGATCTATTTTGTATTAATATCAAGCATTGAGATGGGCCCGTCTTTGATCTGTAAAAAGGAATATACCCATAAACCTGCTTTTTCTCTCTATCGTTGATCATGTGTTGTGTGTGTGTATAGCCTTGAGGAGTATGTTTTATCCACTGAGCTATAATTCTAATAGGAGGTAGCACAGAATGTCAATGATGCATGTCGCCAGCCGCCATGTTTGCGTGAGGTGTGAGTTATAAGAAGCCATGTTATTGGATAAGAAAACTCACTGCTATACCAACCTAGTTATAAGAAGCCATGTTATTGCTATGATAAGAAAACTCACTGCTATACCAACCTAACAAAATCAGCGACACGCTTTTGACAGACTTCTGCCATGGCAGTGCGACCTCCAGTTATAATTTTAGCTCAGTGGTTTTATCCATGGTACTGTATAGCCTTCCTTCCACCATGCCGTATAACCTTAAAGGAGTATGTTTTTGTTTTATCCATAGTATAGCCCTTAAAACTAATCGCTGCACAAACATTTTCCTCAGCTGTGCATACATTCATCCTCGGTCACCTTCCTCAGCCTGTGTATTTGTGTAATATTCAGATCCCATCAATGATGAGGCCCTACCATGGCCACCTATAACTACAGGCCGTGGCCTGGTAGAATTGGCAATGTCGCAAGTAGGGTTCTTTAGTTACAGACTTCCCTACTTAAGATAGCATACACCAATTTTGCTGTACCCGAGGTCACCTTCAGATGGAAGCCAGTGAGCTGTGATGATGTCACAAAGGTGATATTAAACATGAAAAGTGGAAATTCCAAAGACATATATGTTATCAAGTAATTCTGTAAAGTAAGTGGCCCACTGTATAGTGGCCCCACTTACACAGTGCATAAATGTGATTGCTTCACTAGTGGTGCCTACCCTTTGTGTCTGAAATCCTCAAAAAAACAGTACCAATCTTCAAGAAAGGAGACACTAGTTCTCCAGGAAGCTACAGGCTTCTCTGTGATGGTGCATTGTTTTCCAAAATCGTTGAACCAGCATTAAAACACCAGATGAACAAACTTTTTGAGGCAAATTTTCTGTTTTCCAAATTTCAGTTTGGTTTTCGGACAGGGCTGTCTACTGTGGGTGGTCGAAAGCCTGTACAGAAGATTGTACATGGTTTTGAAAACCACTCGCGCACACTTTAACAACTTTATGTGACCTTACCCATGCTTTCGATTGCGTTCCACATGAGATACTCCTCACAAAATTGAGGCATATGGCATTAATGGTGTGGAGCTTAGCCTATTTCAATCTTTTCTAGAAAACCGCTCGCCAGAGAGTTATGTTCAATAATGTCCTCTCTGATGCAGCTCTGATCAAAAGTGGAGTACCGCAGGGTTCGGTACGGTACTGAGCCCATTCTTATTTCTTGTACATGTAAATGATTTCTCTTCAATCAAACATAGATGTAAACTCAGTTGTTTTTGCAGATTATACAACCTTTTTTTGTAGTGGTTCCAATGTAAATAGTCTTGTATTGTCAATGAATAATGCTCTAAATGATGCTAACTCTTGGTTCGAAACAAATGGGTTACTTTTGAATGACTCTAAAACTCAGAATATTTTATTCACTCTTGGTAAACCTGATCTTGGGCTTTTAGATGTGGAAAAAATGTAAAACTGTTGGGAATCTGGCTTGATTATTCTCTTCTCTCACTTGGTCTTCCCATATTGAATCCCTGTGTGTTAGGCTCAATAGGGCAATTAATCTTTTAAGAAAACTTAGAAATCTTGTTCCTAAGCCATATCTTATTATGTTTTTTTATGCCATCTTGAGTTATGGCCTATTATTGTGGGGTAATGGAGCAGATGTGAAAAAAACTTCTTGTGCTACAGAAAAATGCCGATGATTGTAAGTGGTGCGCCCTTGCATGCACATTGCAAGCCTCTGTTTCAGTCTGAACAAATACTGACTATTGTAAATATGAAATAAATATGTATATTTTTGTCTGCTTGGTACAAGTTAAAACAAAACTAGATATGTGTGTAGAAGCTCGGTGCACTTACATGTGACCAGAAACAGTAATTTGCTAGATGTACCTTTTGTGAGACTGTCCAAATCAAAAAAGTGGTTTAGCTATGTAGGACTATCATTGTTTAATAAACTTCCTAGCACAGCACGAAATGTTAGTATGAGTAGGTTTAAGTATGTTTTGCATGAGTGGCTTGCTCAAAGGCCCTTTTACAGCCTAGAGGGGTATTTTTAGGAAAATGTTAGTAGCATGGCATTTTGACATGCCAACTTTACTCAATGCCGATCAGCCGATCTGTTTGAATATTTTTGACCTTACTGTCATTGTTTCTGATAGGCTCAATTGTTGCATAGATAGATTTTTTATTATAGCGAATTTCCCATATAGGGAATAAGCTATTACCGTAGTACTCATGGTAAGACCTGGACGCGGGACCGATTTTTTTTTCGTTCTGAGGTCCCTAGAGGCCAAAAACACCATCCGTTCAAATTCATATATATATATATATATATATATATATATATATGTGTGTGTGTGTCCGTCAGCACGATAACTCGAGCAAAAACGATCCGATTTTGATCAAATTTGGTACAAATGTGTAAACGTACGTTTATTCGAACGAGTTCGCGATCCAGCATGATCGGACCATGGGAACGGGGGTTTACGGGGGGTTTTATGGGGTAAAAATAGGTGTTTCCCATTTTTGACCCAAAAAACATAAAATTTAGCAATTTCTTTCCAAACCATTTTGTAGAGCTTAAAAAAACAAATAATTTAGTATATTGAAGCGTTATTATGCGCCTAATGGTTACGGAGAAAATTCAAAAAAATTGTAAATTTAAAATTCCTATGTTATTTTTATGGAGAATAAGTAAACTGTTGTAGTTTGCTTGTTTGTGAACATATTTTGATCAAATTTGGAAAATGTTTTCATTTCTTACTAACTATTCACATTTTACAAAAAAAAACAAAAAAAAACAGTTTTACCCTCCCTGATGCAGCAAACCTAAGTACTTGTTAAACTAATTCTATTTAAATCAAGAATAAATGTTATATTTTTAAGTAGACATTTCAGTGTAAATCTAATCAGTCAAATGGAAATTCGCTTAGTCTGCAGGTTTGCTGCGGCGGGGGTATTTTATCTATTGTGACTGCCCAGACAAATTTTTGTTATTTAACAATTATTTATGTTTTATCTAGGCTAGTTTTTTTTCTTGGTTGAACTTGTAACCTCATTGTTGACTTTGTCATATGCATAGTGTACACCTTGCAATTACGACAATAAAAAGTTTCTGATTTCTGGAGATTATGATTTTCTACAAATCCTCGTGCCTTTTGGAGTCATGTAAAATCTACCGCGGGAATACCTTTGCATGCATCTCTTGGACAAATATTTTACCGACGATTTTTATTTTTATAACAAATATTTGTTTGCAATAATCTGTTCTTTTACTAGAACATTAAGTAATTTCATAACAATAATTTTTAACACAAGTTAGTATCACCTCATCGAGTACACTAAACATACACAACAAAACATTAAAATGAAAATGAACTAAAAACTATTTGGAAGGTCGATTTCAAAAGGTGAGAGAGGACCCCGAAAGCATACAATCTTCATTGTTGCGTTTTGGCTGTGATCTGCTAGCTGAGCCTTTGAATTATTATTCAATCAATCGAAGGCATGTTTTGTTCAAATGTTGTGGTACGGTAATCATTTTATCAAGAGTAAAAAATAATAAAAAAAATACTGTTTTTAAAGGAATATTTAGTTAATAGGCTAAGGTTAATTCTACAGGGTTTCTTCATTTTTAGCTAATTCCCCCGCGTAGGTGGCACGGTAAGACCTAGGCCCGGGACCGATTTACTTTTTCATTTTGATGTTCCTAGAGGCCAAAAACACTATTCGTTTAAATTTATATATATACATACGTCCGTGAACGCGATAACTTGAGTAATTTTTGTCCGTTTTTGATGATATTTGGTTTAAAGGTGTAAGGCGGGATAACCTTGAATGAGTTCGTTAACCAGCATAATCGGAACTGGGTTTTACTGGGTGGTTTATGGGGTAAAAATGGTTTTTCTCATTTTGACCCTCCAAACACAAAATATATTAATTTTTCTTTGGACCTTTAAAAAACCAAATTATTTAGTATATCAAAAGAGTTTTTACGGTTATTAGTAACGGAGAAAATTCAACAAATTGTATATTTTAAATTCCCATTTATTTATTTGTAAACGGTTGCACCATTTTTACATGAAAAATACAATAATCTTACATACAGAAGAAGCAGAAAAAAATCACAGGCCAGTACAAAAGTAGTGAAAAAAACTGGAAAACAAGACTTCAATAACAAGACATAAAAAGATAAATAACAACTATAAATAACAAACTATAAATAACAAACTATAAGTAACAACTATAAATAACAAACTATCTGAACAAGTTGACAAAACAAGAGATTCGGAAAACAAAACCAGTATGGGAACAACCAATAATGATGCAATGCAGTAGTCGACTGAAAACTTCAGTAAAGAGGCAGAACAAACTTCATTAAAAACAGATAAAACTTGCAGAAAAATAACACTATGATAAACTCTGTACAAGAACAAGATGCAACAATAACAACAGGATTTTACCCATGTTATTCTTATGGAGAATATTGTAAAACGTTGTAGTTAGCTTGTTTTATAAATATATTATTTTGATCAAACTTGGCAAATTTATTTATTTTATACTAAGCTATTAGTATTTTACTAAAACGCACACTTTATTAGTTTCCTTGTAACAGCAAACCTAGGTACTCGTTAAACATAATGTTATTTAAATAGATTTGAAAATTTAATTCAGACAAATGGAAATTCGCTTAGTCGGCAGGACTGCTGTGGCGGGGGTATTTTAAGTAAAATGCGATATTTATCTTTATTTTAACAGGTCAGTTGATTATGCTTAGTTTTAGTTACTTTAGCCCCATAACTTTTTTGTGTTTTTGGCAATAATAGATTCTGATAACATGCGCGTTAGTTTGAGTTTGTTTTGTAGATAGTATGACTTTATTAGCTTTGCCTGCCCAATGGTTGTAAACGGAAGTGAATTCATATTGTCAAGGCGGCGCGGAGCGAAAAGTACTAAAAGTAGTACTCGCTCCCGTTCATCGTTCATGTCGTTTTCTGTTACTGCAACAAATCAGCGAGGGCAAAGTGGCATGGCGACATTGTGAATTAGTTATTTATGTGAATAGCTATTTGGAAATTTAGTGTCATACTCGCATTACCAGCTATCCAACAAGAGTTTAGAGTACTTAACCATCATGGGAGCTTATCTATCTGAGCCGAAAACCACAAAAGACAGTAGTGATCACGAAGGAGAGGGAGTTAGATGCGGCGCCAGTTCAATGCAGGGATGGCGAATATCACAAGAAGTAAGTACTGGCGTTTCTTACCAACGTCTTCTTTTCATAATAACAAACTATGTTCATATGCCTATACAGTTTTTTTCATTCACGGTGATATAACTTAAATCTATTGTATCGAGGAAAAAAATATATGTGGGTGATGTGACCTTTAGTTAGCCTAGGCTAGGGGTAGATATTGCTTAGGGGTGCTTCCAAACGATTTTTTAAATTTTGATTTCATAGGCTACTTTCAAATTTGTAGTAATTTCCTACCGAATACAAATATACCATGTTTACCACAGATGAGTGTTACTGAAGACATTGCCATTGCATTTAAACAAGGTAGGCTATGAGGATGACATTTAACTTAAGTTAAGTTACAAGTGGAATGAACATTACAGGTGATCAAAAGCAATCAACTTGAAGTAACAACTTTATTAACTAACTCGTGTCATTGGCAATAGGCTTAACGACATCACTTAACTAACTTAAGAATTTAGTTAACTTAGCCTAACCTACAATACGCAAACAAACCCAAGTTACTGTTCTGATAGTCTGCTATGTTAAGTTCATATTAACTTAAGTGAAGCCTAGTAAACATAGGCCTAGATGATGAGACGAAAACATTGTTCCGTTTTTAAACCTACGAGTGGTGAATCAACAAAAAATGTTGATCTCAAATTGTGGTGCTGAAGTGGCAGCTGACAAAATTTGTCAATTAATGTTCTAACATTTTTCCCTGTTGCATGTTACGCACAGTTAACCCTCTGAGTGTCCCTTGTTTTGGCCTTAATGTCTGCCTATTTTTTGCTCATTTGCAAGGTTTCATTAAAACGTATCTGAGAAGGTTGAAAACAATGTTAATAGGGCCTACTGTTCTATATACCATTTTGTTTGGAAAATCATGGGCTTCAATATTATAGGCTACATAAAACATAAGGAACATTTGTTTCAAAAATTTTTTTTGGGTAAAAAAAAATATTTTGGAAAATGTTTAAAAAAAAATAAGTTTGCGCTCAGTGAAATTGTATAAATTATAGGCCTATAAATATTTGAAAATAGCCACTTTGTTCTAAATTTTATGAGGATTACAAATATATAATAATATAAGGAAGTAGATTTGCAAATAAATAAGTTATGGGCAAAAAACAGATTTCAGTACATAGCGTTTAGCTAAGAATGCATAGCCTAACCATAGCTAGGAATCTGGCTGATAATTTACATCAATATCACTACCTACTTCTTCAGGATCATCAACCAGCCATTCAAAATCACTTAAATCTTCTTATAATGCACCACGTATATCACTACTTTTGATTTTTAACACTAAAACAATGATAAACGTAATGAAACACATCAGTCATCGGTTCAAGGTTAACCAAGCTGTTTACAAATACGCACGTCAGCTGTCTGCTACAATATTTTCGGAACTAAAATGAAAAGCGCTTAGAGACAGACCTCTGGAGAAAGCTCTGAATCTGTAAAATAAAACGATACCTAACTCGATCCAGTTCAATCCGATTTTGTCAGTCATAGAGCCTTCGCCGTAAACAGTGTTTGTGAGTCGCTGCAGCGACACAAAACACTACACAAAGAGTATTATGTGTCGCTGCAGCGACAAATAACACTCGGAGGGCTAACCTACAGTTTGGGGAAATGATATAACTCTGAAATTCGGTACTAATGGTTAAAGACTGCAGTAGGCCTACCCTAAGTGTTTTGAAGTTACAGTAGGCCTACCTTAGGTTGGATTAGGAAGGTAAAAGTTTAGGTTCAAATTAATCAAGTTTTTTAGTTTATGATTGCATTTTTTTTTTTTATAAGTTAGTAGGCTAAAACTTTTTCTCAGGGTTTTACTTAATTGTACAAAAAGTCTGTAGGTAACATAGGTATAAACTGACAACAACTTGATTCAGTAGGCCTAAACCTTAACTTTATTTTACCTAATCTAACCTAGGCCCTACCTTCAAAGGATTTGAGTACCTACCTAATGCAGTCACGAAATTATTGGAAATGTATTGAGAGGGGGTAAGATGGGAGGTCTTAAGTAAGACCTTGAGTGCCTGGAGAAAGTAATTTATGACCGTTTGTTTGCACCCTAATGCCAATAAGTATTGGCCATAAGTATTGTGGTGTCATCGACAAAAATAATACTGTACAGTACATTCCTTTTTTAAGGTTTTCCGGAAAATCGTTCATATACCTATATGATGAAAAGGAGGGGGCCGAGGATGCTTCCTTGGGGAATTCCTTGGGTCATGTCTTGAAGTTTAGATTCTTGGTTTTTAGTTTGATATTGTTTTTTTATGTAGCCTATTTCTACTTGTTGTTTTCCGTTTGTGAGATAACTTTTGATCCATTTTTAGTGCATCCTGTTTTATGTTAAGGGCATTGAATTTGCTTATAGCCTAACTTAAGTGTTTTCCAGTTAGTATAGACTGTCAAATGCTTTTTCTATGTCCAAGTATTTTTTTATACTTGATAGTTTAGGATTGAAAAGGCTTAACTTATTTTGCAGAAAACTCTGAAATTGACGGATATGAAGTTTTGTATTTATTTGGTTTTTATATTAGCAGGGTTCATATCTGTGTAGCAGCAGTCTATACTAGTTTTTTTAGAGTGTGTGATTCTGGTATGGGGCAGTTCTTCTATTCTCAGGTCGAAAGTTGAGCAGTAAGGTCTTTGATGTTGCTTTTGTCCTTGTCGATTATATTTAGGTTTAAAACAATTTGTGTTTCGTGGAACATGTTCTGGTCAACCCGCAACGTGATTCATCCGATTATGATTAATCAGGAGTTAACTTTAAAATACCCCGCCGCAGCAAACCTGCCGTCTAAGCGAATTTCCATTTGGACGAATTGATTTTCAATTTATCTATTTAAATAACATTAGGTTTAACGAGTACCTAGGTTTGCTGCTACAAGGAAACTAATAAAGTAGTGTGTTTTTAGTAAAATATTGATAGCTTACTATAAAATAAATAAATTTGCCAAGTTTGATCAAAATATATCCATAAACAAGCAAACTACAACATTTTACAATATTCTCCATAAGAATAACATGGGAATTTTAAATTTACCATTTTTTTAGTTTTCTCCGTAACCAATAACCGTACAAAAACACTTTGATATACTGAATTGTTTGTTTTTTTAAGCTCTTTAAGAAGGTTTAGAGAAAAATTGGGAAATTTTGTGTTTTGAGGGTAAAAAGTGAGAAAAACCTATTTTTACCCCATAAAACCCCCCATAAAACCCTGTTCCCATGGTCCGATCATGCTGGATCGCGAACTCATTCAAGTTTATCCCGCCTTACACCTTCAAACCAAATTTCATCAAAATCGGATAAAAATTACTCAAGTTATCGTGTTCACGGACACATATATATATATATAAATCTATATATATATATATATCTATATATATATATATATACATATATAAAAATTTGAACGAATGGTGTTTTTGGCCTCTGGGGACATTAAAATGAAAAAGTAAATCGGTCCCGGGCCTAAGTCTTACCATGAGACCTACGGTAATAGCTACTTCCCTATAGGGAAATTCGCTAAAAGTGTATAAGCAGGTAAAATTGATACCTAGCCTAAACAACAACAGTAGTTTTGCAGCATTTTTGAACTTAGGCAAAATTTGTTAGGTTATCCATCGATTTACCCTCTGCTAGCCAACCTTTAAATCCTTGTTTGATTTGATCTAAATCCTTGTTTTGTTTTGTTTCAGGATGCCCACAACTGCATTCTGGATTTTGACAAAGATTCTTCTTTGTTCGCCGTTTATGATGGACACGGAGGCCATGAAGTGGCTGAATATTGTTCTAAATTTTTACCAGATTTTATAAAGAAAACGGAAGCTTATACAAAGGGAGAATATGAGCAAGCTCTTAAAGACGCTTTTCTGGGATTTGATGCCACTCTTGCCACTCAAGAAGTAATAGAAGTTTTAAAAAAGATTGCAAGTGGAAAAGATGGAGACAAATCTGGTGTTGATGAAGGTAAGGCCATAGATCAAACATACTCCCTTAGTAGATTAGTCATCCTAATGGAACAGCTGAAGCCAATTTTATTGTTAGTTCTGTACGTCCAACTATAGAGGTTATGTTTTGTTTACAATTTGTTTCTTGTTATTGCAGTCATTTAAAACCTCGTTTAACCTAATAAAACGATGTAATCATAAACAATAACTGGTCTCCTAGTTATACAACCAAATAGTAAAGCACAAATCATGAAAATAACCCTAAAATAATAGAAACAAAATGTTGTCTACACTAGCGATCAGTGTGGACGTACATGAACTAGACGCAAAAAACAAGCTTCAAAATTTACAATAGGATGAGGAGTCTACTTGTGTTGCTTAGTCTATGGTAAGGCATACTGATCTGATCTACTGTAGATATACTGTACATTTTAGTTTCTATATAGATTTTAGGCTACTTTATGAGTTGAAATATATCATGCCTACCTATTTTTTTTTTGTAAGTTTATAATTTATTGATGCTGACGTAACCTCAATTAATTTTATTCCGCATAGCATGACGTCTTGTTTTGTATTTAACTTAGGATATGATCCTAATGCAGTAGTTTATTTGCCTACAGGTTGGCCTAAATGTTAACTTAGATTACATTAAATTTAAATATTCTTTCTCCGTTAAAAAAGATCCGATAACTTATTAACATGTTCTATAAGCTGAGGGGATTGTAAAAAATGTGTAATAAGTCACCTAATGAAGTTGCAACAATATTAGATAGGCACCTAGTCTATTATTAGTCCAATACATCAAAACCTAACTTCCAAAAAGTATGCTATGAACTAAGAAAGGCTGCCTTCTATTAATTGTTGTTAAAATGTAATTTGTTCAAAAATAGTGGAGTAGAAGTACCTATTAACCACAATTATAAATTTGAGATGTTTTATTTCAGAGGACAGCTCAGATTCTGAGGAGGAAGAGGCGATTGACAATTTAGTGCAAGAGGCCTCGATACCGTTAGATGAAGTCATGGCCAAGTACCGCAATCTTGGATACATCACAAATATAAATTTAAGACGTTTTATTTCAGAGGACGGCTCAGAGTCTGAGGAGGAAGAGGCGATTGACAATTTGGTGCAAGAGGCCTCGATGCCATTAGACGAAGTCATGGCCAAGTACCGCAATCTTGGACCCCTTGGGCGACTGAAGGGAGAGGGTAAACCTCCTGTATCTCCCATGCTCAGGGCTCGTCGAGCTGGTCCTTCCTCTAGCGGAGCCGGCTCTTCTAAAGGTACTGACATCTTTAGCTAACTAAAGAACAAATAAGTCTTAGTTCTGGGGTTAATAGGCAGAACAGTAAAAGATCATAAACATAAGACTGATAATTTGTTTAATATTGGATGTCTTGACAGAGAACTGGAGTGATATCCAGTGTTGCCAATCGTGGCCACCATAAAAAAGGACTTTGAATCTTAAGTTTTCTGAATTCATACTTAAAAGGAAACTACATAATAACATCATTAGCTGAGAATTAATCTTAAATTTATTTTCTTAGATTGAGATTTTTTGTATTTTTGGCTCTTCTGTAATATACTAGTAGGCTAGTTCCCACCTTCTCATAAAAAAACTGTTGCATTGGTGGTGAAACAGAAATAAAAATAACACGATGTCTATGGGTTTCTCTAGGTTGTCATGACATCAAACTGCCTGTGTCCATTCATCCTTTTAAGGGGTTTTGGTTGTGCGCTTGACAGCCTCTTGACTTTTCTTTAAAATATTATATATTAAATTTTGCTTTTTTAAGAAATTTACTGTTTGTTCCATATAGAACAAAATTTGTTCCAAAATTTATTTGCTGAGGAGAAAGGTAATTCCCTTATATTGACTGGGCTGGTAAATCTAAAGCTCTCTTGGTCTAAAGCGCTAAGTGCAGACTTTAAAACCAAGGCATGATGTTGGTTGCATCCTGCTTATCTGTATCGTACTGTTGGGTTATCCATTTCTTTCCTTTGCTTTATTTGTCCTTTGTCAAGGCCTTTGAGGCCCATGTGTGGCCTTTACAAACCTCATTTTACAATAAATTATTGAGTGATTTTTTTCCAACATCTTAAAAAATTTAATTATCTGTAACCCCTGTCGATTTCTCTCTCAGGTGATGGTGAGGTAAGCAGCTCGTCTAGCGGCAGCCAGGCAACATCAGGTCTGTGCAACGGAGATGCTCATGTCAACGGAGAAGTAGCAGAGGCCGGAGAAGTGGCAGAAGCAGGAGAAGAAGAGTTAAAGTCTGAAGCAGAGGTGAAGGTGGATAGTAGCGATAAGTCTGACACAAAGGCTGTCAAAAAGGTTAGTGCGGAAGTGACTGAAAGTGAGAAGGTGTCTCGGACAGAGCCAGATAGTTCAGGAATTAGCAACGGTGAAACTCACAATGTGTCTAGTTCCTCAGAGAAAGGCGCTGGCACGACGAACGAAGCTATCAGTAGCACAAGCCCGCCAAAAAAGAAAGTGTCTTCTGCTGATATCTATAAATCTCTGCTCCAAGAAGATTCCGATTCAGAAGAGGAAGACGAGACATTTACAGCTGATGCCGTGAGGTAAGTTCACAAGCTTGATAAATATCATGTTTTAGTGCTAAATTGTTTGTTATACTCCGTTCATAAAATTTAGGTTGGTATTAGGGAAGATGTCTATCCCCTCCACTTGATCCTACGTTTTAAACAGTAGCTTAACAGCTGTGGTTTACCAAAATGTTAATCAACTGCAAACATTAAGAAAAAACTAGTGGTAGGGAATCTTCCCCCAAACAGCTTAAATTTGGTGAACTATGGAGTCGGCTATAGTTATCCAATTTGTCCATAGTTCAATATTTCCTGTTTTGTTGGCAAAATCTTGGATGATGGAGGTACCGGTACTGCTGGTTTTGTGATAAAAATGAAGGGGTTTTGTCTCGCTGGCAAGGCTAAATAAGTTGTAGTTTCAGTTTGCTTTGATAAGATAAATACCTCAACCCAGAGGTTTGTACGCTTCTCCAGCAAACTAAGGATATGTTTTACGTGTAGAGGGTTGTCTTTAGTTGATTAAAAATCCCCCTTGAACAAACCCATAAATAATTAATTACATTTTTTACCATGGACAATTTAGGAAGTATCATATTTTAAGAAAAATTGCCTTACTATGTCTGATTTTTTGTGAAATTATTTCAGTGAGGATGACTCTGATGATGAAGTTGCCAATGAAGCTGAAGATGACGATGAAGAAGATTCGTCTATTGATGACGAAGAGGATGAAGACGATGATGAGGAAATGGAATGTCATGGTTTGGATGACGTCAAAGAAGAGGTAACTAACCTAACATGTTGTTAAATTATGTGAAACCTTCAAATACACTTTATACAGTTCCTACTGTTCCTAATTATTGTGTCCTTGAGGTTATTATTGTGGGAAATTAATATTTTTAAGCTTGATAGTACGGTTAGAAGTTCTAGTTTGAAACATTTGGTCAATCATAGTAATAACCTTATATAAGCCCTGTTGAGTTTTTAAAAATTTATTTGAGATTTTAAGGTCAGTTAAAAACTAGCCTATGTTAATTTATTGTTGTCTTCATTCCCTTAAGGAGTTGTAACTTTTTCAAAATTAAATATTTTTTAAGTTTGAAAGGGCTGTATTAAAAGGCTTTTAGTAAATACTTTGTTGAAATTTCTTGATTTTGCCTTTAAATTGCTGTATGTCATTCAATAGATGCAAATAGACTTGATCGTAAATATTATTATTTCAGCCTGGCTTGGACAGCGGATGCACTGCAGTAGTTGCACTACTGGTGGGCTCACAGCTGTATGTTGCCAACGCTGGAGACTCAAGGTGTGTGGTCAGCCGCGAAGGCAAAGCTTTCGAGATGAGCAGCGATCACAAGCCTGAGGATGAGCCAGAGAGAGAGAGGATAGAGAATGCAGGAGGCAAAGTCACCAACGACGGTAGAGTCAACGGTGGACTCAATTTGTCAAGGGCAATAGGTCAGTATAAACACAGCTACACCTAAATTAGGGGTGAGCTCCCTATCTGTTTCTACTGAACAGAATATTGGTAGATTATCTAATGTAGACCTACTAAATTTGAAAATTAGTACAGTAGAGTCACAATCATCCAATCTACGGCTACCTAACCTGTGTCACCCAATTCTTCCAATAGATGACCGATTACCGTGAAGTCGTTGGCTTACCGTCTGTAAATGACTTCTACAGTCACGACAAAACCGCAAACATCACTCATGATAGTGGCGAAATCTTAAATTTGATCTAGGTCTGCTAAACTGTCAGTTTTTTTTTGTCCTAGGACGTTAGGCACGAGCCCGGAATCGTTTTCACATTATTGTAGGTCTAACTTTCAAACCAAAAACAATTTCAAAATGTATACAAATTTACGAGAGAATAAGCCCAGAGTACCTATATGTGGGATTTCTAGTCAATTGTTGGACCTAAGGTAATTAATTTTTTGTATTGTTGCAAGAAGTTAATAATCGGTGTTCATTACTAGGTGACCACTCGTATAAGCAAGTAGCGCTGCTGCCTCCTCAGAAGCAGATGATCACAGCTCTGCCAGACGTGAGGACGCTCTCCGTGGACCCTACGAAGGATGATTTCATGGTGTTGGCCTGCGACGGCATCTGGAACTCCATGACCAGTCAGGAGGTAGTGGACTTTGTTAAGGACAAATTAGAGCAAGGCACCAAGCGGCTCAGTCAGATCTGTGAAGAGGTTAGTTGCACATGTTCATTTTTAATTAGTAAATGACCTTACTACTGTACAGTAGACTCCCTCTTATCCGGACACATTTTAACCGGACTACACTCAGTGGAAATGACATCTCTTTAACTGGAACTTTTTCTATCAGCACATTGGTTTAACCGTTTAGATCGGCAGGAAGTGGGTGGTGCTGAAACGACTGTTCTCGTGGGAAATATTTGAGACCAGTGATCACGTGTAAAAATACAATGCTCTCCTAAATTTAAGTCTAATATCACAGTAAACGGTCCGATTTAACAAGTTTTTGGGGACGTCTGTTTAACCGGAAAACCCGTTATCCAGACTGGCTTCGGTCCCGAGGAGTCCGGATAAGAGGGAGTCTACTGTAGTTGTAGGTTTGTAAAATAGTTTCTGTAACCGATTTGCAACTAGTTGGAGTTTGGATGAGTTGGACTTTCACAAGTTCAATCAATCCATCTATGCTGCAATTACATATGTGTGTTTAGCATAAGCTCTCTGAACCTTATCAACCTCTGATTCTAGTAACATTAGAAAAATATGAAAAATAGATGGCAAATATGACCATCAAAATGTTAATAAATGATGGTTTTCACAGCTGTTTGACAAATGCCTGGCTCACAATACAGCCGGAGACGGGACAGGCTGTGATAACATGACTTGTGTCATTGTAAAGTTCAACTCTGCACAAAAAACAGAAGCCTCCGCCGGGAAAAGAACTGCCGAGGACCACGAGGAAGAACCTACCTCCAAGAAGAGCAAGGTGGAAGAGCAAGTATCACAAACGGAAACCTCCTCCTAAACTGGGAATTTCATTTTTTAAGTCTGATGGTGGCAAATTTCAATTAATTGTTAAAGGTAGGTCTGAAAGAGATGTCATTTTGCCAATTCAAAAATGCGTAGCATAATATATTGTTAAGTGGTGTGTAAGTGAAATGTCCACAAAAGAAACATAATTCCAATATATACTAGTCAGATTTCCATTGCTTAAGAGTTCTTGGAGCCTAGACATTCTAACTCTAAAAAAAATAAAAAAAAACCACAAAGAAAATTTATAATCTCACAGTGCACTAGGTATTCAAATTACAATCACTTTGGTATTTGAAAAAAATATTTTTAGATGGTAAGTAACTCTTCAACAGCTCTTTGAAAAAAAAAAAAAAATAACATTGCTCTTATAAATAAATCCAAGATGGCTGGAGGCTTCTATGGACTCCATTGGCAAACAATTAAAAACTACAAAGAAAATTTCTAATCTGACAGTGTTCTAGATATTTAGATTATAATCACTTTGGTGTTTGAAAACATATTTTTTATGATAATTTACTCTTCAGCAGTTTGATGAAATTTTCCAAGATGGTCGCTAGCCTCCAAGGACTCTTAAACTACAAACAATTCTAAACAAGCTTTAAGTTGTAGGTGTGTAATTTCTTGTATCCTATGTAGTATTGTGTTTTGAAAATAGTGCTAAGTGAAAAAAAAACTTTATATTGTAATGTTGATTCTTAGTCTCAATTTTGTTGATACCACTAAATTTCTAACAATGGGTTGTTTTGTATTTTCCTTGTGTCAGTGTGTCTGAATGGTTCAGCTAAGTGTAAAATGTTGTTACTTTATTGTTGCTGGAACAGTAGGCCTATTAAAAAAATTAGTTAGTTTGGGACTTCTTGTTTCTTCAAACTTTTAAGATTTAGTCTTCATTGTCAAGAATTTATTTATTTGGTTCTACGTTTAGATCTTACTTGTATGGATGAGCTGGTATAAGCATAATTCTGTCTCGTATGTATTATCACCTATAGTCAGATGATTGCATAAACTGATTAAACTACTGAATACAGTAAGACGGTTCTTATGGATATATTTCAATTAATTGTGCTAAGTATTAGTGATGTTGATGTATTAAGGACTTATTCTATATTTATTTATTCATTTGTTTAGTCGTTAAAACATCAATAGTTGTAGTAATAGAATAAGTTAGGATCATTAAAATGATTTCGTTTCGATTGTGCTCCGTTAAAAAAAATCAAAGCAGGTGATGTATTGTCGCTTTTGTGGACATTTTCCCGTGGCCTTACGGTTTGATGCTTACAGACTTTCTGTTCCGAAACATAACCACGTCTACTGTGATATGTGTGGAACCTAATCTCACTTGTAAATATGACTGTGTTAGGTGAACCTGTACACTTAAATGTAATGTATAAGTGAATTTTATAAATATATTTTGTGTAATAAATCGTAAGCTGTCATTTAGCTAAAGACGTACAAATTAATTACTAGAAATTTTTAGAGGTAACCTCACTTATTGCTTCTGTAACTAGGTATCCTAGATTTTTGTACATTTTGCGTTGGGTAATAGTTAGTTACAGTCTGCAATGTTTAGTGGTTATTTTTGCTGTTCATTTAGCGTTAAAAGTTTTCTCACTTTTTTCTAAGAGCACTGAACTCTGTTATTGTTCCTCATGTATTGATTCCTGATACGCAGATAAAAAGTGTTTTAAATCACTGACTGCCCAAATTGTCATATTGAATATTGCGTTCGAATTACAAAATTATCACATATTTTTAAGCAGTTGTTTTATTTTCATCGTATCCTCTATATTTCTGGTTATTCTAATTTATATGCTTTGTAAAGGAAATTGACAGGAAAGTGGAAAACAGGCTTTAAGACCATAGAGACACATAATCATTATAGAAGAAAATTATGTCACTTTTGACTTATTTAAAGTTAAGCAAGCCTGCTTTTTTGTCAATTCCTTGAACAATTCCTGACAAATGCCCTATATTTTAATGAGATAACCTTATATGCTTTATAGCTTGAAGATAGCTTACCCAAACAAAAACTCAAAGAAGTTAAATATTTTATGGGGTTTTCCCCAATTCTAGTTTTATCAAGACAGTTGAATATAAACAAGTTAAATAATATTGATATTTAACTATACCAATTGTATACATTACATAAGCATTCAATTAAAACAAAAGGTAAATTTGTAAGTTGTATTAGGTACTTTATAAAGGTAGCACTATTATTAGACTATTAGATGATGGTTCAGGTAAAAAACCACAATAAAAGAAATAATTGTTTAAAATATAATTTGTAATTAAATCTTAAAACTGAGAAAACATTTTACAACAAATTAATAATAAAACTATTAAAACTAAGAATAAATGCACTCTATAATAATAACAATTAACAATATTATGTACACATAGCTCTGGAATGGAAGACATTTTGATACAAGACACAATAAAATGGAAGACGGTTTTATGTGGAAGACTAAATAGCATCACAGACACTAAAACATAAAATATATCTTAGCCAGCTCTTTAAAGCTAGGCCTACAGCAAATAATTGTAAGATACTTGTAATTAATAACAACACTGGTTCTGGTTATTTTTGAATGTGCAATTTCCAATATTTGATACTCCAAAGCCCTCCTAGAGCTGCTAAAATGGTTTGTAACTTAACTCATTGTTTAAACCAGCATTTTTACTTTGTTTTAAATTAATTTGTTTGCATTGAGAATTAAGTGAAAAACTAGTTGTGCTCTAATACTGTTTCAAATTTTCAAAAGTCGTCCAGACTATAGAAAAAGTTATGTTATACACAATAAACGATCAACAGCAATACTTAGTTTGTAACTACAGTAGACTCTTATTTAAACTTTAATGGGGATTCTCTTATAAAACCTCATAAAATAACGGAAAAAATGGATTTTCTAAAAAATGGCCCGAACGATTTTGATAAAAATTTAGTATGTTATAGTCCTAACAAAATTGTACAAATCCCATTTCCGTATATTTACTCTCACCGCTTACACATGATAAAGGTTGTTGACAAACTTATGGGAGAAAGTATGTGTCAGAATGCTGATACCGTTTATTTTCATTAATGTGCCTATGTATGTGTACATGCACATGAATTTTGTTTTGAAATGTGTTCAATGATAATTGTATTTACATGTGATGGTCTAGACTAGGTATACCCAGACTATCACACAAACAGTCTCCATATTTCCAAACAAGAAGAGTCTAATGTACTTTGTTAGCAAGTTAAGTTTGTATCAATGTGCAAACAGTAATAAATTGTAGTTGCATAGAGAAAACGCATAACTTGTGTTGACAAGCTATTTTCGAACTCCACTGTATTTAGCCTTAGCCATTCATTTCTTTTACCACCTGTCGGAAAATGTTCAAGAATATTTCAGCGTGGTATGGCTGGAAGATAAGAGCGGGTCGGAACCTGATAGCCAAGTCTCCACAACCTCCGGCCTGAACACCTAGGGAAAAAAACGTATGCATAAAAATCTTTCTTAAATAAAACAGCATCAAACAGCAATAAATCAGCGCTCATGTTAGATTTTAACCACCTGGATTGCTTAACTAACTGAATAAACTAACAAAATCTCAAGTTACCTTCAAAAAGGATTCGTTGTATAATTCACTGTGTTTAAGCTAATGGAATTAAGCACAACATTATATTAGAATGTTAAGCTATTAATAATCTCTCATAGTTTTGCATTTAAATTATTTAAGCTAATGTTATTTGATAATTTCCGTTCATCTTGAAGAAGCAAAATAAACTAAAGTGAATCTGAGTCACAATCTGCAGCACAACTGAAACATTGCGTGAGAGACAGATTAGCATCTGTCATTGTTAAAATAAGCAGTTTAAGGTTTATTTACCATGGTCTTCAGTCAAACGGTTCTATCTAGTTGAAGTAACTTAAGCTTTGTATTATCAAGACCCCACTAGGAAAACAGGCCATGCTGCAGCGCAAAACTATGTCACAGTGGTGGATAGTTGTATTAAAATCTTACAGTTAAAATCTGACAAACAGCCAGCTTATTTACCTAAAACATATGGGATATGGCAGTGAATCTATCCACAAGTGTGACGTCATGGATCCTGCAGCATGGCCTATTTTTCTAGTGGGCCTTGGTAGTATATTCACGAGTACATAATCAGTTGATCGATTGACAAGTTTTAAGACCTTTGAGATAAGGTTGTGTTAATTTTTTTGGTTCAATATCAAAACTATTATGACGACATAAACATTAAGACACTACAAAAGCCAACATTTTCTTTTAGCCTGATAGCAATAATGTACTTAGACAACTGCTACTACACAGGATTGTTATGTACCGACATTGTTTTGTAAGTAGTACCCTATTACACTTCCGGCTGATTCAACCCACCTTTCTTCTTGAGTCTAGAAATCATCTCGTCTCGCAGTTTTGACGATGGCGCATTGATGGCAAGGAAAGTTCCTCTTCCTCTTAGAGAGTTGAGTAGGTTGGGAAAGTCCTTTTGTAGTGAGCCGAGTCCGTCCATGAGGACCTTACCCGAAGCATCCACAGTTGCAAGGAGGTTGTCTCGTTTTATCACTTCCAGTATAGCTTCCAGCAACACGACCTTGCCTGTATCTCCCATCCATGTGTTGAACACTCTGTAAGCCTGAGGTGGCCTGGAAGATAGTTCATGAAGTCAAGAATGGTGCATTTTAAATGTCTAAGAAGATAGCTTAAGGATCCAGAAAAGTCATTTGCTTTTTGATGGTTTCAAACTGGAAACTGTGATTATTGTGCAATGATTTTGGCTAAAGAACAGCTGGTCTTAGTCTGTTAGAAGCAGGGTTGCCACCTTAAGGTTAGTTAACCTTAGGTCAGGGAAAAATCGGGTCATTGCTCCCCTCCCTTCCGGATTAACATAGGCTTAAATACGGGCAAAAGGAACCAAAATCGTGACGGGTGGCAACCCTGGTTAGAAGGTCAGCTTGCCTAGTAATCAGAATGTCATTGGTTTGAACCTGAGAAAAGTCAAAATCTTTCAGCGGTTTGAAACTGGACTCGGCAGTCCTTGATCATTGATGGGCTTTTAATAAATGATCCTGTCCAAAGAACCAGACTTAATACACACCCAGGTGTGTTGCTGTAAATATATAATCTACGTTTCACAAATAATCTGATACAACTACACTCATCCTCAACTCAAATTCAGCTTAAAATCCATCTTCATGTTGCTGTCTTGTTCAAAAAAACTTAATGGTCCTACGACTTAATCAAAAGTGTCAAGGGAGACGGAGTGCAATAAAGTTAATTGTAGCTTCATTTAAATTTCAATTGGGTTCACAATCTAACTTAGATAACATTTCGGCCCAGTTGGTTAAGTAATTTTGTGTTCACTCGGAATTAGATTCACAGACTGACAGAAAGAAACCGAAACAACCTCTATCATATGATAATGATCACACCCAAAGTTAAACTTACACAAATTCAGACTTTAAATAGTAACCTCCGAGTTGCATCTTCTTGCTGAAGGTGACTATGTCTGGTGGTGTAGGCAGATTGAAGTGTTCATGACACCAGAACTTTCCAGTGGGACCTCCCCCGGTCTGTACTTCGTCTATCAGGAAACCTGCTCCGTTCTGAAATAGAAGAAAGAAAATACAAGAAAAAATATAATGAGCTACCTTGTGTAACTTTGGGTTTCATTGTCAGACCTAAGGTTTGCAGGTGATGCGCTATGGGCCCGAGAGTTAATTGTGCCCCTCTCCAGCTATCCTGTAGGGCAATTGTCTTCTTCCTTGCGCTCCACACAAACCTAAAACTTCTTGTGCCACTGGGTAAGGGGCCCATTGATTAAAGTGGCTTTAAGGAAATAATATGTGTATGCCAATTTTACGAGTAATTTAACATTTTCTTTCTAAAATCAAGCTTTTTATTGTAGTCAAACTTAAGTTAATTTCGAACAAATTCATATTTTTTGTTATCAAAGTAATGCTAACTTAAACTAATCATGTTCCCACAGTCACAAATAGAATGAGAGTTTGAATGCACTAGATCGCATTGACGACAAAACACAAATTAAACAATCAAACCACATACTTTTGCAAGATTTATGTTTATTATTGTCTTGTTCATGGTGATTTTGGCCAAACTAGGTTTAGAGACTGGTGATTCCGATACCGCAAGAGAGCTCACAGATATTACTACAATTAGTTGCAAGTGGCAATCAAAACCGGTAAAAAGTAAATGTTAAAATTCAAAAATGTCAATGATGGACTATTTGAAAAAATCTGTTATCAGAACACCCTCAACCCCCAATTGTTTCACATGATAACTCTCTACTGTACTTAATATTATACTCTCACAATAGCAAATTTCCTTTAAAGGCCTGATGGTTTTACCTCTTTAGCAATGGCTTGAAGTTTCTGGAAGAACTCTGGGGAAGCGTGATGGTCGCCACCCTCAGATTGTATCGGTTCTATCACAATTCCCGCCACGGGCTTACCAGCTTTGTTGTATTTCTCTATCAGTTCAGACACCTACGACAATAAACATTGGGAGAGAGATGCAAATAAATTGTTAAGTAGTAAAAATATACTGTATCTACTTTTGTACTTTCTCCCCCTATACATAGTCGGCTATATGGAGAAAATATGGTGTTTGTCAAAATGTTTTGATTTTGAATTTCAAGTGGATATATCCGTTTTGGTTCCCCTGAACCAAAAAAAAGTAGTTATCGAAGTGATGTCTGGGTTGCATGTGTGTTTGTATCTTTGATTAAAATTCTAGGAACCAATATTTGATGAAATTCAGTATGTGAGTACTATACTTCGATCACAAAATTTATGCGGTTTTAGGGGAAGAAATCAATCCCATTTTAAAATAAGTACACAGGAAAATTTTTTTCCAACAAAAAAGCATTAAATAACGGTGAATGGAGTAGGAAACATAATAGGGAACTAAGAGATATGTTTCAATTACCAAATGTGGTTGCTGAAGAAATAAAAACAGACGTCTGAAATGGACCGGAGGACAGATGAAGGTATAAGAAAACAAATGGAGGGAAAACAAAACAAAAAATTGGGAAAAAGAAGTCCCATTGAATGCCAAAAGAAGAGGTGAAAAGATTATGTAACAAATACATTAAATTATTGAGAGCTGATGCAAAAGATCAGGATCAAAGGATGTAGGCAAGAGGCTGTTAGTTGGTGAGGCAAAATACCTTTTGGGAGTATAAATAAATAAAGAACACATTTCAAAAGAAAGGTCTTTCAGAAGAAAAATATTTGAACAAGCTAACAATCAACATCTTATCATTATCTGTAATTTAAAACAAGCACAGTGTTTCTAACAATTTGTACAGGTCCACTTACTTAAATTAAAGAAGAGTTAGAGGGCCTAGGAATACTTGGAGGAAGACACCAATGGAAGAGGAAGATTTGAAGATGGAGGAAGATTAACATTAGAGTAGTCTACTAACGGATTAAGTCAAGTTACGACTAACATTATTAAAAAGAGACATACCTCAGCAAGACATTTCTCGTCTTCTGCCTTATTCTCTCGAGTGTGTTCTTCCAACGGGTACTTGTACAGTGGGAATGAGGCTATTGGCCAGTCAAACGCAGGCACATCTATCTTGTGAATGTACTTGGAGTGAGTGGTGGATAGGACTCCAAGCGTGCGTCCGTGAAAAGCTCCTGCAATACAAAAACTAACATTTAGAACAGTTTTTCTCTTTGCTGTGAACAGGGGCGGACTGGGTACTCTACTAGGGCGTAAACCTTGACCAGCCCGAAGGCGCCAACCGGGGGGTCTGGGGGGTATGGAATTTTTTAAAAATTATACCTGTAAACTCGCATTTTTAGGCAATCTAGAGGCATTAACAGTGGAAAATCAGAAATCTGATAACTGACACTATTGGTCAATGTTTGGTTTACAAAATTTAGACTATTTACCCACACGACTTGGTGCTATTCTGACAGTAAATACCCTAACAAAAATAAAAATACAAATGATTTTCTTAGGTTCTTTCGTATTATATTTGTGTATTTTCTTTATTTTCCCTTGCATGACTTGGCTGCATGCATACAATATAAATCATTTGCTTCCTGTTTACAACCTGAACTTGCAACTGTTGTATTTTTTGGCACTGTAAATAACAGAAGTTATATATTTTAGATTTCTATGAAATAATTTTAACACAAACAATATGCTTTCACTGTGAACAAAACCAATTTATTGACTTAAACTTTTTTAGCATTACATTAAGTCAAAACTGTAACCCTAAAGTAGGCCTACCTAACCTATTTCTACAAACGAAATAGCCTAGAGAGAACTACGAAGGTATTTTGAGCTGGCTATCTGTAAGTAAAATAGGAAAGTTTACCAAATTAGTGCCATAGTGCATATTGAAATAATTAATTAATAGGCGGTAGCCACATACGGTATTAAAATAATGTTTACTGTTTAACCTTTACTGTGTAATGGTTAAGTTAACAAATACACTGTCACTAAATCTAATTTAAATTTTGTAAAAGTAGTGATTCTACAATACTGCTTTCGTTCATGTTTCCTGTGTAGGTAAATAATATAAAAATAAATTGAAGCTTTCGACACAGAGACACAAATCAGACACTCACTAAAGAGAGACACATTTTAATTGGCAGCTCACACTCTTTATTTATTTATTACATGCACGGCAAACGCTATTTTACAAGAGAGTTGAGTTGACATTGATAAAAATTAAATGTGACTTAAAGTGAAATAGTTATAGTGTGAGCAATAATTAAATATTATAACAAATATGAATAATATTAAATTATCTTCACTAGTTGTTTACCACAGACGACATCGTGACACCGACCGATGTCGGATGCAGTCGCAGTGCAGTTTTTTTTTCGGGTTCGGCGTAAAATGACGCGGGAAGAGGACAGCTGTTTTTAAGTACCTCAGACCACAGAGTAAAGTGCCTTCCACTCGGAGTAGGCCTACACGTACGAGAGAGAAGAGCTGCTTTGCTCTCGCTTATCGACAGTGTCTATTCAGGTCTCACACCCGACTTTATGTTTTGCTATTCACTGCTGAAACTTTTACTCTAAGTTTTTCCTCTTGCTTTCTAAAAACACATCTCGTCTCATTTTTAAATTTTTTTTATGAATTTTTCCTTTAACGAGGGCGCAAATATTGGAATGTTAAGAAGGCGTATCGGCCCACTGGCCGGTGGGCCGGCGGGCCAGTCCGCCCCTGGCTGTGAAGACAGTTATTATCAAGAAAGTTGTTTTCAAGAATCTGGGAAAGCCTTTTTTGTATCACAAAATATCATCCCACTTTTAGTTATGATTGGTGAAAGAGGCAACATTTTGTCATTTTAAATTGAGTTCAACTAAAATAAATACAGTAGAACTCCGATTATCCGAATCAATTGGGACCAGACCCCATTCGGATAATCAAAAATTGGGATAATCGGAGTTTTACCGGGTCAAGGAATTTTAAAGAAAAATCCTCATTTTCGGTACTAAATGAACTTTTAATTAGGTAATAAATTAAATCAGAACATTTTGACAGTTAACAATGCTTATAGTACAAGTGTTCTATATCTGTTATTAAGTTGTGTTAAATAACAATTCTTTTTTTTACTTATTACTACTGTAGCTTTACGTTTTTAAAATTGTTTAAGTAAGCGATTCGGATAATCTGTGATTCGGTTGATTGGAGTTCGCATAATTGGAGTTCTACTGTACATACACAACATAAAATGTTTTCTGTTGAACAAAAAAGGAAAAAAAAAAATAAGAATTTTGATGGGCTTGTGAAAGCATGGATACATTTTATTTCAATCATAACGGAATTAAAATTTGCTTTTAGCAAATTTCCCTATAGGGAAGTAGCTATTACCGTCGGTAGCACGGTAAGACCTAGGCCCAGGACTGATTTACTTTTTCATTTTGATGTCCCCAGAGGCCTAAAACACCAATCGTTTAAATTTGTGTATATATGTACACTGAAACTTTGATAACAATACCCTTGATAATAAGTCATCCTTGAAAACGAGTGTCACTTTTAAATCCTCTAAAATTTATTTTACCCCTAATCACTTGTTATTGCAAACCTCGATAAGAACTTAACCTTCATAACAAGTCTTATTTAATAATCCCCATGAGAGTCTTGTTATCGAGGATCTACTATATATATATATATGTCTGTGAACGCGATAACTTGAGTAATTTTTTATGAAATTTGGCTTGAAGGTGTAAGGCATGATAAACTTGAATTTGCGAACCAGCATAATCGGACCATAGGAACGGGGTTAATCTCTCTGTATTAACCTAAATATCTCTCTGTATCCATTCCTTGCTTCCCTTTCTTCCTATCTTCTTCTTTTTCCATTTTCACCCTAAACTCACCCTTGAAGGACAGCACAGACAGTGGGGGTGCGCCAGGGGTTTGGTTGATCATGCAGGACGACATTTCCTCCTCACTAAAGCTAGTGCTGCCACCTCGCTGTCGCCGCTGGTACCAGATAAACATGTTTTTGTACGCATTCTCGTTAGAACATGATCCGCACATCATGGTTGTTACGTGGCTTAGACCTTTTGGTGCAACCTGCAAAATAAAATTGTATCCAGTGTATGAAGTTGAATACTAAGCAACCAATACTAAGCATATTATATTATAAGAGCTTGTCTCAAAGGTACTGAGTAAGCGACAAAATATTACCCCTAAAACTGAAACTCAGACATATAAATCATTATAAGACCTTATCTTACAAACAACTTTAAAACATGACAATGGGGTGAAAAAAAAACAAATAATAATGAACTTAAAGCTATAAGTAGATCCAGATACTGTGGGCCAAGTGCAAAGCAGAAGGATTACATAGACTGGACAGATTTACAGGAAAAAGGAAAGTGCTTAGTCAAAGAATATTTCACCTAATAACTTAGAAGATAGTCAACCAAAATTAAGATAGTTGACCTATTTAAAAGAATAGTAGAAGTTTACGAGCAGAACGTCTGAAGGCAAAGTGTTGGTGAGGCGAAGTAACATCTCTGGAGCACTTTAAGCCACTGTAGTGGTTATGTAGTTACAGTAGGGTCCACGAGAGTCTGCAGTTGAGGGAGGAGCCTATTTACCACGTGACTTCGAAGGAGCCAATGAGGACAGTGCGGTATCACCAAATTTAATAATACCAGCTGATATGAAAATATTGCTTAGTACATTTTAATTAATGTCAAAAAGTAGTGAACGGGTGATGTTGTAACGTTGCGCTAGTCCAGTCTTGCTATTGGCTGCCACCAACTAACTGTAGTTATGAGTTTGAGAATAATAGGGGTACGATATGGTTACTCACGCTAAGTAGCACATTCTTCAGCTTTGCTGGCCAATCGGCTCCGGGAAACACTCCTAGAGCAGGCCTATTCAGAATTGCCCTCTGAAAAACAATAATTATTTACAAAGTTTATAAAAAAATATACGTTTTAAATCAACAATAATGTTGAAAACAAGATAATTGACATATTTACATTCCAAGAACATTCTCTAATTTTGACCATATTCTGGTTAAATAAGGTAGCATCCTGTGCCATATTTTTTTGATTCCATGCATTTATAAAATGGAATTTTGTTGTTGATTTCCTAAGGACACAGTGTAATATACAACCACTTGTTCAGATCTGTTTGGTTTGCACTTCAGATTATTTGTTCAGCCACCTGCATATGATTGACACACTATCACACATGCATCACTTTGTAAAAAAAGTCAGAACCTGTTTGATTAGTTATTTTTTTGTAAAGATCTTATTGTTGTATTCCTTTATTATTGTTGTTTATTGGAACCTCATAATGTGTGTTTTTAAATGTAGCAATTCATTTATGTTGTAACTTCTGATGATGATTCAGACCTTTTTTAGTTGGGAGGTACAGCGGTATCTTAACAAATTAATGAAAACATGTAGATTCAATTTTATAAAAATTTAAACTAGTATAGACTTCAATTTTATAATAAAAATGCACTTTTTTGCTTGAATGATTACACATTACACAGCCAATGACACAGGATAGGCTTTCAGGCTTTATCATCATTATCACTAATAACGGAATTAAATTTTGCATATTTCAACCAAAGTTTGAGTAAAGAACAAAAGTAGGCGGAGTAGATGATCTGTGTAGCTGTATTATACCAACGATGAGCTGGTTATTTAACCAGCCCATTGATCAAGTAACAGCAGTAATAATAGCCTATTTCCAAAAGTAATCAGGTAACCGATAATTTATCTCAGTGCATGTTGTCTACAACAGGGGGTTTACCTGTCAGAGTTCATTAGTACTTGAGTGAGATTGAAAAACAGGAATAATAATTAATCCAAAGATAAACTCGTGTACACCTTTTATCTATACTATTAATGCCATTTTCAAAGATAAGATTAAACTTCAATTTTTATTTCTACCTTCACAATTTCCTAAAATACTGTTGTATTACAGTTATTTTATTTTTGATGTTGGGTAAGGCTAAATGAAGAAAACCGTGAAAATATAAGCAAGTGCAGGGCTTTTGTTCCTAAATATTGTTACGAAATAAATAACTGTTCTCTTGAGATTTATTTGAAAATGGCTGCATTCTGTTCCAAATTCACTTTGTAGATAGAATATTTAAAAGATGTATTTATTTTTAAACCAAGTTATCGACCAACTTTTTATTTTGAATTCCCCTGAAACTCAGGTTTTTTACCGGTAATTAACAAATAAGTTTCAAAAATAATTAGCCAGCATTTAGGTTAATACTATTTAGCCTGGGGTTGAGTGTCCTTTTATGGTATCATTAACCTGTTTGAATAAACTCTCTCCAGCATGATAGGAATTCACATAATCTTCAACACTGCAAGTTTGATGATGCAGAATTCTTTACAAACATGAACCCATCTTTATCCATCTTACAATTTATCCAGCTCTATAAATGCATTCTATTAATTCTATCTACATTGAAAGGTAAACATGCATCGAGAGCACTGTAAAGAATCATTTTGTCGATAAAATAGTTAGTGTTTATTCTGACTCATTCATTGTTTTTGTCTTAATAGGTTGCATTGTATAAGCCTAAGAAGTTTGCTGACGGCTTAAATTGTACAATTGAGATAATAATATGGTTTCCGATATAAATGTGGGGAAGCGAAATTAAACTCACAAGATTCTCTGGTTTCTGCAGCGCTTTGAAAACATCTGGATGGTTGTAGCCGAGGGGAACTGACGAAATCTGAGTGTAGATGTCCAGCAGAACGTTGCCGTCTACGTCTATCAGGTAGTTGCCGATGGATTTGTCATAGTCTCCAAACAACTGAACAGATCCTGATTGCTGGAACATGATAGAACTGAGTTAATAACCTATGATTACTATTGAGGGCTCATTTTTAGGGGTATTAGTCGAACGGGGTTCAGGGGTCTCTTTTTGTAGAAAATATTCTTAAGTGTTTTAATACGGTAATCTAAAGCAAATTTTTCACACATGATGATGCTGTATATGGTCCTTTTTTATTTTGTTGATCGACAACCCAATTTTCTACAGAGGGAAGGGTTAAGATGGAGAGAAGGGCCAGAGTTTTTGCTTCATAGCTCAGTTCCGGTACCTTACAATTAAGAAATTAGGCACTCCTAAAATTTTTTTATATTGTCTAAAAAAGCTTTACATTAAAATTTGATTGACAACATCACCAACGCACCAAGGTTGGTAGTTTATGGTGAAGAGAACCGATATTCTTATGATTACATGGCAAGCACTAAACCACTCAGCTATCCCTAAGTAAACACATTTTTTGATGTCTTGGGAATGTAAATTCAACTCTTGACAGACTCAGCAGAACAGCTGTGGCGGTTCAAGAACCTTGTCAAGGGGGGGCTACGAGGAGGTTCAGGGGTACAGTAGAGTCCCGCAAACTCGGCACTCGATAACCCGGCAGTCTGGATAACTCGGCCATCACCTGGCTCAGAAAATTAGTGATTTTTTGAGTCCGAGTTAAACATGGACTCAAGCCAGCTCAAAACAAATCATTCACAACTCGTACCAAGGATTTGTTGTACTATATCTGATTACTTGTTACTGACTTGTAAAATAAATATAAATAAAAAAGGTGATTAAAAAGCTTAAAAATTGTATTGTTCTTATTTTTAACCCTACTGATAACCCGGCATTTCACAAATTCGGCACCCTTCCAGTCCACATTACGCCGAGTTTGCGGGACTCTACTGTATCCCCCTTAAGAAAGGAGGTTCTCCCTCAGAAAAAGTGGTATTTGCCTTGGTGACTTTCTAAAGGTGTATTACATCCAGAACTTTGTCCAAAACCTCCATTATGTTTTTAGGACAAAAAGTAAGTTTAAATGTAATTTTACAGGGTCCAATGGGGAGGAGTGCCTTAGCCCCTGTATTCCTACCCCTCCCCCATGGGAACCCCCTAGCTGCAGAAGAGTGAAAGTACTTTAATCAGATAATGATCATCACACTGATCTATTTATTGATATCTATTTTATGTCTCATACAATACAATTTTGTTCCCTTTAATTCCACCTATTTAATATTTGATAAATTATTAATGCATTTACTGTTTTAACTTGGTTAGGTAACTAAACAAATGTCTATGTTTTCCATTCTGTTGTCTTGAATAAAAATTCGGGATATAATGTGATCATAACTTTGGATTTCAAAGTCTATGAAATACCGAAAAGTGAATATAGAATGAACAATAACTGAACATGTTTCTTAAAATAGTGTAAAAACACATTAACTTCTTTCACTTTTGTTTCATTTGTAATTGTGAATTTCTTTATCATAAGATTAAATTTAACAAAATCATCTATTCCTTTGTGATAAAATTTGTTTACGTAACGGTCATTATGACAAGGGAGTAGGCTACTCTTTTGTCTTTCATACCCAAAGTGAGAATAAAGATTGTAGTATCTGACACTTCTCAGTGAACCAGTCACATATTATCACACAATCTGATCCAATTGCTCATTTTTCTTTTTTTATAAGGAAACACTAACAAAACTGAACTTTCATGAGAGTAAAGATATGAGCACCTAACTAATCTACAGTACAGTTGAACCTCTATAAGACGAATTTCAAGGGGTACGGGAAAAATTCGTACCATAGAGGTATTCTTAATAAAGAGGGTCGTTTTATCGAGGTTTAATGCTGCTGTTATTCTTCTTATAGAGGTTTCTCCTCGCTCCAAGGTTTCTCCAAACGATGAATGATGAAGGAGGAGGGATGGGTGGGGGTTTCATGTTGAGACAAGCTTCTGTTTGTTTTGAAAACTACGTACTATGGAGGTTAAGATTATGATAAATTCGTCTTATAGAGGTCACGTTCGTCTTGTAGAGGTTTTGTGCTAAGAATATTCGTTGTATAGAGGTTAATCAGTCCTAGCCCATGTCACAAACAAATTCGTCTTATGGAGGTTTTTAACTTAATTACTACGTTGTATAGAGGTGTTTTTGGCATTGACCTATGGAAGTGTCAAGGGGATTTAAAAAAATTCGTCTTATCGAGGAATTCGTTTTATCGAGGAATTCGTTTTATCGAGGCTCGTACAAACGAGGTTCAACTGTACAGCATTTTGTAGGAAAGATAGTAGATCTCACAGTTAAATACTTAAATCTAAATAGGCACTGCATGTAAATTTAATGTGTAAACTGGTTTCTTAATGTCTGGCACAGCCGATGATGAAAAAGATTCCTCTTATTTGTGGTTGCTCAACGGAGTGAGTACTCTTTTGTTATATCAACACTACAGAGACATGCAAATTTTATATGTAGATCATTTTATTTGGTTAAAATAGTTTTAAATTTGGTAAAATTGCAACGATTGTAAATATTAAAACACCCTCTACAGTCATAAAAATATGGTATCTTAAGATTGTCATGTGGATGACAAATCTAAGAGAGAAATTATTTATCTATGAAACAACTATACAGCAATGCTGCCTTTAAGCCGTTTTTACACGAGGCCAATAGGCAAGTTAGGTTACGAGGCATTTGCTGTTGGGTTGATTTTTTGGATTTCAAGTAACTGAGGCAGGTAACTTCCAAGGAGTTGGCTCCGTGTTAACGCAGCTTTGCAACATAACCTTAGCTACAGAAACGTCACCCACCTATACTCACCAACATTTTGTAAATATAGTAATAACAAAGATGTTAACTTTTTTTTTTAAATTTGTGTTAATGACATTCAAATGTTAGTATTTTCTCCACACCATTAATATTTTTTAATGTTCTAATTAAGGAAAAATTCTAAAAAAATAACTATTTTTTTATGTATGCACCTACAGATTAATCTAAGGCTAACAAAGATTAATTACTTAGTTAATTTCAAACCCTGGAAATATCGTTTGGATAGTTGTATATTTATTTTTGTAAGATGTCTTATTGTTTTGAGGAAAACAACAAAGTATTTATGATTGATAGTAAACATCTCAAAGGCAAAAAATAAAAAAATAAGTTGTAGCTAGCCAGTTTATTCTAGTTTACACTAATCTCTTAATGTTTGATAGCTCAAAAACTTTTTAGTATATTACAACTTTCTCAAGACGCATTTACAACAAAGTCTGCAACAATTTATTTAAACGTATGTTGAAAACCAGTGTCACGAATACTTGAAACAAATTGTTGCAAACTCCGTCGTAAATTTGGCTTAACTTCTTGTGGAAAACAAAATTTCTGTCATAACAGTTGAAAAACTGATAAAAATATTTTGATGTTAAAGTTAAATAAATTTTTTTTGGGATTGTTGTAAACTTTGGAGAATGAATGAATAATAGTCAAGTGGTTATCATCTTTTTGGTTCAAAAAACGTGTTGTAAGTCTAGTTGAAACGTGGTTTTCATGCTTGTTAATGACCGAGATTCCAAAAGAGCTTTTTTAAACTGTTGAAGTGAAAACAATATCGTCCTACGAATACGTACATCATCTGAGGACCTCTACAAAAAGAAATCACCTATCTTAAAAACCGCTATTCTTTAATCCAAGATCCCGAAGCCTACAAAAAAAACCAACAAATGGATTTAAAAGAAAACTTACTGCTGGTTACAAGCGGACATATTTCCTCGCAGAAAAATAATTTTGAATCATAAAAAATAATATTGATAGGTACCGGTACATAAAACTACACTGAGAGCAGTATAAGATATACAATCAATCACTGACACAGCCTACTATTAACGAATCACAATTATATAGACTAATTTTTTGACCTAAGGAATAAATTGTTTCTAATCCTTTACCTGAATCTTCTCCAACTGTGAATATAACTCTTTTGACTTAGGTCCAGGAATCTCTGAAGTTTTCAACGATGGTTTCTCAGGTTCACCGGCGACCGCGCCTTTGAAGGTGCCCATGCATCTTGCTGGAATAATTTATAATGGCAATTGTAATGGTGATACAAATGGTACATTGCAAATTGTCAAGGCAATAAAATTATTATTATTATAGCCTGTTAAAATATTTGCAAAGGTAACAATTTGTATTTAAGTCAGAAAAGCTTAAAAAATTTAAAAAGCTAACTTGTAAAACATATTGATGAGTTTATAAAAAAATTTTAAAAACACCCTTGGTTTACTTTTTTCATGCTAAGTGGAAGAGAAACATAACAATTCACCCCTCACACCCCCTCGGAGGAGGGGATTTTCACAATCTAAAAAATCGGCTTACGCTACAATCTAAAAAGATAAGTAAAAAAAGATGCAGGCTTAGAACCTTGATAACAAGACTCTCATGGGGATTATAAAATAATACTTGTTATCAAGGTTGTCTTCTTATCCAGGTTTTCAATAACATGTGATTAGGGGCAAAATAAATCCTAGGGGATTTAAAGATGACACTTGTTATCAAGGGTGACTTGTTATCGAGGGTCTTGTTATCGAGGTTCCACTGTATGTTTTATTAAACATCCTAATATTTTATTTTATTTTAGGACTAACTATTTTTGAATCTACAGTATTAAATATGAGGAATGCAATTGAGAAAGAATAAATTACCGTAACATAAATACCTAATGGTAGTACCGGTACCTAAAGCTAATGTAGGCCTATTTTGTGTTTTGAAATTTATTCTTCCATAATGTCAAAGTTGTTTTCCTTGACTTTTAATCACCAATTACAATAAATCTGCATTATTATATAAGTGCATGTGGTAGGTAAATAATAAACAAATCAATTCAAATTTACCATTGATATTTACTGTGTTAAGGGCCTAAGTTATGTAAAATAATCGTATTTTACACATTTTTACTTTCTAATTTGTTTGGAATAGGTCCAACCCCATATAGCTTACTATGTATACCTGTTAGATAGCATAATATATAACACAATCAACAAATATGTGGTTAAAAACGGCAATAGGGAAAGGGAAAAGAACTGATCATTTACTTTACAAGAGGAAGGGAACCCCTCTTTTAACAATCTTGGCACGGAGAATAAACAAAATAAATTATAAATTCATACTAACCAAAATTCCATGGCAAGATATGGCTGTGGTTCTGTTTCAAAAGTGATCCGGCAATTTTTGTTGCCGCCATAGTTGATGTAAACAAACACAACAGACGCACTTGTCTCGCGCCTAGACTGCGACTGAACTAGATAATTGAGTCAAGTGGCTACTATCAATTGACCTTGTTACACGAGAACGAGTTTTAGAGCGGTCCTTACTCCTAACCCTATGATCGATAGCCCTTGATTCTCAAAACTACTTTGCTCGGTAGGGGCAGGCGCAGAGCAGACGACAGACTAAACAGCTGTTCCTGTCTAGAAGCTGGAAACTGGTATGCTGGAATGCATCCTGTGCCTGCCCTCAGCGTCATAAAGATCAATAGATAACTCCAACCCTCCAACCTACCCTAACAACATAGGGCGTCGATGACGCGTGGACGCGTGATTTCATGTTCTGCTTCTTACAGATACTAAAATATATTTTCTAAAAATTCACTATTGTATCGTATATATCAAGTAAACGACCTAAATAATTTACAGGAATTTGTTGTAACTAGTGGCCTGTAGGGACATAAGTCCCCAAAATGCTCAATAATATAAAACAAATTATTCTAATATTTAAACAAACAAAGAAATATATTATCTATGTGTCAGAATAGATATCCCTGTATATATGCCATATCTTTTGTGTAAAAAACAGTTTGTTGTTTGTCTTTGTTGATGTTATTATCAATAAATCATTAGAATCACTACATAGAATCACTACGCTAGACGCCAGTACTCAACCCAGTACATGTTCAACAGTACATTTCCCCGCATCCAACTCTTTGCCAACAGCTTGCCGGAAGATATTGACCTCTTCTCCATCAGTGGCGAGTCGTTGAAAAAAAGGATGTTACTGGTTGATCTGTGAGGCGCTGCCTTGATTTGTTGTTTATGTAAAATATCAGTTTATTTATTTATTACTATTGTTATATTTTCTATTGTAGTATTTTTATTGTTATATGCTATTGTCTTTATTCGTTCCTGTTGTTATTTATTATTGTTGCTATTGTAGTTTATGCTGTTGTTGTTTGTTGTTGTTGTTATTATTTTTGTTATCTTTGTTGGCTACACATTTTATTCAATGTTAATTATATCAGAGATTTATCATTGTTAGTCAACATTGCTCAGATTTTAGTTGTTGTTCTCGTTGTCTTGTCAAGTTCTCTCTTAAGTAGATTCTTAAGCCCCTTTGCATGTTTGGCTTGACCCTTAGTTATAGGAACATTGAGAAAGCATTATATAAAAAAATAATTGTAAATTGGTTTGTTTGGACCGTTGGAAGCAAAATAAAAATAAAAATAGATTTAACTCTGCTAAAGCAAGGCCACACTATAAAGGCAGCAAACATATAATTGGTTGTGAATAAATACTGGTTTATTAAGGTAGCTCGTTAATTATTTATTCAATGTGGTTATTTCTTGTTAAACACAAGTTTGAAAAGTTTCACAGTAAAAAAATATATTTCCATATTCTATATAACGTAACTAAAAAGTCTTAATTATTATAGGTAACGTTATCCCTGGTTTTATATAGGACATTGCTGAACTTACTGGCAAATAAGTATAATCCAAATGTTAACATTGCGTACTGGCTTGATGATAAATCACGATCAGCTGTATGAAGTAAACAAAATTAGCAGAAAATGGCTTCTAATGCTATTCTTATGGAGAACATTTTACATTATATCTCGTTTTCTGGTAACTTTATGGAAACTCTGCTATTTTTCCCGAGTCCCTGGGGTCAAGACCTTAAATTTAAGACCCCTCCCACTTTTCTGCGACTTACCAGACGTCCAAAATTTTCTGGTAAAGATTTTGTCTTACAGAATTATATATAAGGATGGGATTTTTTGCACGATCTTCTATTATCCACAAATTGATTACTTTTCCCTGACCTATTCATGTTTTTATCCAAAACAATTTACTTGTATCAAATATTTGACCATAGAAATTCAAACAATATTTTATATTTTTTATTAAGGATATATTTTATAGATATAGATATGGCCCAAATATATTTTTCAATACAGTCTACAACAATATTTTTTTTTTGATCGTCATTTGTTTTAAATTTTCATATCGTTATGTCTGAAATCTGATCTTAAGAGGGTCTGCAAAAACTAAAAAGACCTGTAGGATTATTATTGCGTAGCTGAATAACTTCTTGATCAGCATCATACGTTTTATTAGGTAGCCTACCTAAAAAAACAACAAATTTACAACAAACAAAAGACGTATATTTTTCAGGTCCTATTGTATAGCATTAAAATATAAACAACAAATCGATGATTATTAAAATGGCAATTTTAAAAGTACTGTGTAGCTATATGAATACAATCTTTGCTTGAAATCGGCCCTTTATTTGTACATTTTGTACTTTTGTGTCTTCTCTATACATTTAGCCTGGGACTATGTAGACTATGCTTGGTGACTGGCAGGATTTAACACCAACATTCTGCACGGCCCACTTTAGTATATGTACTGACTGGGCTACAGCCCAGAACGCCAAATCTTTCAGGGTGCAAAATTTCCCAAAAATGTGTTAACAAATATTGTTTTGATTAGTTTGCTAAAACATCCAGAAGGAACTCATTTAAATTAATATTTTAACCTTCAAACTGTGTTACTTGTTTGCAGCTACTTGAAATTTCAAAAATTTTCTAGGGAGGGGATTGCTAAAATTTGTTTGCAGCCCATGGCTTTGCTAGTCTTCTCAGAAGGCATCCATGTTTACTACAGCAAAATTTAACGAACTGTTTATACAATTCATAGTTAAATTAGCTTGGAATAGCTTTTAAATATTGGTAAATGTCAAACGCAACAAAAAAACAGTAAAATCCTAAGAAATGTTGCACAATCATGTATATTCAGTCAAATATACTGTATTAAAATTAAGACTTGTAAAGTATTATACTTTTATCCCGATTGGAATGAACCATCAATGACACATTTAACAACTTTATAGAATTACTTAAAGGAACTGAACATGAACAAATGTTACAATTAGGATATGATGCAATTTCCTGATTGGCTTAGCTACGAGTACATGAGAGTGTATTTCTTTTAAACAGATATTTTTAAATCTTTGCGCCCTTGCGGTACTATTTAAGTTTTTTAGTTGCTAACATTTATGAAACTGTTTATTCTACTCTCTTGTAATTTCCCTAGATTTTTTTTTAAATTTACATGTCATTTTAATAAAATGATATCTAGATTAACACTCTATTACTCTAAAATATTACCGGTACCTATTTTGTGTGTTTTTACCAATGACATTTTTATATCAGTAAGGGAATGGTAATGATACCATCCAAAACCTCAATAGTATCTATGACAACCTTTTTGTTGGAACATAATCAATTAATTAATAGCCTCATGACATGGTGACTGGGTCCAGAATCAAACCCATTCGGTGGTTTGATCATTGGGTTGGGATCGAACCAGCAATCTTGTGATTTGAAGGTGAGCCCTACAACGACTCAGCTGCCCCAACAATCATTGTTATTTTTGATTCATGCTGATGCTTGATAGTTATGCCAAATTTATTTTTGATTTTTGGGTATATTATCCACAGTATTTAGTGGTGGGTATCAAAATTAGAAAATGTAGCAAAGCATAACTTATAGCATACCGTACAACTTTTAGAGATTGTGCCCAAAAAGAGTACCTCGAACTTCTTTATGTCATTCTAAGGAGGCATAACCACAGAAAACGTACAACTATAACCCAGAATGCCAACCGCATGGTAGCATTAAGCGTTTTGAGAGAGCTTTGCCTGTCAATCCGTAGGCAGCGCCACCAGCGTTGCCATGCACTCAGCATAGCAACGCTGGTGGCGCTGCCTACGGATTGACAGGCAAAGCTCTCTCAAAACGATTAATGCTTTTTACCATGTGCTTGGCATTCTGGGTTATAGTAGTACGTTTTCTGTGGCATAACGAAGAAGATTGTTTTAAAATTAATGAAAAAGCTATAATCATTACAAAACCAACATTATAAAGGACAGTATAGTATACATTTTTTATTCCTCACATTCTACAGCAATGTAGCCTATGTTAAATTACTATTATATTTTTTTAAGTAAATTTGCCTAACGACTGTCTTTAGTTCCTTTTGTTTATTTTATGTTGTAAATGTAAATAATAATTGTATAGGCAATTTTGATAAGGGTACAGTAGATCAATTATCTTATCTTATAGCATCCATACTGTAATTAAAATGGGAAAAAAAGGAAAATAATTCATCCAGTTGACCATATAATTTATTTATGTAGTTTATTTCAACAATGCAGTAAAGATATGATTATAATTCCAAAGCGCTAGTGATTATAGTTGTGTGCGCTAGGTTAGGATAGATATAAACTTATACTAAGATGTTAGGAAAGCCGTAGCCTTAACACCTCTATTATGCTGTGGTCTGTGAACTAACATTAGGAAAATTATTTCACAAAACATGTCCCAATATTGCGATTGAAATGGACAATGTAACTTAGGAGGTTCATAATTTGAAATTAAGTATGATTAAACATTCATGTAGAGTTACAAAAAAATGTATTGAAAATACAATTTTGTAACCTGCGGGAATCATTATAATAAGTTGTGTCACAGTAAAAAGTGTAGATTTCAACAATCAACGTTGAGTTTCTTTACACATACTGTAATTTTTTTCAGATTTTGTGTGGTTATTATAGTTTCTGGTAGAAATTCCCATTTTGCGTATGCCAAGCTACAGGACCTTCCCAACGAGTGAAAGACCGGGTAGTGAGAGAGGGAGTGAGCTCTCTACCTAAGCGCTCATTTCCTTGAGCGCTTGGTTGTAGCGGTCTAACACTATGTTGGCGTGGTACGGTGTGAACGTGAGAGCTGGGCGGAACCTTATCCCTCTCTCTCCACAGCCTCCACTATGGATACCTGGAAAATAAAACATGTACATGTCACAAACGTATAAAATGCATTGGATACATAATGATACCTAAAAAAAAAACATCATTAAATCAGTTTTATAGCACCCCTATGTATCTGATGTATATTCAATATGTTTTGCTTTGCTAAATAAGATATATGAAACCATCTTCATTGCAGAATTTCATACGCCCTGACATCTTACAAACTCTACGTGAAAGATTTATGTAAAGGACCAAATCTTGCATAAGATAACTAAATGTAGTAAGGATGTTAAAAATTAAAAAAAATAAATTTACAATAGTAAAACAAGTAACGAAGTAACTTATCACAACCCATACAGATTCTCAGAAACAAACCATTGTAAAATGTTACACACACATCAACACATCTAAAAGCTATCGGATGCATTTGCACTGTACATGGAATAACTTGGAAGCAAAAATATCAAACAAATTATTAAATTGGCTAAAATAAAAAAAGCAAATTTCGAATTTGTCAAATATTTATTATGTGTCGTGGTCCGTACATATGAAATGTTATACGTATAAGACTACTCGATATAGTACCTAACAGATCATTTGTTTTACAATTTTAAAAAAACATCCTCGATTTATATTATGTGCTTTACTTAAAACTGTTAGGGCATTTTATTGATTTCATATTCAACCTTGATTGTAAACCTTTAGACATATTGGGGACATAAAATATAAACAAAATTATTATAGGAAGCACGACACACTGTTGATCTACCATGATAATCAATGTCATGCGATAGAGAGAGACAGACAATGCTTGTGTGTGTGTGTGTGTGTAGTCCCAGGGCTAGCCTGTACCTGGTTCATCGGTCTTCCTTGGTTACGAGTTTGTTTGTGGGATTTAAATAGTTTGGTGCGCAACATTTAGCTGTGACTATTACAAAGCTATTACTATGGTTATCGTTGTTAACTGAATGGTATACAGTATCGGATATATGTTTGGATGCAAATGTGTTTAGGAATTACTCGCAAAAGAATGAAGATTTATTAAAGTTTAAAAAAGATACATGAACACGTTATATCATTTGCTAGCGATCAGGGTTAGTTGAACTAACAAGTGGTGTGGAAAATGGATTTCACCTGACTTATCTAATGCTTCCAGTTGCTAGGATATTAGTAACTTTATTGTGTTTTATCCAAATTGATGATAACAAAACTTAACGATGGCGGTATTGAGAGATTTCTATAATCGCTGTAAAACTCATTCGAGTCGATCAGCTCTATCGACGCCAACTCAACCGAATTCTAGTTTCCCAACACGTTTCCGCAGTGAGCGCAGATTCCTGTCTGATGAAGTCCGCGGGAGCAAACAGTTCAGGACGTATACAACCAGTGAACAAATGTTGAGTGTTTTCCACAAAGATAAAACAGGTCCGAAAGTTCCAAAAGATCTATCCCGCTTCACAAGGCTTCCAGCAATTGGGCATCTACCCTCGGATAATCCTAGGAGACCATCGTTCAACCGACAACTGACATATACAGTGTTCAACCCCGTTTATGTGAAAGGACCCATTGAGCCTGCAAGCTGTATGAAAACCATTCCAGAAGTAAAGAAAGGTTTACAAAAGGTATCGAAAAAGAAAAGGTTGTTGCCAAATCGGAAAGTTCAAGAGGATATAGCCAAAGAATTAGAAGAAAGGAAAAGAAAGGTGCAAGAGAGATTTTCCAGAAGTGTTCACGGGAATAGAATTCAAGTAAGTGAAGGCTTGATTGACGCAAATATGAAAAGTGATAATGTGAACTCAAAGGGGGCGTTTTGGATTGAATTTTAAATATATTTATTTAATGGTTCATCCTAAATAATTAGAATGCTGTATCCTGTTCAAAGGATAGTGTTTCTAACTAAATGTAGAGTGAAGATATAAATTTATTTTCTTAAGATTATATTGTGTACTTTTTATGTGACCCGTTCCTCTATGTACCACCACCCAATAACAAGAGTCTTATGATCACACTATTTTAGTAAAACTGTGAAATTCTTAGCAACAGCAAGTTTAGTGACAGGACGACAAGTAAGTAAATATTCATCAGTTAGCTCTCAAACAACTTCACAGAAAAATCTTAAATGTTGATTGATAAAATTACATGAATAATTTGTTGCCACAACTGCTGATACATCTAAGTGTTACTCTGTACAGTAGTTTTTTAAGAGTTACAAACCTTTCATCTTAAGACGATTAATAAGATCGTCCCTTGCAGCTGCAGTCGGCGCGTCGATGGATATGAAGGTACCTCGTCCTCGTAGGTTGCTCAAAATTGCTGGATATTGGTCCTAAATCAAAAATCTACATTTTGACATTTCTTGAGTATTGTTTACGCTAAAAAATGTAAATAAACATTTCAGTTTACTCATTATTGCATAAAGTCTTTGAGTCTTAAAACGTAAATCTGTATAGTGTAGAACTACGAAACGATTTTGCTGAGCTTGGTAGCTCAGTAGTAGCATCTTAATTTGCTAAGATTCTGATGTCATGCTGGATTGAGACCTTCTCAAACTAATAATTCTATTATAGTAACATTATAGAAAATATAGGTGAAAATGTCTTCTCTAATCTTTTTTCAAGCCATAGAAACTTTTTTTTGCAAATCCAATTCTACATATTTTTGAGAACTGACAGAAGACAGGTGGCATACGATTGATAAATTATATTTTTACTTTTAAAAGTGTTGCAGTCCATTTTAACCTTGAATTTACCTGTCTTGCAAAAGGGCTGTGTAAAACAAATCAAGCAAAATTTGAAAAGTGGCACGAGGTTAACCCAAGACATCGTTGCTTTGCTTTAACAATGCTCAGCAGTATCAGCTGGGCAATCAATTCACTAATCACCACTCGCATTACACACTTCATCTATGTTCATTCATAGACCCAGTGTATTAATTTGAGAGAATTCTATTTATAGGCCTATTGATAATTTTGATAACTAATAGTTTCAGGTGTGCGGTTTGCATGTTGTGCGCAATGGGCCCGAGCGATAATTGCGCCCCTCTTGACCTGCCTTGTGGGAAAATTTTTTTTTCCCTGCGCCCCCAACAAACAACTAAAACCTCTTGCATCACTTTAGAGGCACTCTCTATTTTATTTTATGTACCTGTAACTCTTTCAATCCTTGCATCATCACTTTCCCAGACTCCTCCACAAGCTTCAACAGATTGTCTCGTTGTATCACCTTCACTACAGCCTCCAACAACAATATCCTGCCAGAATCACCCATCCATGTGTTTAGCACTCTGAACCCTATCTTGGGCCTGTGAAAAGTGAAACAAAATAATAATCATAATGCATTACAAATTTAAATTTTACGTACTAGAAAATTTTACTCGTACTCGTCATAGCCCATGTAGCACAGATGGTTGGGCCAACGTTGGTAAATTGTGGAGCCACACAGTTGGCCAACGGTAGAAATGTCACCTCTTTAAACTGTTTTCCAGCCAACCATTGTCCAACCGTTTTATTTCACACAAAATAATAAAGATTTAGTACGAAAAGCATAATTATTAGTTGAGTAAATTGATTAAATAGTTCATAAAAACAAATTTTGAAAAAAAACTAGAACACAATTTTTTTGGCCCAGACAGGTCTCGAACCCGGGTCCTTCGACTTATGAGCCTCTTACTTTACCACTGAGCTATCTGTGTTTGCTGATATAGAGAGTTTTCAAGTGGTGAAAGAGTAGCCGACAGTTGCAATGGTCGCAATACTTCAAACATTTTTGATACTACACAGTATAATATGATTCTGTTAATCTGTTAAGGCATCATAAGTAGTTTTTTTTTTTTGGAGTTAGAGAGGATACTGGTATTTGAATGATTAATTAATTACCGTTAGATTGTTAATGCTATTATAATTGCCTGTTATATGATTAATTACTCTTTCCCCTTAAATTGTTGCAAATAAGTTAAAGAATATTAATTTAAAAAATATTTGCATTATTAAAATTATTAAAATTCATTGTTGTAGCGCCGGAACTGTAATATATAAAATATCTGGTTTTACAATACCTTTATCAGTTCCAAAAACTTTTGGAAACTTTTGGAACTGATAAAGGTATTGTAAAACCAGATATTTTATTATAATTATGTTGTGAAAGCTAGACCCAGAGAATGAAAGTCGTGTAAACTCAACTATGGACCATTGTTGGTCCAACAAAAGTATCTTTTGTTGGTCCAACGGAGTGAAAAACGGTTGGACAACGGTTGGCTTGATGTATGATACCCAGCAATGCATATTAATGTATTTCATTAACAATGAACCAATGTTGGTCCACAGTTGTAAATATTGGTTGGCCCAACTACGAGATATACAGTTGGACAACGGTTGGTTGGTTGTGGAAGCTCCAACCAACCATCGACCAACTGTCCCACAGTTGGCCAACGTTGGCGCAACCATCTGTGCTACATGGGAGGTAATGAAAATTCAATGTAAAGACGTTTTAAGTGTTTGATAAGTACATTGGGTAAATATTCAAATTTCTCATAGTAAAAATAAAATTTTTCTATTAAAAAGCCCATCTCTAGTAAAAAATATCAAGCAGAGTAGGGAACCAATGAACTTCTTTCAAGCACCAATAGTTGGTGAAAAAAGGTAGACACTTGAATTAGACAAGACATGTGATTAGGAGAGAATACAAAGCTACAAAAGATATGGAAGAAAGACAAGAAGACAACCTGTGGGTGCTTATAGAAGAGGTGGAAAGATTAAGCCAAAGACATAAGAAATTCAAAAGCCAATTAAGAAGACAGACAAGATCGGAAGAAGTGTAGGAATTTCGTTGGCGAGACTGTTACTTTCTTGAATAAAAATTGCAATGTCAGTAAGTAAGTAAATATGTAAGCTATCTTCCATTTTTTGCAATTTCAATGTCAAGATTTTATATATTTTTTCATATTCTTAGCTCCAAATAAGAAAATAAACAATGAAAGGTAAGTATTTGACATACCCAGGGTATACTGTGGAACTGCCCAAATCATAGCTCAACTATCCTACACTACTACAGGGTGTTTTTTTTTTTAACGAAACCCAAATATTACAAGTACTTTGAACCTCTTTTAAACGCTTAAACAATCTATATGTTGGTGTCCCTGTTTTCTTTACTTCATTACCAACCATCTGATATGCATTGTTGCAGAGTTATGTATGAGGTTTAGTTTAATTGGAAGTTTATTGTAAATAAGACTCAACATGGCGTTTTGCAAGCTCAAATAGTGTATTGTATGTAGGTATACGGTTTTTTTTCTACATATCCGGTTTCCTTACATTTTGACACGTCTATAAATAGTTGATTTATAAAGTACTGGATTCATACCTGGCAACTTAATCTCAAACCTTTCTTGACATGAAACCAATGATTTACGTTTACCCTATTTTATTTACAAGCACGTTTATCAGACTTTTACCCTATTTTTCTACAATACATACTCCTTGATACCAACATAATATGAGCTTCTTTTGTCGTTTAAAATTGTTTTACGGTAATTTTAGTTTGGGTTGAGTTAAAAAAAAACATCCTGTATAAGACCATTTCCTGAAGATTTAATAATAAAAACTTATCATACTCACATGATTTCATCTGTGTAGTAGAACCCTCCTATGATCATCTTTTTGCTGAAGGTCACAAGATCTGGCGGAGAGTCGAGGCCAAAATGTTCGTGACACCAGAACTTTCCAGTGGCTCCACCCCCAGTTTGAACTTCGTCCATTAGTATTGCCACTCCGTTCTGAAGTAAAACATACAGTACTTAAATAACTACACCAGGGTTGTCCATTAAAGGTCTCTAACTAGCTTCAGTCGCAGCTAATTGAGCTCTAGTTTAAATCTAAAGGAGCATCATGTTCCTTACTCCTCCCATCACTATTTCAGCCACTTTTGACACCTATGCAACGATTAGTGTCTTGTGCTAGTAGCCAATAATGATGTGAAGGAAACTCAATGGTCCAGCCAAGTATGAATCATGTTCTGTGAAAAAGTTTCTGTGGGAAAAGGGTGTACCCTGTGTGGACTTTAGAAATGTGTGTTTGTGGCTTTGGGAGATCAGAGTATAGATTAGGTATCAGAAGTACAGATTACAGTATAGTCAAATTTATAGTGTACAGTAGGCCTACTATCAAAATGTTATTCCACAAAACCAAACACGAAATGCATTCCAACTCACTTTGAAATGAATTCTCGAGACTCGAGGTATATATTTTAGTCAAGTAGTTCAAGTATTGCATTTATGCTCATTATTAACTTACTTCATCCTTGGCTTCATTTTTTGATGTCTTGGTACTACTCTTTGACCTCTAACAATGGTATATCGTTCCTCATAACACTAAGAGGCTTGAATAAAAATATTCTTAGTTGCACTAGCAAAGCAATAACCTTAATTATAACACACAACAACCAAGGGCCATGCAGGGGGACAAACAGGACCCCCTCAAGGCTAAAAATATTTAAATATTAATTTTCCAAAATAAAAAAATATTTAGTATGATATTTAGCACTTTTAGATAGCCTAAATCAGCAATATTGAACATGTGTTATTCAAAACTTTTACAGGGGAGGACCCCCGGACCCCCCTCTGACTCCAGGCTCCCCGGAAAGTCCCTAGCCTTCTGTCTGCCCCCCCCCCCCACAGAGAAAAATCCTGGGCATGCCACTGACAACAATTAACTAGCTCTAGATGAGCAAGATTAATTTACCTTTTTAGCAATCTTTTGTAACTTCTGGAAGAACTCTGGAGAAGCGTGGTTATCACCTCCCTCCGCCTGTATTGGTTCTGTTATTATTCCTGCCACTGGTTTTCCGTTTTTTCTGTATTTTTCAATCAGTTCCTCCACCTGGAACGAAAGATTTCATAGTACATTTTTATACTCTGAGTCATGACAAAAGCAGAATAGAGAACTCCAGCAAATCTGACAAGAGATACTACTACAACTTTCCAGCTATAAATCCACAGAAAAAAGGGATGTAAGTGAGAAGAGGATAAGATACTATGCATGCAAATACAGTTACTAGGAGAACATTTTGTACACACTCATATAAGAGACCAATATTAACAAATCATATGACAAGACTAGATGAATTTAGTTGATATATGAACAAATTGTGTTTTTGGCCTCTGGGGACATCAAAACAAAAACGTAAATCTGTCTCGAGTCCAGGTCTTACCATGAGACCTACAGTAATAAAGCTTCCGTATATGGGAAATTCACTAAAAAGGATGTAATACTGATAGCAAAAGCCATCTACAGCAAGTGGAAGAGGGTTTTATGTTAGCTCTATGTTACAACCCTTACCTAGAGGGTCTAGGATGGAAGGAGCTAGGATACTTGAGCTGCTGAATCAGTAATAATTAATTGTATTTATCAATAAAGAAAATACTTAATGTTCCATATTTCAAATGTAGGTGATGATTCTGGAACATGGAAACCAAATAAAAAAGAATAAAAGAAGTTAATCACATTCGAAAATAAGATTTTAAGAAAAATCTATGGACCAATTTATGAAGGTGGTGAATGGAGGAAGAGACACAACAGAGAACTGAGAGAACTCTACAGAGATCCAGTTGTGGTGTGTGAATTTAGTGTAGAAGACTTAGATGGGCTGGACATGTTTTACGAAGAGAGGAGCAAAATAAGTTAAAATTAGTTTTACTAAGAAATCCAGAAGGAAGACGACCGAGAGGAAGGCCAAAACAAAAATGGTGGAGCCAAGTAAAGAAAGACATGGAGCAACTAGGAGCAACTGAGGAGGATGCAGAGGATAGAGCAAGATGGAGAGGCTTTGTTGGTGTGGCCAAATATCTTCTTAGATATGCATGGCCATGAGAGTAAGTAAGTAAGAGTAAGGTGATGATTCTATTTGTGATGATCTAAAGACACTGAAGTACTGTTTTCGTCACCAACCTGAAATTTCGGACTTGTGAGGCCAAGAGATACCATAATATGTCCGGTCTTTTATGTGAATTTTGTATTTACTCTCTGTGGAATAAGTAACACACATAATGCTGATAAAGTGTTGAAACTTAAACAAATCCAAGTTACCTCAGCAAGACAGGATTCGTCCTCTTCTCTATTCTCCCGTTCGTTTTCTTCAAGTGGATAAACGTATGATGGAAATCTTGCTTTGGGCCAGTCCACCGATGGTATGTCTATCTTCTGTATGTATTTAGAGCTTGTACATATCAAAGAGCCAAACGTTCTGCCATGAAAAGCTCCTGTTACAAGGATCATTCAATTTAGCTTTAATAAAGACGGCATCCAACACTACATGATATATTTACATTTACGCTACCTATACATTTTTACAAGACAAAAATGTAAATTAACATCTAAGTAAAAAGTATATGAATAAAAGTGTTATTTGTCTCCAAAAAAATAAAATAAGGGTCTCCAAAAACTCCTGTCAAGACTAAACAAATCATGTTAATGATTGACGTCCTGTTGAGCAATTATTTTAAAGGTAGTATTAACTGGAGGGATTAGGTTATATTTTTAAGGCGAAGATTAGTAAAGGATGAGATTGAATGAATGAGATAACAGCTTTGAAACTGACCAAGATCAGCTGGTTCTTACAGACAGGACCATTTTTTTAAAATCCCATTGATCAAAGGTAACTGGGTCCAGTTTCTAAGCCATTAAAACAATTTTAATTTTCCATGGATCAAACTGGCAACCTTCTGATTGAGCTTTCCAGCTACAAGTAACAAATACCCCCGCCGCAGTATACCTGCCGACTAAGCGAATTTCCATTTGTCTGAATTGATTTTCAATTTAAATCTATTTAAATAACATTAGGTTTAACAAGTACCTAGGTTTGCTGCTACAAGAAAACTAATTAAGCGAGTTTTTTAGTAAAATATTAATAGCTTAGTATAAAAGAAATAAATTGGCCAAGTTTAATCCAAATATATCAATAAACAAGCAAACTACATCATTTTACAATATTCTCCATAAGAATAACATGGGAATTTTAAATTTACAATTTTTGGAATTTTCTCCGTTACCAATAAACCGTACAAAAACACTTTGATATACTAAATTATTTGCTTTTTTAAGCTCTTTAACTGTTTTGAGGGTCAAAAATGAGAAAAACCATTTTTTACCCAATAAAAGTCCCCGTAAAACACTGTTCCCATGGTCCGATCATGCTGGTTCGCGAACTCATTCAAGTTTATACCGCCTTACACCTTCAAACCAAATTTCATCAAAATCAGACAAAAATTACTCAAGTTATCGCGTTCACGGACGTATATATATATATATATATAAAAATTTGAACGAATAGTGTTTTTGGCCTCTGGGGACATCAAAATGAAAAAGTAAATCGGTCCCGGGCCTAGGTCTTACCGTGCCACCTACGGTAATAGCTACTTCCCTATAGGGAAATTCGCTAATAGTAAACAATTAATCGCCATCTAGGTAAGTCAGACAAAATCTTTAAAATAGTCTCCAGCTGATCCATTAGGATGATAAAATCTACAGTTTATAATTGTATGTTTATAATCTATTTCTGATACCTTTAAACGATAGGATGGACAAGTTAGGACACCCTGGTGGACTGTTCCTCAAACAACTCTCAATCTCTTCCTGGGAGAAATTGTCGTGTCCGCCTCGTTGCTTGTGCTGAAACCATCCAAACACCAACTTGAGGGCGTGCTCGTTGGCGCAGGACCCGCACTGCATCGTGGTCACCCGGCGCATGCCCGGCGGCGCCACCTATAACAACAGTGTCACTAGAAAATGAACTATACAATAGTAGAAATCTTACAAACACTACAGTAAACTCAACATTCCAAAAAGTCTTTGCAGGTCATTTATTCAAATAAACCCTCTAAACGCCATTTTTTGCCTAATACAGTACTATTAATAGAATTTAGAATTGCAGATCTAGTTAAAAAAGATAAAATCGCCTTTGGGCTATTTCTTGCTCGTCACAAGTACTAATAAAACACCCTTGTGGTACAACATACTAAAACTGGTCGTTCCATAAACAAGTTTTCTCTGTGCCTTTCTTCTCTAAGGTATAAATTTTCAGGCTAAATAAGTATGCCTTCTTGTAGTATTAAGCGTTTCTAAAGTTATTGTGTAATAACTTAAATTTAAGTTCTAATTTTTTACTTTTTTTGTAATTTTTGAACATAGTATAACTGGTTTTTCAATAATCCATACTGGGACAAAACTTTAAATCGTACTAATTACATATTTAAGTTATTATTACAGAATATGAATGAAAATATTTCATTAAAACTAAAGGATCAAATTTCCATACGATTTGTACAATCTCTAACCTAACATGAAGCTATATCATAGTTAATTTTTCATTTCCCATGTATATTTTAACAGATCACTGAATATTCATTTTGAATCATAATTTATTGTACCTTACTATATCATTAGTAAATTGTTGTATGTGCCTTTCTAAATATATTAAAGTTGTATCTTTAACAAAAGATAACTGACTATGTTATTTATTTGTTATTTTCTTTATATTGCTAGTATTTTTATGCAGTAAAACATTAAATACTTACACTGAGTAGCACATTCTTCAAAAGTTTTGGCCATTCTGCTCCTGGGAAAATTCCCAGCGAGGATCTGTTTACCAAGGTTTTCTAGATTGGAGAAAAAAAACAGGTTTTAAATTAAATTTGCTAATACTGTAAGCTAAAATAAAAGTGTCTCTGTAATCAATGCCATAATTTGATAGTAAAATATTAAATAAATAACTAAAGACGTATAAATACTAAAGAGTTGATTGATTATCAGAATCCATCATGATTTAAAATCATATACATCCTACAGTGCAAAGCTATAATGTTTTTGCGCAACAGAGCAATAGCAGAGAAATCTGTTAGAAAGTGTAATACTGTATTGTATGGTTTATGTTTGATATATAATCAACAGTTTTAAATTTACATAGAATACTCACCACGTTCCCGGGATCAGAGAAGACCCGCAGCACATCCGGGTGGCTGTAGCCGAGGGGGAGAGAAGATATTTGTTGGTAGATGTCCAACAGAACGTTACCATCCACGTCAACCAAGTAGTTGCCCACTGATGACTCATAATCTCCAAACAGCTGGACTGTGCCAGTGTGCTGCAACATATGTTTATTGTATTCATATTCTTCTCTTTATAAATTAATTAGTAAAATAAAATCAAATCAATGGGAAAATAATTTAATTTTAGTGCAAGTTGCTTTTCCTCCTATTGTGAAATCTGGAACCTGTTTGTGTTGTTTTGCGAGTGTGATGTTTCATAGATTGAGTGTGTTGATATTGACTAAATTTATCTCTAGTATTTTGTATGTACATTTTTCTATTCGTGCTTCACTATTTTGTTAAAATATCATAGTTTAAGAAATCAATTGCAAATGGTAAATATTTCTTGTCAATATCATCCTCATATGGATCAGAGGGAGAAAATTTTTTAATTTATTTGACAACTTTACATAAAGGGTGTTTTATATTAAAATACCCCCACTGTAGCAAACCTGCCGACTAAGCAAATTTCCATTCGTCTGAATTGATTTTCAATTAAATTTGTTTAAATAACATAAGGTTTAACGTTTGTTTCTTACTGGTATTAAACTAATTAGTTTTAAATCCATTTTAAATAAATCAATGAATTGATCTTAGAACTCTCCACTTTTCCTAAAATAGTTCATAAATTTAGACATGAAAACGCCACTTTTATAGTGTAGTATCAAGGATATAATTCAAAAAATCTTTTAGCTCTTTTATAGATTCATAAGAAAATAAACAAATATTTTTATTTAAGCTTGCTTAAACTATAAGGTTAGATTAATGAAACTTTACTTAAGTAATTCTTACACTAGTAAACATTTTTGGTTTTATAGAACAATTCATATTACGTTGTAAAGAATTCACATAAGCCACTTGGCTACACGACGAGAATATTTAAAAAAAAGGTATGGTTGGTAATTGGTATCACAAGCTTCACATTAAAGTAAAAGACCTCTGGATGTATGTGATGCGCTATGGGCCCATTACTTGATTGTACCCCCACCTCCCTTCCTCGCAGGGGAATTTTTCTATTCCGGTGGGCACGGGCCCATTTACTAAAGCGGCCCTGATATATTGTGCAAAAGTACATAAACAAAATAACAACAAGTATAAAGCAATCGATTTAACATTAAGGTAAAGGTACAAGACCAAAAAGTTACCTGTATTTTAGAAAGGTCGTCAAGAAGTTTCAAAGACTTTGGTCCAGGTATCTTACTCGTAAGTACTGTAGGTCCTTTCGGTTCTCCAGGTAAACCCTCGAGATTCTGGGTAAAAACCCTGGCTGGAAAAGAAAATAATATATTTAGAGTCGTTACAAAATGGAAAACACATACATTAAAAGTAATAATGATCAATCATCGTTGATTACCTGACTGTCGATTTAGCACCGCATTTTTAAAAGCAGTAACAACCTTCGTTAGTCTGTTAGTGGTAATCAGCATTCTCTGGTAACGGTAATTGGTGAGAAGTTGACGTCTTCATACGTCCCAATTGAAGCCAACGGCGATGACACTTCTTTGTTAATTAGCCTTATATAGTCTCTTCTAGCCACGGATTAAACTTGACTGATAACAGCCAACTCAGAGGAAAATTACAGCTTAAAATAATCTCAACATGATTGAGCACTTAGGAGCAACGTGTAAGGGCATGTTTTAAGTAAATGGTTTCAATACTTTCAATTGATATAATTTTGATTTATTGGGTTAATGAACAGTGTATCAAGCTTGTAATCCACCTTACAAAATGCTTGATAAGAATGAGGTCAAAGTATGTGGTAACAGCCGGCCAATGTAAAAGAATATTCATTTCCAGCGTCTAAGAACTTTTTTTACAATTTATTAACCGATCAGCATTACATTGCTATATAGGTTAGGTATGTATAATATAAGAAACACAAAATAGCATTGTTAATTACATTCCCCGCCCCCAGGCACTATTGTCACTGTTTTTGTGGGTCTGACTGTAAGGCACTGTCCACCAATGGAGCACAAATGGAAAAAGGGTTATAATAAAACATCTTGAAGCAGTCTGGCCGGGGTTTTGCCGGAGTCTCTAGATTTCAGAAGGTTGACCTGTGCTATAAAATCCAATGCTGCGCTGGTTAAAGGAAGTTTTGTAAAGAATTGTAAGGTTGTTTTCTTGATGAAATCTTCTATAGGTTTGATTCCCAGTTGTAAATGTATTTGACGGGATCAAACTTTGAACATACCAGGGCCATTTTAGAATTATCCTTAAAACTTTATTTTGAAAGGTTTGCAATTTACGAATTGAGCTTGATGAAGCAGTTCCTCATACTGGGCAGGCGTACAACAATAGTGGACGTAGAAGAGTTTTGTATAGAAGGGTTCCATTTATAATAGACAGGCATGATAATTTATTGATTAAAGGAAACAATTTTGAATATCTGCCATAAGCCAAATTTAATTTTTATTAATATGAAATTTAAAATTTGGTCGAAGTATAAGTTACGCCTAAATTTTATTGCTTAGTCAGGAGGGTTCCATGCGATCTGTTCGCCTAGAATTTCAATATTTGGAGGATCTGACGGTTTTCGGAAGGTGAAAATCTTCGCTTCACTCTTCATCGGATTTATGGCTATTCTCCATTTTGTGAACCGTTCCATCAAATCATTTAAGGAATCTTGAATGTTTTGGGCCACAATTTTGATGTCACGTGTAGAGTAGAATGAGGAGGGTGTCATCAGCAAATACGTCTGTTTGGACATCTTTTGATAAGGGCAAATCAGAAGTGTAAATATTATATAGGTGAAAGAATTGCACCCTAAGAACTTACAACTTTAAGAACTATACAGTACTTGCATTCTTCCCTTTTATTTAAAAAATTTAATAGGCATTTCTATAAACATGATGTAGAATTTCCAATTCCAAAATATTATCTACAACTTTTGACTATTGATACAACTAGACATTCCATACCAATGTTAAAGTTGTCTACATTTTTTTTGTACAGTGAACAGACAGAAAATAACAGGTAAAACTAAAGGATCGTGCATAATTAATGATTACAAAATTTATTTTGGATGATTATTACTTAAGTTTTATAAAGGATGTTTGTAATCAATTATTACCAATTATAAAAAAAATAAATCCAATTAAAATTGTATGTTTTACTATGAAGAGATGCCACACTAGTTAATTTGTATGTTGAAATATATATTTTCAAGTGCTAGAATAACACATAGGTATCTCTTGCTTCTTATAAGCTCTTAATCTTTTCATCCAGGCTCTTTTGATTAATCGCCTTATAAGTCTGCAATTGACGTAATGACGTTTTTACAATCTATATGGGTATCTCGCAGGGTGAATTAACAAGTTTGTTGTGTAATAATTAAGCATTTTTTTAGTTATTGGTTTGTTTGCATCTCCGCATATACAGTACTCTTCCCTTATATTTTATTAAAATGTCTTCTACGTTTCAACAGAAGAGCACAATGACCTTCAATTATAATAAAACCATTATAGTTTTATAATTATTGTAAAAACTGTTTTATTTTAAAATGGTTAAAAATAAAATCTAATAGTATCAGTAAGGGAGAATTTTTGAAAATTACCATTTAAGGGAGTACTGCTGTACTCATCGAATACTATCTATCTTATTACTTTTATAAAATTGAAGTGGTGTCTGTCTGGGCAGCTGTCAAGACTAAAATACTAAACCATATAGCCAAAATTAAACACTAAGATGGTCCACATTCCACATATCTAGGAATGTCATAGGCCTATTCACTTCTCTAAGTTCCTCTTGGGCTATAACCCTCGGATGTCCAAAGTTTTAAGGTGAGGTTTTCAAAAGTAAATATTAATAATTAGTCTCCATCACGAAAACTAGAAAAATCATTCGTGGTCTCCATGGAAGAACGAGAAAATTCACAATGTTTACCTTTGCTTTGACATTTAAATGTAAACAACCAGAACTGACAAATGCCAATTTAAAATTTCAGACAGCTGAGCCAAAAAAATTAAATAAAATATTTTACACAACTATTTGGTAGGTTAATTTAATCTTAAACTTTATGATAGATTTTTTATTGTAAATCTATTTAAATGATTATGAAACTGATTTTCCCCGTTGCGAAGCACGGGTATAGCAGCTAGTATTATTTAAGGTTGGCTTGCATTTGCCTTACTGTATATATTTTAATTTTTTCCTTAAGTGAGGCTCTGCTAGTTTACTCAAGCCAAAATCTTGAAAACGGTAACAGAAATCTGACACGTACTTTCTCCCATTAGCTTGCCGACATCCTTTTGGTAAGCAGTGGGAGTAACTATATATACAGTGGTAATTTTTAATGGGGATTTTACGTTTTGTTAGGAGTTGAAAGGGCCATAACCCTTAACTCTTTCAGTGATATAATATGCAACGATATATCGCTGTGCGTCTTTTTCTTGAAAAGTACTATGGAACGATTTTGTTGTTCGTTGTTCGCGTATCATCCAAAAAGTGCTAAGAGACAATATTCGTCGCGACTTTTAATCGTGTAAGTTTAAAAGGGCATATCGGTTGACTCGGTTGTTGTTTCAAATCAGCGATGGTTTCTTTTGATTCCTCATACGATCGAGGCTCGATACATCCGAGGGGCTCAATATATTGTTCCTTATTAGCACTTTTGAGATGAAAAATTTTATTTTTACCTCTTTTTTCACGCACACTAGACTTTGCCCCCATGGCATAAGCCTAGCACTTTTTGTACAAAATAAGTAAATAATTGTAGTTGTAAAAATTACAAAAAAATTCTAGCATCAAAAGAGTTAAACTAACTAATCGCGGGGTGTTTCTGTAAAAAACAGATTTTTCTGTTATTTTTATGGGGGTTTTTGGGAAAATCAAATAGGTCAAAAACGTAGGGAGGGAAAGTAAAAAAAGTAACACGTAATTATTCAATTTTTTATTAGAAAACCTAAATTAGTTGCCTGAATTGTAGGAACTTAAAAAAATGAGTTCCAAACAAACAAAATGGAAACAGCTACGGTATCCAAAAAAACATATCTTAAACTTCATAGTTTGAAAGGGAGAATATTAAAATAATTATTTTGATTTATAGGAAATGGATGATTGACTTTATCAATTTGAATAGTTCTACAATCAATATTATAAATGTTTTAAGAATTTAAAGAATTGATTTTGTGTAGTTGCGTCTACATATTTATTTTCCATGACATTTACTCCTTAACTTGTTCACCTATATATAAGGGTGTTGTCCGAAAAGGAAATTTTTCGTGTATTTGTTCTAATAATGTACAAATAAATTACTCACAGCTCAACGAAAACTACTAATTTACAAGCGTGAATCAGTCTTGCTCTTGAGTTTTCAAGATACTCTGATTCTGATACAGTACAATTATCAATTATCAATTATCAATTATCAATTATCAATTATCAATTAGTTAAGATGGGGACGCCACTATGAAAAGGGGTCGGGTACTGTATGAACGACAGAATTATTATTAATGTTGTGTACCATGATAGATAAAACACACACCCTTGAGTTATCATTCATGTCAGATTTACCATTGTTAATTATACCAGTTTAATGTTTCTGTATAATTTTATTTTCGATAAACCTTTTATCATAAAAAAATATATACAGTTATTACAACAAAATACCATTAAATAAAAACAGCATAGTTGCATAGTTTGTAAAAGCCAACTTATTGTTTAACAGATATGATCAGAAGAACAAGAACCCAGCAAAAAAATTTAAAAAAAAACAGAACAAAGCTTTAACCTCAAAAGTCAAAACTAACATCAAGAGTATGTATTTTCTTTTTAATGCTTTGATTTATTTTTACCTAGAAATTTCGTAAATTTTTTTACGATTATCCGTATTCTGGAAAGTGAGTATTGGTTATTCAACTACCTATAAAGATTATTGTGTATTGAATTGAACGAATTGTGTAGGCTGAAGCCTGAAGCACTGAAGTTACCACTGACCTGACCATAGGGGTTGTTTATGTTTACAAATTTTCTGTCAGTGTAATGATTTTCTGTTAGCATTGATAAATGTTTGATTATTTAATTATTTGATAATTGATTTATTTTTTGCATCACAGAAGTAATTTCTACATTGGTATTAATTAATTAATTGACGATTTATGAAATGGTCTTGTCTTGTACCCTATTAAATTTTTAAGGTAATAGTGTACATTTTATAATTGAGGACATGAAAGCTTTGAAAGGAAATTGGTTCAAACACTAAAAATCTTGATGGAAATACTGGGGATTGAACAAATGTCCATAGATTAAAGAATAAAATAAACTAGCGTACTTGGCGCACAGAATCGTGCACAATCTAGACATATGCCTAAGTAGGAGAAGAATTTATATTGATCTTTTTATTTGGCGTTTCTTGGTTTTGTTGTTTAATGTGATATGGTAAAAGGTCTAATTCAGATCTCAGTTTAGGTGCAGTTTTTGCATTTTTTGTTGTGAAAGTCAGTAAGTTAAAAGATTCTCTTTTGATTAATCGACGATAACCTAAATGATAAACCAAAGCCCCTCGTTTCCACCACCACCCCTGGCTTAAGTCTGGGACTTATTAGCCAGGCCAATTCCCCTTGAAAATATTCTTTCTTCTTAGGCTTCAGCCACTTTCAATCCTCGTCCAGACACATTATATGTCCAAAAGACCTAACAGCACGACTCCCTTCCTTCTACCGCCCTGAGCGATAGGGATCATTGGGATTCACTCCAACCTTTCCTCTCCCTCTTAACTTAATGGGGAAGTTTTCATTCCTTTTCTTTCTTAGGTTTTGTTTGTTTCTTTTTTCATATAAAAATCCTGTATGTAGCCTAACCCTAGTTCTTCCTATTTCCCTAGCTACTTTCCTAAACGTCTCAATTGTTTTCTTGTCCCTCATAAAGTTTTATTTTCTCATCTCTAGACCTTTCCTATCCAAGACTTCTCCCTGTTCTCCTATTTGCCTCCTGAAGTGGACAATTCATAACTTTATTAGGCTACTCGCGGTCTTTATTTTTCCCCATCTACATACTTCCTCTTCCACCCTTCCACCAGGTTAAATCTCCAAAAATTCGCCTTGACATTTTTCATGTCCTGTGACAAACTGCGTTTCATAATGGCTCATCTCCCAATCTTGTTCCAGTCTCTTTCTGATGTTTGGCATATGTATCCGAACGTTTACCTTTATTCCTCACTCTGCTCCAGCTTATTTGCCATCTAACGTCTCTCTCTTCTGGCACTATTGCTTTCTGATGTAGATTGCTTTGTATTGATGTAACTTGTCCTATCTTGTCCTCTAAAATCCTAATCCTTTCTTCAATGAGCAGGTCGAGTGGTATGGCTCCGGTCTAAACCCTAATTGTATCATGGAATCATGCCATAGGTAGGTACTGTGTTGTATGATTTCCCCACTTTGAACAAAACTCTTCTTTGCAAACATTTTCTCCATTTAAGAATAACATGGGAACTTTAAAGGATAAGTTCTGGGAGTTTTGTTTTTTATTGGTTTATTATAGTTAAGTAAGGTTATCAATTAAATTGACACTTTTATTTTTGATAATATGATGGACTAAAAAATCAAAGCTGTAGGGAGTTTATGTGTTACACTCCTCCGCTCCTGTTTTATTTAGGCTACTGTTTCCACTGAAGTAACTTAGACCTATTATTTTTTCAGGATGGTTAAGATGGAAATCACCCCAGAAAAGTACCTGATATCAATGGCAAAAAAGTATTTGGAGAATGATAAACACATGTCTAAAGCATGGTTACTAACAGCTACAACATTATTTAAAAATAACTTTGATATTCAGGTAAAGTAAAACTACAAAGTAAAGTAAGTTACATAGCCCATCACTCCTCGCACATATCATAAGAATCGGCTAAGCCCACATCTGTATTATTCAGTTTAACTTAACTGGTTGGCATATCCAACTTTGACTAGCTTTATAAAGAAACAATTCTCTGCCATAGTGAGCATATTTTAGTTGTTATTATGATGCTTGAAAGTTAATATCAAATAACTTATTTGGGCCTTTCCATGTAAAAACAACCAGTAAAAAAACATTTTAACACCCATGGTCTCAGATTGTTATGAAACTTAGCAAGCTTGTTCTTTTATAGATGAAGAACTAACCTATACCAATTTTTATTGGGTACTTTGGTATTATCCGGAGGCCACCTTTATACAGCATGCTGCGGTGGTTATGTTAGGTTGGGTTAATGTTTGTAGGACTGTCCTCGTTTCATTATGAATCAAACAATACCAGATGAGTCATACTTTTGCTCGCCAAATCCACTCCAAGTAGCTAAGGTGTGGTTGTTGACCGGAGCACGCCTGTATCTAGTGTGGCTGCTAGAGGCGGCAACGCATTCAACTCAATCCTCGCCGACATCGCTGCCTTCCGGGAGGCAGAACTCAAAGGCCGCTAATTGTAATCATGTCAAATTTGGACAGTAAGTCAATTAACGTATGTTCTTTCCATTTATGATAACCCAACCTAACATAATCGCCGCAGGGCGCTGAATAGGGTGGCCTCCAGATAATACCAAAGTATCTTTTACTGTCCTATCTCTAAGACTTATTTATTTTTTTCAGCCCTTTAAAGTTTTTATCATAATATCACTGTTCTCTCAAGATTCCAGGAGTGGCTAGGTCTGGCCATGTGTTCTCTTAGAAAAGCATCATATCTTTGGGTATTTGTAAATGAAACTAGTCTACATTAAATTTTTGAGTTTAACTAGCCTAGTTATAATATGATGAAATTTAGAAAAAAATATAACTTAACACACTACATCTCACTTTGAAATAGCCAAGGCCTACCATTTATTTTAATTTTGAAATTTAAATCTTTTGAAAAGCGATTACAAGGTTTTACGTTTTACGCAACATTCAAGTAAGGGGGATTGACATAAACTTTATCAAACAAAATATATTTTTTTAATAATCCCAAGGACATTTTCTTCCTTGACCAATAGTAAAACTGATGGATTTTTGTCTTTCATATTTTGTATTTCCAACCTTAAATACTGAAGGTATAGGCTATAATCCTTATGAGGAATTTTGTATAGGTAACCTTTCAATTTAATCACAGCTATGTTTTACAGTTTGAAGCATATGAGATCGAAAAAGGGGCAAAGAACTGCAGAGAAGCTGCCAAATGTCTGAACAATTTGTAAGTTTCAGATTCCAGTAGCCTAACTAATATTCATTAAATTATTTACGGTATTTAATTCTTGCAAATGAATACTCTCATATGTATAACATAAAATATGCTCATAGTTACAGTAGTTATTGTAATGCAGTAAGAATTTGTAGGGCCCAACTGCTATCTTTGCTAATGAATTATAGTTTGAAATCTTGGAATTTCTTGGATGTTTCAGCCTAGTAAAAAAAAAAAAAAATAATAAAATGAAATGGAAAAATAAAAAAATGGACTATCTTATTACAACAGATGGTTTTTTTAGTGTTTGTTGTGGATTTGTGTGTGTTAGTGTTTGGCAACATGTTAAGCCAGTCTGTTATTTAGAAAAGGCCTAAATACGTTCATTTGCCGCTAGCCAATGCTATATTGGCCTCTTTGAGAACATTGTTTTAGCGTAAGAAAACGTTACTTTTATTCAGTATTTTGGTTAGAATAGCTCAAAATGTTTTTAATATAAATGAAAATGTTGTAGCAAGATAACCAGACACTAAACACATATCAAACCTGCCTTAAGAAAACGTTACTTTTATTCAGTATTTTGGTTAGAATAGCTCAAAATGTTTTTAATATAAATGAAAATGTTGTAGCAAGATAACCAGACACTAAACACATATCAAACCTGCCTAAAATATGTAAGTTATAATTTTATTTTAGAATCATAGACTTAAAAGAAATATTGTAGACTAAAGAAGGTAATCATTATGCAGAATTATTTCCCATACGGTTTTGTAATCAAGAATCTATTTTATCTAGGTTTTGTCAGTTCCCTACCAATGAAAGACTGTGGAGTGAGATTCAACTGATTGTTGCTGCGTTGCGAACTGAGCATCCTGACGAGAATCAGCAATTCTTCGTCAACATGTTCAACAATTTACCTTCAGGTAGATGTCGATGATATCATAAATTTGTCTTAGTAAACTATTGGAAGTTAAAAAAGTAACCTTCAAATCAACTCTTGAGAGAATTAAAGCAAAAGCAAGTCTAATTTTAGACTAACTGTATTGTTGTGTGTTATTTAATCAGAATGTAAAACAAAACTATTTATTTTGACATACAGTAGTTACTAGTAGACTTGAGATCTGAGAATTTTCCGGATTGTATTTATTTACCTGCAAAAGATTTTCTCGGCTTTTGGGGCCTGTTTCACAAATAAACTACAAACTAAAATTATTAGTAAATCAGCTGATCTCCCAATGCTAATTAATGGAAATCACATGTTACAAGTTACATGTAGTTTATTATGAAACAGGCCCCTGGAGTCTCAAACAAAATACATACACTTCAGACCTCACTAGTTTTACCATGATTGGGTTACTACATTAAATACCCCCGCCGCAGCAAACCTGCAGACCAAGCGAATTTCCATTGACCTGATTGGATTTACACTAAAATGCCTCCATAAAAATAGCACATTTATTTCCTATTTAAATATAATTAGTTTAACAAGTACCTTAGGTTTGCTGCAACAGGGAGGGTAAAAAAGATTTTTTTATAAAATGATAATAGTTTAGTAAGAAATAAAAGTATTTTCCAAAATCGATCAAAATATGTTCATAAACAAGCAAACTGCAACAGTCGACTTATTCTCCATAAGAATAACATGGGAATTTTAAAATTACAATTTTTTTTGAATTTTCTCCGTAACAATTAGGCGCATAATAACGCTTCAATATACTAAATTATTTGTTTTTTTAAGCTCTACAAAATGGTTTAAAAAGAAATTGTGAAATTTTGTGTTTTTAGGGACAAAAATGGGAAAAACCTATTTTTACCCCATAAAACCCCCCATAAACCCCCGTTCCCATAGTCCGATCATGCTGGTTCGCGAACTCATTCAAGTTTATCCCGCCTTACACCTTCAAACCAAATTTTATCAAAATCGGACAAAAATTACTCAAGTTATCGTGCGGATGGACACATATATATATATATATATATATATATATATACACGGCCGCGCCCGGGAAGCCAGTCACATAAAATATACACTGGAAGTCAGTCAGTTGCACCCCCCAATATATTTCAAGACTATGATATATATATAATATATGTTGGTAAATATCTTAAGCCTAGACATATCTGAACGTATATATCTCTTTTTTTCTTAAAAATACTAAAATATAATTACGTAAAAAATGCTATGCTAATGCAGTCACCACCGCATTTGCATGGGAAAGCCAGTCACGTAAAATTTGTGCTGCTAAGCCAGTCACTATATATTTTACCGCATACCACTGGAATCCAGTCACTGAAAATCCACCCGGGTATCCCGTCACTTCAGTCACTTTCACCCCTGCCCTTCTACTTTGTGATATTTATTTGTTCTACAAGCTTGAAAATCCGCACCTCAAACAAATGGATTATGCTTCAGGCATTGAGCACTCTCATAACCCATCTTTCGCACTTCATTTTAATTAGTTGTCTTCCAGATTACTTAACAATTACTATTCTACAGATTAAATACCTAAATGTCAATGTAATCTTTGGTCGTCTTAATAGTCGTCCTGGCAACTGTGGATACAAATATGTACCGTACTAATTCGCAAGCGTAAGGTGGGAAGTTATTGCTTTATAGTCGCACAATTAGGCCTATTGTTGAGTCCTTGGAGGCAAGCGGCCATCTTGGATGATTTCAAAAAGCTGCAAAATTTATCGTCCAAAAATATTTTTCAAACACCAAAGTGTTTATAATTTAAATAGCTAGTATACTGTGGGATTAGAAATGTTCTTTGTAGTTTTGAATTATTCTCCAAGGGAGTCCATAAAATAAGTTAACGGTCACGGTCATCTTGGAAAAAGGCCAACTAATACGAAAACAATATCCTGTGTTGCGCGGGCCGTAGCACACAAATAGTTTTCCCGCCTCAAACAATCAAAGGCGTGTGGAACAAGGCAAAATTCTTGTCTCTTTTGTGGCGAGAGGTAGGGGCGAGCCTAACGGGTTCCATTGATGGGCTACCCGGCTACCGACCGACCTGGGGTAGCGACTAGCGAGCCAGTGGATGGTTAAAGGTTCTGCCGGTTATTTCCATCTTATTGCTGGTTCTCGAGCTTTTTGAGCTCGTTGTACAGTGAAATATTACTTCCCTATTTTATATAGCCACAATCAAAGCGATTTTTACAAGAAAGAATGAAGATATAGACTCAGTGATGTGTGGTTACTTAATTAAATCATGTTCCTTGATTGTTTACCCTTTTGTAAGAGCCAATAATCAATCAACTTATATTTCTTTATTTTTCGATTTATTATCTATATCAATTCAAGAGGTAGCCCTGTACCTGGTTAACAAATATACCGATTACATTTAACGTGTTTTCTTTGAGTTACGCCCCATGGGATACCAAAGTTTCACAATGTTTACATTTTTGAAGAATGTAGATAACAGAATGTTTAACGAAGTCAGCTTTAAATGCTGTCAATAAAGTTCTTTGATTTTGCGGTCCAAAAGGTAGAAACGATTCGATTTGTGAAACTTTTAACTTTTGCTACGGGCCTGTTAATTGGAGATTGTGACATTCTTAATTTAAGGAAGTAAACGTATTAACATTACGTGTTTGGAGTGGGATTTGAAATATGTGACGTGTATCAAACTTTTTCTCTTCAAAATCCTCTCCGATGTAAAACACAGGTACGGCAGCTAGGTTTATTAGAATTCAAAAGTTTTTTAATTGTCCTCCAATGTTTAGAAATTATTTTTCGATCAAGTTGTTTAATGAATAAATAATTGTTTTGCCAAATTATGTTTCGAAAACAGGAACTAAAAATAGATCAGGAAATAGATATTTTAGTTCAGAAAACAAAGCCAATCAAATAGGCCTACGTACTTTTTAAATAAAAACACTGGTCAGATGGTTTTTAACTTTGCTGTTTATTTACTTCAATAAATTTCTAATAAAAATCACCACAGGTACTAATCTATATAAATAAAATTAGAGTTTTGTCTGTACATTGCTCAGAATCATCAACTTTTAGATTATTTTTACGTTTTAAACATTCAAGAATCCGAAAAAAGTTTCATCTCAATTCCGTTATTATCTGAATCATCAATTATTATCTCAATTCCGTTGTTGTCTATCTTCCGTCTGTCACGGTCCAAAGGCCATTTTACGCGGCCTTCTCCTGAAAACGAGAGTACCTATCAAGATCCTCGAATCATTTTAATGTATTCACTGGATTGGCGAAAGTGTCTTTAGCTATTAAAATATGGCCTCGCTACTTTGTAAAAAAAACTTACGGACGTTTAAAACCCAATTTTGTGCGATTTTTGTCAAGTTTTCTCACAATGTTTATCACATAATCATCATATGAAATAGCGAACAGCTGTTCGGATCAAGATCATTTTTCTCTAGCAGTCACTGATATGTTTAAATTGAATATTGTTTACAAATACCGCAATCATTTCAGATCAAGTTTCAAAAGAAAATCCAAACCAAGTTGGATTAAAACCGTTTTTCCTTACATAACGGATTTAATTAATCGCAAGTGCAATAATGTGTAGGGTAACCGTAAATGAAAATAGAGCTTCTTTGTGTATAGAATTTCTATCGAGTTTTGGGTTTATAACCGGGGAAAAGACTTTGACTCAGTGTTCTATATGCCTGGGAAACTTACATTTTTTACATAAGCGTTACCAATAGCTTACATATAAGGTTTCAACTCGTTGACGGCACTTCAATGGTGGTTGTGTAAAGTGTTTAGAGACAACTGCAGTGGGTGATTGTAACAGAGGTTTACGGATTATGCTCAAATCGTATTTCTAATGTGTCTTCTCAACGCTATGTGCTGCTCGCTGGACCATACGTCCAACAGACCAATTATCCATCTCTTGGGTTCGTAGGCCTAAACAATTATTCATAAGTTGGTAGTGCATATAACTCAGTGTTCCGTACGGACAGGCCAAGAGCACCTTTGATAGTGAAATTTCCAACCTGAATGTTTAATGGCGAGGTTGAGGTATAGTATTTTAACTATATATCGTTTGGTTAGTTAGGTAAGGTTAACCTAACCTAACTAACCAAACGATATATGGAATTAAACAATCGAATAATCAATATTACTAATTTAGTTGTTTGTGCCAACAGATATGGAAGTGTACCCCTCATAGATCTATTACGCATTTTTTTTTTTTTTACTTGAAACTGTCAGATACTGTATTTGTTTGTATATAATAGTTTGGCTAGCATATCTGAAAATATGCAAACCAATAGTTTTTCTTTATTTAGGAAGGTTTCAACTGACCACTAGAGGATCCCCGTGCGTAGAACGGGCACACAGCTAGTAATTAATATTTAATTAATACATCTTATCTTACTAATATTATAAATGTGAAAGTTTGTGTGTTTGAAGTTCAATCACGCATTAACTACTGGCACAGAAGATATACTGTTTTTAATTTATAAATAATTTGTTATATTGTGCGAATCTTGGTGATTTGAATTTGGTGATTTGCTTTTTTCTGCTGTTTAGGTGCAGTGGTAGAACATTGTTATGGATATGGTAGATGTTTTATACTATATTATACCGTAAATGAAAGAAACGACACGACGAGTGTCGTTGTCAATAATGTCGTCTGATTCTGACTGATGTCAGATGTTACACTGAATCGGTCACAGGGATAATAATTAGTTGTAACCTACCACTAGCTTACCTAACTAAGTTTGAGTGTTGCTATTTGCAGTGTGGGATGATTGCACTGGACAGTTTAGCTATCTATTTCAGAAAAATAAAGTTTAAAATAAATCAAATTCTAGGATCTGTTCTTAAGTTGTGGCCGTTTTGAGATGGATGCTTTCAGAGTTCAGTTTAGCCTAGCCTGAACAACTGGATTAGTAGCTTGACTTAGTGGTTCATCCATGTTTAGTTTATAAACACTAATCAATGCCTAATCTAGATTATAGGTGCCTTATTCTACTCTGTTTTAAAACTAATATACATAGGCATAAGCTTTAATTTTTGTATTAAATACTGGGTGCATCATTAAGGTAACTCCGTTAGGTTGCTTTTTATAAATAAATAATTTCATAAATCACTGATACCCTATATCATCTAAGTGTGCTCAGTACATAATGACACTCTCTCAAAAAAGTACTAATCCTAACCCAAAAAAATATAGATAGGTAGCTTTAGGCCTACAGAGGATGAGTGTTTATATTTATATCACTTATATTTATATGTCTGTGGTAAGGTTTTGGTTATGTTTGCCTTAAGATGGCTATAAGCTTAGGACTAGATATCAAATAAACTCCCAATTAACTTATAGTGCAGTCTAGCCCTAATTTGTCAGTGTCAATGAAATAGTGCAATATCAAGGACAACCAAACTTGGATATACAACCATGTTTATACCTAAGGTTCCTTTTTGGTACTCACCAACAAGGATCAACCGTAATTATTTTCAGTCAGAAAGTGTCCTGAGTTTCCAGAAAATTGTAACTTATTACATTTTAAAAATTGAGGGTAAATTAAACGTTTCGGTTCTGGTTTTGAGCGAGTCCAAGTTCTTGCAGTGACTAATGATTCAAAGGAAGGAAGGTGGGAAGATTTTCATACTACTAATAGCCTTCTTTGAATTCAGCGTGAAAAATACTGGGTAATTTCTATAGTTTCGGCCATTTAGGGGAACCAAACAAATTTTTAAAAACTCTTCTATCTCATCATTTCAGTAAACTATGATATTATTATTTGAATAGAAGTTAAATGTCAAGAAAAAAAATACCGCAAATTATTATTTTTGGGATAGCATTACATTGACCAAGGAATACTCTCAAAGTGTAAAGTTTCCCGAACAAAGCTCGGTCCCCAGCTACTTGTCAAACAACGCAATAATGTACGTTATTTCATAAAATTTGTACCTGAGAAATGTAAAAATGGAAAATGCATTTCTCGTAAGTGTAAGCAAATCTTAAAATTATAGGATTTGTAATGATACGATCTTAAAACGAGCAATTCAGTATTCTTATTCAAAACACCAAACACCCGCCACTGGATCAAAATATGCCCGCACGGCGCAATCCGGCGCGGTGGGAAGCCCCTCTCGTACAATTTAAATTACGTACATAAGCCAAAAATAAAAAAATATGATTTAGAACATTTCACTTTTTGTATACAGAATCCACTGTTTTTAAACTAACCTGACCAAAAAATAAAATAAAGTAGTAGCCGACAAAAAAAGTTCCGTGGAAATTTGCTATGTCACGTTTCATAAAACATTAAAAATAATCGACTTTATTTGAATATTTAAAATGAAAAGTACCGGGGGACCGAGCCGTGGCTCAGTATGTATATTTCGATTGTAAAAGCAATATAAAGGAAACTCGTGTTTTCTTTATAACTAATTTCGGCTTTTATTGTTTAAGTTTCAGTGGAATTTCAATTTACTATGATGTAACTTTAAATGGACAATGCAACACATTACTTTATTTTAATCTTACACATTTCTGTTATTGTAAATAAATCATAGAAATTTAAAAAAAAATAAAAGTAGTATTTTTTTAAATACGTTCTTAATGAATGAATTAATATGCGATCACAGGTTAATACAGTAGCAATCAACTACACAGCATTAAAACAGCACAGTGTATGTAAGGGGTGCGATTTATTTCTTGGTACTAAATTAAGTCATTCTTCAAGTATAAGTAAAACTTCAGCATGGGCATACTCTCTAACGTACTATCATATGATGGATTAGCTGAAGGCAGATAAGTCCGATTCAAGCTTATATTGCTTACTATAAAGATTGTTGTAATACAATTAACTTTAACTAGTGGTCGTCCAGTGGTCGAAAACTCGACCAAAAATATGTAATGTACAGGTTTCAAATGATTTAGGCCTAAAACTTTTTTTCCCCGTGTGAGTAACTAAGGACTTCTGGATAATTTAAATATGATATTTATATGTTTCTTACTCAGGAACAATGCCGTTCCGGGACACTATATAAATGGACGTTAACGTGGTTATAAATTTGCATTTTACATAGTCAAAATACAATAGGTATTGCGCAACCGTGATATGTGAAGTCATTAACCTTGGTTTACTAATAAAAACTACACCGTATGCTTACTCAAACAAAACAAAACTTGCTTACTGTACAGCAATAAATCACGTAAAGAACAAAACAAAATGAAAATGTAGACTAGAAGACTACTGATACCGTAGTCATCCTAGGCTACTACTACATGATGTTTCAGAACAGAAGTATGGGGATAAAAATATTAAATAATATTCTTTCTTTGGTTTCTCTACATCCACAAGTTGTCATGGTTACTAATCACCCAACGACCCAACCACAAAATATTGTAGTGTTGTGACAGCAGACAGAAGCAGACGATTGTCAGTATGTCAGTGTCAGTGCAAGATTGTCAGTGTGTAGGTGCGAGCGTATAGCTTGACCTTGACGCTACTGATCGGTATTTCTCCGTTTTGCTTCCATCTTATTTTTGTTAAATGATCTGTAATATTTCAATAATTGGGAACCTACTGCACATAAAAATTACCGTAAATAGTTAAATATATCGTTCATATCGAAATATTAGACTGAAAAACACAGTTAATAAAACATTTTCTTGGGATTTGTGAGGTTATATAATATATAGGCATCATGATGATGCGACTCCAGTTAAGCGAGGTTCTACTGTATTTGCAAGTTAAAGTTACAAATAGAAAACCCATTATGGTTTGTATTCAATGACCGATGTATTATACAAAATAAATTATAACTTATTTTGATATTAATCAGCAGCATTTATTACAGCTTGCAGCACTTATTGGCATATATAAATATCCCAGTTACTATTAGTAAAAAAAAATAAAACACAAAATTGTGTGGCCATTCAATTTTTATAAACACAGTGTTAAACATTTGACTCTGCAGAATACGGGATGGTAAAGAGTGTTTGGTTTCAAGAAAATAAAATAAAAAATAGTTTAACCTGCTTTACTATTTATTTTGAAAAATAATAGATAGGAAACCATAAGGATAGGTATGGGATTGAACTGAAATAATTGCAGGAAAACTTAAATCGTAAAGTCCACAATCTGTACATTGTTAGAGAGAGAGAGAGAGAGAGAGAGAGAGAGAGATTTGATAAGGAATCTGAAAAGTAAACAAATAATCGTTTCTGGCGTTCGTTATATTGTACCCCCCTCCCCCCCGTATTTGCACTCGTGACCACTTTTTGTTGCTTCCTTATCATTCATCCGTCCCAAAATATAATTCCTGTAATAGTTTGTTTGTAAAATTGAAATTATTATAAAAATATTTTATCTTTCGAGTGTAGTTTCATGGTTATTCTTATCAGATAGAATAATATCGTTGTCATATGTAATAGTTACTCCTTCGCGTTACGCAATTGCGTAAAAAACAGTTCCAGTATCTCGGACAAGATTCACGTATATTTCTCGAGATAAAGAAAATCCGTATAGTTCCCGGTCCGTGGAAACACTGTAAATACTAGGATAAAAAATATTGTATAAAGGAGAAGTTGACTAAAATTTCAACTGAAGGTAAAAAAAATCAAAATAACTTAAAATATGAGATGATGAACGGGTAGGATCAAGATTCAACCAATTATAATTAATTAATATTCGACGATCCTTATTAGAGGTGCATCATATTTATTTGGAGTATGAACATGTTTAAACATTAACACGTAGTTAATCACTATCCCAACACAAATAGTAACAAGGAGTAAACGAAGGTTACAGACCGCTGGGTTTTACCGCTACAAAGTAGGGTAGGGTGCCGTACTGGCTACACTACTCCACGATAGAACACACGATGAGACAGTCTCCGCATTGGTATTGCAGTTACGCTTATCGACACAGGCAGCAGCACCGGTTTGCTGTTTTCATACGTATAAAGTGCACGGGAAGCCATACCTGACTGGCTTATGGGAGAGCTGACTGGCTTTCGGGCGGGTGACTGCCACACCGAGTAAATTACCAGCGCACTGACTGCCAAACCGGGTGGGCACAAAAGTATATATATATATATATATATATATATCTCTATATATAGATATATAAAAATTTGAACAAATGGTGTTTTTGGCCTCTGGGGACATCAAAATGAAAAAGTAAATCGGTCCCGGGCTTAGGTCTTACCATGAGACCTACGGTAATAGCTACTTCCCTATAGGGAAATTCGCTAAAACTACTTCCCTATTGGAAAATTAACTATAATATGAAATCCTGCCTATTAATTGCATGGTCGGTTCTGTACTGAGATGCCATTTGTCATTAGGACGTCAATTAATAATGCTATCTCACTGAAAGTCAACGTTAAATCTAGTAACCAGAGTTTGGACATGAATTGAATAGCACCCTCGACCACGCTGTAAGTGACAAAAGTAAATATTCCTCGAAAAAACACAATAACGTTCTGGCTGTGTCAACAGCACAATCCCGCACAGTCAATTGCTTGTAAGTGCTGCCAACCTATGTATTTAAAAAGCGAAATATCCCATGCAGTGTTCAAATTCACAAAATATGTCGTTGACAATGTTTTTTTGCGGAGGAATTCCATTATATAAAATGTATAAACATATGGTTTATACACACACAACAAATGGTTACATACTACATGCAACCATAGTCAATGATGCAACTAACCACTGATTGTTTACATTTTACAGAAGTTCAACGCAACATGTTGTTAGTCACAGCTGATCATAGTGAGGATACCATGGAGCACTGTCGTCTCATGTTGTTGTTGTTGACCAAGTTTCCTGTCACCATTTCTCAGCATGGGGTAACGTACTTCACCCAATCATTCAAACCACTGACGTAGAAACAGATAAATAAAAAATAATCCAATTAGCATTAAATCCTTTAAAGGATTAACCCTCTGGGTGTTATGGCTCTTCACCCGATGCCATACTGAAAAGTTCAAGTCAATTTGAACCAATGTTACTGCACAAAAACAAAACTTTAAATATATTTTTTGAACGGGTAGCCTCTGGGTTTATCAAGATACAATTGAAGTGGCTTAAATACCTGTAATGTTGATAATCCAAATTGTTACGCAACTAGTTTCGACTCACAATGGAGCCTTCTTCTGGTTTTTGCAAGGACATTGTCACTTCTTCTGCAAGTCGTCAAAGTTCATAAATATTTACAAAACATGGATCACATTTAAAACACACAACACGCATGACTAGGCCTAGCTTTAACAACGCGACCGACAGTAGTTTAGTCTAGACGTAAACTCCCGAAGAAGTTTGATGACCTTCAGAAGAAGCAACAATGTCCTTGGAAAAACCTGAAGTTGGCTCCATTGTGAGCCGAAACTAGTTGTAACACAACAACACAACCATTTGGATTATCAATATGTAATGTATTTAAACCACTTTAATTTATATTCTAGGCAAACTGTTAATTTAATTGTATAGCCTAATGTCTTAAAAATTGTCATAATGTAACACAATTTTCGTTCTGGTGTACAACTTTCTGTATTCAAAGTGTAAATTGACAAAACCACACAAGACCACATAACAGATCCTTAATAATTATTCATCGCCTATGACGAGTATTTGAGAACCAAACATGTTGTAGAAGCTGTTTTATTTCAGGCACGCCTGGTAGATCTTCTAGTCTCAGCCGAAAAACACGAACACGAACAAGCTATTAACTGTTATCGTAAGTTATTAGGTGAGTTCAGTCTACAACTTTGCAAGTTGTGTAATAATTAATGCAAAACAGTTGTGTCTTTATGAATAGACAATTAATAGACGTCGATTAATTAGTTGGGTGCTAGGGCCTAGGTTTTAAAAGTTGTTGTTGGGTTAGTAGGATGAAACCAGAATGGGAAAAAACCACTAGAAACAAAAATTAACTCCATTCAATAATTGTTTCATTATCACCATTTGGGAGCATTTGGGAGCAAGGAAGGTTTGAGTAAGGTAGACAGAAAAACTTTCTGGAAACTTTACCCGACGAATGCTGTAACCTGAGGGACAGGCATTGAATTACTTTGCTAAGTCATGAGATTTAACAGTACAATAGAAACCCTCATATCCAGTTATTCTTCTTGTCTGAACATGACGGGACCGGGACATAGTCAGAACGGATAAAAGGTGGGAATATCAGGTTGAGAAAAAAAACCTTTTTACAAGTACAAAAGTATATTATTTGATTTCTCAATTTATTTTTATTTTGCCATTGCAGAAAAATCCATAACACCTCCAGCAGTCATGGCAAAATAATTATTGTTTTCCACGGTCACGGTAAAACCCAGAACATTGTTTGCAGTTGATAGGTCATCATCGTTGTCTTCCCTGATCGCAGCAGAATCTTGGACGTCTACGTCTTCCACAATCGTTTGGACATTATCATGTCTCTGGGGTCTAAAAAAAAATCAAACATCTCTTGTGGTTGTGGAAATATGATCATAGTCTCCCATAATCACTGAAAAGTAATCATCCTCATTCGCTATCATGGTGAAAAAGGGTGTCCACATTCTGGAAAGTCAGGGATAGTCATGGAAAGGCATGGAAATCCCCTATGATGGATTATTTGTGTGTGTATGTTATATTATAATTTTCGAGTAAAGGTTGTGAGTCATGGAAATCAATGGTAAATGGTCATGGATAGTCATGGAAATTAATGACAAATTTTCTGTGGACATCCTGTAAAGCGTGAATTTTTCACTTGCACGATCTTTGCAGATGAATCCTGTGATATAATCGCGATCGTAAAAGATTGACTCAAGCTTGATTTTCTGACATAGCCTTTGATCTTTTGAGCTTGTAGCTGCTCGCACACTTCTATAGATATGTTTAGCTTTTAACGGGGTCTAAGATCAGATATTATTCCAAGGAGTCAGTTATGAGGGGTTGTACCTTTTTGGTACTCGGTAGTGAGGTAGACTCTTCTGTCTAATTAAAATTTGAGCGGTTTATAGCGTTATTTTCTAGGAGGCAGCACTGAAGGTAAGGAGAGGCCCACCCAAAGTAATTAGTGGTCAGTTTGGTGGAAACTACGGGATGGGTAGGTTACTTTAAGTTGTACCTCAAATTTGGAATTAAGCTACTTTCACCTACTCTTACTTTTGTATACCCACAAAAAATGTTACAACATTTAAAACATGGTATAAATAGCATAATTAAATCAATTGATGATTTCTGGGGATTATCAAGTTAATACAATCCTGATATCTAATCCACCTGTCTGTTTTCAGTCTGTGATCTCCTGCCTCTGCTCGGGTCTGCTTCTATGGAACTTCCCACCAAACAGCTGTTTAAGCTGCTGCATAAGTCCATAGAGTTCTACCTCTGCTATGTCATGAACAAGAGTAAAGCAATTCAGGTTGGTTCAGTTCTCTTAAAGTAGCTTATCAGATTTTGTGGGTTACAAAAAGGAAATTTGCCCAAATATTATACATTTAATCCTAGTTTTCGGTAGATGTCTGCGATGTTGATTTGGCAAAGATAGTGGCGGAAGTTTTAAGGTGGCACCAACCCATCTTCAGGGCAAACTACAATTATCAGTTGAATTTTAGTACGAATTAAGTTAAATTGTAGTAGGGATCGCTCTGACACATCCAAAACGCCGACTCCTATCTTTGTCAATTTAATGGTCATTTCCCCTATTCTAAACCAACTCAATATATTACTAATTTTGAAGGGCGATTAGTGGTCATATTTAGTTTCCTTTATAGCTAGTAGAGGTGTGCGGATATCCGAAAAATCGGGTCGGATTCGGTTCGGTTCGGATATCCGTATCCGACAAACATAACACAACGTTAAAACCAAGCAAACTAAGTGTTCAAACCAAACTAAGTGTTAACTAAACAAACTAAGTGTTGTGTAATAATATATATTGTCCAACATTAGGTGGATATCCGTATCCGAACCGAGCATAAATTTGATATCCGACACTATCCGTTATATATCCGACTTTTTCGGATAGACAACACATTTTGATGTTTTGGACAGAAGAACTAAATCGTCATAACCATCATTAGTTTCCCAGGACAAAATTACAGCAATACGTTTCCAACGGACATAACAGCAAAGGACAAAGAAGCCGTATGGGTATGATGCAATACCGATGTCTAGGTTATAGTCGTCATCAACGTCGTTATCGGCTGCTTTGCTTAACGATTAGATTCGTCTGGAACGAACAGACATAAAACAGAAAAGAACTACTATGGTCAACTCGTGCTTGTCTCCTGATACTAGGGGTGCTATGCGTAATAGTTTTTTTTTTACAGTACTGTTTTAGAGTATAAAAATCTAGCCTACTTCTGTGCTGTTACGTAAACAATAGATTTAATGTTTCCCGAAAAAAGTCAGAATAGAAACAATAGAAGGCAACACAATAGGAGGGTGGGAGGGGTTGGGCATTGACCTCGAAAGAAGTCCGGGTAACGGGTAGCAACTAGCAACAGTGAGTCAGTGAGTCGAGTAGGCCGTGAGGGGGGAAGGGGTGGGCTACGACCTTGAAGCTATATATAGACCAGCACTACTTCCCTAAATCTAAAGGACTGGCGAGTGGTATTCCAATCACAGGACAGATTGTTTTTCGGGTACCTATTCATTGCCCGGTTTGACTTTGTATTGTCTTATTGTGTAGAAACTATGAATAATCAAAAATAAAATTAGAACTAACCACGATTATTTAGCATTGATTGTGTATATTGAATGATTAAGTGATAGGGACCAGGGGAAATTTACAAACTTTTGTCATAATTTGAATTTCAACATCAAAATATAATATTGCACAATCATGATATTTAAGGTCATTGACCTTTACTATGCTGACCCGGTATTGCTGTTTCAGAAGAGAAGCACGTCGATAAACTATAAATCGATATTCCCGTGGTTAAAAAGAATTATTTTATAAACATATAAAACAAAATCATAAAATCTTACATAAAGATAATAACAATAACAGCAATTGTAAAAAGGGTATAAAGATAACAACGTATTATACTTTCTCTTTGTTCTTCTATTTCTTGGGTTTCCCTTCATCACGCATTCAACAAGTTGCCTAGTTGCCATGGTTACTTATCACCCATGTCGTTATCAGCTGTTGTGACATAGCGCACAGCGGGGGGTAAAACTTGAAGAAAATCGGTTAATTTATACCTATTATTTAATTACCAATGTACTTTATTGGTACTGTATTAATAAATTGGCCGATTTTTGTCAAATTTTACACAAAATTTATTGAAACTTCAAGGTGAATATCAATAAAACAATTATACCAAATATTTTTATTCATTTAAAAGATTGATTTATGGTATTGGGTTCCCCACTGAGTGCAGCCGAGCGGCACTAATGAGGGTTGAACCATCTTGGGGGTAGACAATAGATGGCTTATCAGACCCTCCCCTCCCCAGTGATCTGAAGAAAGCTTGTAAAAAACTATTGCACAATCGTGACTTGACATTGGGCTGCTTCAACTTTAATTTTTTCAAATGAACTGTTATGTTAAAAATCAAAAACAATAATTTTGGACTATACTGCATAACATAATGGACTGCAATAATTGTTGAATATACAATCCATTTTTAACAAACTAAGATTATACTATTCAATCTTGGTATTTTACTTGGGGTAATGAAGCTGTAGGCTAGTGTAATTCTCGGTTCATCAAGGTTCTACTGAATTATGTTTGGCAGTGAATAAGTTTTGAATGAAATTTATAAATTCAGGGATACACACATTTTACAGAGTTTTAAAGCCTAATTGCCCTAATTAACTTCCCACAACATCAAATCTAGAGCCCAGCTTAGTGCATTAGTGATGTTTTCTATACTTGGCAAAATGCCACTTAAGGCCAATAATCCGTTCCAAAAACGTAAGGAAATACAATGTGAAAATAAACTTGAGATAGAAATCCTTGTCTTGTGAGAACCAGGAAACAACATAAAACATAACCTCAAGTAAACAAGCCCAAACATTTTGACATCAGTCCTGCTGAGCTAAAGTGTTGTGTGAAGATTTCGGCTGCTAGTGTACTTAATTCAAGCAACCAACTTTTGAAAATAATGTTGTGAATTGTGATTTTCAAGGGAGAGAAAACTGTGGACGTGGCTAATTTGAAACTCTGTAATTCAAAATTTTCATTTAAGTTTATTTACACAGCTTTACAGTGTATGCTTTATAGGTTAAAAATGCATATGCAGCTTATTATTAACCGCGAACTATCCGAATCCGAAAATATCCGAATCCGAACCTCCCAATATCCGATCCGAATCCGATCCGAAATGAAATTTCACTATCCGCACACCTCTAAAGCTAGATATATTTTTTTTATTTCAATACCGGTACTTAATACTGTTAGGAAACTTACAATATTACAAGCTTATCTATACATTTTACAGTTACAAAATGCTGGCTACAACCTTGTAAATTTAACTGTGCCAAAAAGTGTTAGTAAAATAAAATAAGCGATCTTGAGTCTTGACTAATATACCTTATAGGTACATCCACTCTTATTAGCTCGCTTTGAAGGTCATGGCTATTATCTATGATACTTTATAACAACAGGTTTGAAGTTAGACAGTAACAATAACAGGGTTTTAAACCATTCCCCACCTAAGAAAACAAATAGAAAAATACCCATAGCATTGAAGTAGACAGTAGACCAAATACTATCATATCCAATACATTTTTCCAGTTAATTTTGTATCCGTTTGTCTACTAGCCTTCACGATACCCTCCTCTCTCCCCACAGTTCCTCTTTCTCACTTTTTTCTCCACCTTTCTCTTCACCTTTATCCACCCACCCTCTTCCATGTCTTCCTCTTCCATCCATTGCTTTTAACTCAGTTTTTCTAAAAAATCTTCCTTTTTACATTAATTTTTACATGATTTATTTATGCATTAGTTTTATTTTTTCCATCCTTCTCCATAAGCTGCTTTTAACACTCTTCCAATCTCTTCCTTCCTTACTTTATCATAGTTTGTTTACTCTATAAAAGTTTACAAAACGATTACGTTAACACTATTTACGCGATTTGCTTACACTACTTTACCTACGACAGTGTTTTAATTACTAAAAATCACTACTTATAACTTCTAAGAGAGGTTATGTTTTAGTTTATAACCTCTCATTGACACTGTCAGTGATGCAACGAAACATTGTACCAAACACTAATTGCACCACTCAACAATTAAATTGGCTTGAACAGCTGATTAGTTGAAGTTCGAATAGTTACAATTTTACTTCTTCTCTCTCAATCCTTGAACCTCATTGGTCCGTTACCCGTGTTGTTATGAGTAAAACTATGCTGTTATGAAAGTAAACAATACTGTTATGTGAAACTTTTCAATTCTAGGAACTGAACTGAAACGGCTACTTTAAAAAACGGCTGCAGGTAAAATAGTTTCTTAAATGTTGTTTCAATTAAGTATTCATGTTAATAAAAAAGTTATCATCTTTAAACTGAATGTTTTTAGGATTTGCCAGCCTCTGAATGTATTATAGAAGAGCCGTGGGGTAACCTGTTCCTCGTCTTGGAAATGGTCGGAAGAAAACTCAACTGGGAATTGAGCGACGTATTCAGTTTGCCCATGTAAGTTAGTGTTTGTGTCTAATAACATTTACGTTACACCCTATTAATATGAGTATAACAAGAGCCTCGTCCTATTTCAGCCTTATTACACGAGGTAGCCTTGTGACGTTACCAGTGACAGTAGCTGGCGACACACTGGATACCAAACCTAGTTGCCAGAATTTTTCTAGATTTACAGCCAGTTCTAGATTTACAGCCAGTGGCGACCGTTGTGGCGATGGGGCTTGGTAGCCAGTCGGTCGATAAAATGTTGCTACGTCGCTGGCTACCTTCGAGTAATAACATCCATAAGAATCAATGCCCCATGACAGACTGAGTAGCCAGTTAGCTGGTGTAATAAGGGCCTTAGATAACATGAAGCCTATTTTGATGTGTTTCACATATAGCTACTCTTGGGAGACCTGGAGTAAACTAATTTTTACAGTGTATAATGTACATTAATTAATATCTATGGCTGAGAAATAGCTTAAGGTGGATAGTTTTATTAGTGATCCATTCAGGACTATCAGGTTGTATCAAACAGTCAAGTTTTTTGTTTCTTATAATTAATTTTATCTGCCGAAAAATTGTCAATAGTTTAAGTTTCAAGAATACTGCTGGACCTAACATATTAGATAGTCGCAAGTGTGTTTTGACTTGCTACAATTTTTTTCAAACGAGGTTTTGATTTCTTCCTCAAGCCATGTTTTCAGCTAATCTTTAGCAGCTGATGCTGATTTTGGATTGAATTTAATATTGACCTGGACTTAGTTTAATATAATCAGTATTATGTAATTCTGTGACATATTTTATTAAACTACATTCTCACAACTATCTACTTAATCTACTATTCTTAATTAAGTACAGGAGTTACGACTAGAAAAGGTAAGTACGAAACTAACAAACTGCAAAAGTATTAAACTAAAACTCCTGTACTTTGAGATTAAATCGGTTATGTTATATTTATTGATGGTTAATTTCTATGATTTATTTTTCAGAAACAAAGAGTTGGTCTGGCAAAAGATTGTCCTTTTCCGACGTCAATATGTGGACCAGCCTAAAAGTGGACAACAGCTGTTATATTGTACCATTCTACTGTTTTTGTACTGCCTTCATGATTACTGCACAGCTTTGGATCCTGGTTTGTAGAAATAAATGTTAACATTATATTAGGAGTTGTGTAACTCAATGTTGATAGGGAGATAGGGCCTAGATTTACTAAAGTCTGCAGCCCCACCAAAAATCCTTGTTTGATGAGTTTGTTTGAGCTTGGTGGTCCAACTAATGGCTGACTGGTATAGTACTTGCAGTTCTACCTCGTGCAAATCAAGTTTTTCACCAACGGCCCTGTGTGTCTCTGTAAATTGTTCAGATAACTTGACCTTTCACAGTTTGCTTGAATAATGAATGTTGGCCTGTTTTACAGTGTCAGGCAGTTCGATGGTGTTAGTGGAGGGGGTTGTGGCATCTGACCCAGCAGCTGTAGGAGCCGATGGTCCGCCCGCTAAGATGCGTAAACTCGACCCAGAAGATCTCACCAACACACACTGGACGGTTGGCGACACTGCCCAGTCATCTGTTATTGCCAACTTCATGTTCGCCTACCAGTGCTGGCAACTACTGTACAGCTGTGACTATCTGGAGAGAGGTAAGTGGCAAATGAGAGTGTGAAATCCAAATTTGACTGCTCTCCTTGAAAAGCGTTTGATCTTAGTGTAATTTTCAGAGTTCGCCAAGTTGACTCAGACCCTCGGACTGGAGCCGTGGATCTCAGGTTTCCTCCAAGACGTGACTCTGTACCAGGGTAGTCACGAGGAGTGTTTGCGGATGTTAAACTCACACGAGACATCACGCAAGACCAGCCTGCGACTAGCATCCACCCACTTCTTCCTTGGGCAATATAGTGTGAGTGTCATTGACTTACTGTAGCCTGAACTTTATGGGAACAAAACATCTCTTAATAGTAATATTAATACAGATGAAACATCATCTAGGTCATCATTTTTAAAAACTAAAAAAAAAATTAGTTTTATAGAGAACGAGAAAAAGCGTAAATATTTTTTTACATTGAGAGAGAGATGATAGATATACATATTACCTTAGAAAGTACTCCTTTCCTGGCTGCTAAGAAAGGCTTCATCAGAAAAAATAGATTAGCCGTATTGAAAAAAGTCATCACCCTTTAGAAGGCAAACTATCAAGTTTAATGTGTAGTTTTTTAACTGTTTACGTACTATTAAACTACCTGGGTTATTTTTTATATTATTCAGTTATACTGTACTGTATATACTGTGTATACTGTATTTCTTCTTCCTTGATGTATTCCCGAGCCAAGTACAAATGGTCAAATTATCGTCTGTTCTGTTTTAGTTATATGGTTTTTGGTATTTGGTAAGATTTTGGTATGATCGGTGGTGTAGTCGTAAATTTTCTAGAGTGGAAGGGAATGCTTACCATTGTTTAGAAAAAGAACTTGGGTCACCTATTAACATATGGTTTTTGGGAAAAGCTGAATGGGGACGCTGTTCCCACCACACTACACCACTGTGACCTTTTGCAGGCCTTATTTTTGGCTTTTGGAATAGAATTTTCCCAAATAACCTACCTGAAATCTAGATCCCATTTCAATGCATACATAAAGGTAGAAACAAATTGTTTACATCATTGTGAAGTGACATAATACTAGTTGTATATTCAAGATCACAATCAGTATTGTAGTTAAAAATATACCAACAAAATAATTCACCAACAAAAATAACAAGCTGTTGAAAGTGATGTAATGCCACTTTGTCACCACAGAAGATGCTGGACAACATCCTCTCAGCCAACTCTCACTGGCCGCCCCACTCTCCCCCCGGCACACTGTCTACTGCGGGGCTGCGGGACGGCAAGAAGAGGCATCTTCACTTCCTACCTTTGAGACGACTGCCTGTTCTGCAGTATTGCTGCAAACTGCTCATACAAGCATTGCGGGTGAGTGTCCATACGTACATGTGCTTGTTACTATTTTATAAGCATTACAAGTTTTCTAGTCCGTTCACAAAATTTAGGTGGTTTAAGGGAAGTTTTTCTTGGTTCCCCCACTACTTTTTTCTAAATGGTCGTTACAGCTGATGGATGCTTTGAGCTTATTACCCCTGTCTAGCTGTTGTTTCAAAGGTAGGGTAAGGTGGAGGGGGGGATTGCTTCCCCTACAACAGCCTATAGTTTGTGAATGGAGTACCAGTAGTAAGTTTACCCTAAGAAATTGTGTAATGTAGACTTGGTTATGAAGGGCAACTCAGTAGAGGCATTCCTAGGCTTAGTCCAAGAAGGTAAGGTAGGAAGAAGAGACCTTTCTCCCCTTAAAATAATGTTTTCAAGTTAAAATAAGTTTCAGTTATGTTTTAAAAAAGGCTCTAGGACAGGATTTTGAATTGCAGAATAAAGGGAGATAGCAGCTCGCTACCTTAGAAGAAATACAGGCCATAGAACACAGACGAGACAAAAATCACACAATATTTTGTACCCAGGACTTTTTCAAGTGTAGGGAAAGAGAGTTCACAAAATGGTTGAACTCTATCACAGACAAAAAGAATTAAATATAGACTGTCAGCCGTGCTGGTGTTACCATAAGTTCTGGCGCACACTGCTGTGAGCGCAATGTAGTTACAACGTACATGCTACGTAACTACACGGCGCTCCCAGCGGTGTGCGCCAGAAACTCTCTATGCACTAGACGAAGTCCCCTTGGACGAAATATTGTGTTTTACATGTCTTCTCTGTGTTCTATGGCCTACCTGTGTTATCTCTAAGGTATACTAGCTGCTATCCCCCTTAAATGAAGTTCCAAACTGTTTCCAAACAATATATGTAAAATAATATGGATGATTGAAAAATCTCCTGATTGATTTTCTGTATTATGTTAGAGCTGCCACAGAAAATCTGTTGTGTATAATATATCAAAAAGCGTTTGTGGCCACTCACAATAATCCAATGAAGTTAAAGCCCTATAACAGTTGTCTTGCGACTTCAAGGAAGATGTTCTTGTTCCTTCACTTGTGTTGGTAAATACTGTGTTTGTCAGAGGAACCTGGTGACCATCTCCATGGAGTGTGACCTCGCCATGGGTCACATGTTGGTGCTGATGCAACTGGACTGGCCTCAACACGAAGCTCTGCAGGCTGAGGTCATCAAGAGGATCAGGATCAGGAGTATGTATACTGCTGGTGTCATAGCTGTCTTAAATATTTATTACTAGCATTGACTATTGGATACAGAAGAAGACATCCCATCTATATGGATCAGCTGTCGGCAATTTTTTACTAAAAAAGAATGTAGTTGTGTGAGCCAGTCACAGATTGTGCTAGTGTCTAAAACTCTATTTTGTACCTTATTTTTCGTTACTGACATAGTTGCTGGATCACAGTTGCTATAGCTATAGCTCATAATAAGTCATTCCATCAGTTTGACTTGGTAAAAACCGTCATGTAATCGGCAGAAATCAGTACAGTAGACTCCCTCTTATCCGGACACCTTTTAACCGGACATCGGTTTAACCGGACTACACTCGGCGGAAATGACATCTCTTTAACCGGACAATTTTTATCAGCACATTGGTTTAACGGGACTAGATCGGCAGGAAGTGGGCAGTACTGAAACGTCTGTTCTCGTGGGAATGATTTGAGACCAGTGATAACGTGTCTTAATACAATGCTCTCCTAAATTTAAGTCGAATATCACAGTAAACAGTCCGTTTTAACGAGTTTTTGGGGACGTCGGTTTAACCGGAAAACTTGTTATCCGGACAGGCCTCGGTCCCAAGGAGTCCGGATAAGAGGGAGTCTACTGTAATTTAGATCAGCGAAATCTGTAGGTGGCTCACATCAACTAAGACAAATTTTATTAAAAACCTGGCAACAACTTTAACATGGGGATGGAATGTCTAGTTGTTGTATTAATAGTCAAAGGTACTAGTAAACCTGTGATGGCTTTGCTCACGAAAATTTAAATTAAAAAGCTACAGTAAATGTTTAATCTGATAGGTCAAATATATTAAAACTAATATTAATATTTACTAATTATACATCAACCCCTTTCATGCTAAATGTTAGGCTTAAAGTTGAGATGTACCATATAAACAAATGTGTTTTACCTCCATCAGGAGCACAACAAATATTTACACCAAAAGCCAGGAGAGGTAAATTTCATCCTTTAAGCTCATTAGTATTATGTGTGTCCAGGTAGCTTCACGTATGCTTTGTTCACCAAGTACATTGTACTACCAGACATCGTGGATGACTTTATGTTGCTCTCCACAGAGAATGTATCTCTTGACATTCTGCCTCCCTCCTCCAACCAGATGCTCAAGTAAGTGCTGTCAACACAACAAATAATATGGTGGAGAACAGTTTGATTCTTTTAACTTTTGACCTAGATGGGATAGTATTTTAACGGAATAGTATAATATATGAAGTAGCAAGTTGTTTACTATTTTAGTGTCTTCTCAGTGGTAAGTGTGCTTGCATAATGATCAATTCAAGCCATCCTTGATCGTAGGGGTCCAGTGGTGCTTACTGAAGAAACAGCTGATCGTAGTCAGTAATAAAACTTCATAGATCTTCTTATTTAATTGTACTAGTGGTCGTCTAGTGGTCGAAAACTCGACCAAAAACATGTGATGTACACAAATTGACTATTGGATACTGAAGTAGACATTCCATCTATATAGACCAGCTGTCGCCATTTTTTAATTAAAAAACATGTAGTTGTGTGAGCAAGTCAACGAATGCGTTTCTTAAATTCTATTGTCTACCTTATTTTTTGTTGCTGACAAAGTTGATGGGTCATAAGAGTTGCTATAGCTCATAATAAGTCATTCAAACAGTTTGACTTAGTAAAAAACATTGTGTATTCAACAGAAATTAATCATTTAGATCAGCGCAATCTGTTGGTGGCTCACATCAACTACGACAAATTTAATTACAAAACTGGAGACAACGTTAACATGGGGATGGAATGTAGAGGTAGAACAGGCTTCTCTATTTTCACTCCACGCTGTAAATAAAACATGTGATTGGATTTTCTTCTATTTGTTTTGATTTTCTGTTTATATTTCGTTGTTATTTTGTTACCAGCATGGCACCCCATAAAGCCCATGTTAATTTTTTTAAATTCCAAATTCATTTTTTGTGCTTATATTTGAGCCTATTTTAGTTGTCAAAGGGATTCTGCACTTCTACAGGAAAATATCTTTCTAACGGTATGCGTAGATTTTCTCTGTGATGCACATGAGCTGAGAAAAATGGTTTTAAAGAAACATGCTTGCCTATTAATATATAGATAGATAGATACTCTCACCCTGTAGCTTAAAATATATAAATGTATACATTAAGTGTTAAGCGACAAATCACTACACACACAATAAACTATCTGAATGTAAACTCCTCTGAAAATTAACAAGTTATTTCAAAATTTAGTATCGTAATCGTCATTTGACGCATTGATGAAGAACGATTAGGTTTTTGATAGAAGGAATCAACAATCAATCAACAGAAACATGAAGACTAGCATTTATGTGTTAAAAAGCGTTGTAATATCAACGAGGAAGAGCCACCATTAAAGTGCTTAAAATTATGACTTTTTAAACACAACTTTGTACAAATTTCTGAATCATTCTCTTCCCTAGTGTTTATTTTACAACCCTCAGATCCCCCGTGGTTGTTGTGAAAATAGCCTAATTAAAGTGTTTTGCTTCATGCCATGCATTTGCCAAGAACTGCTCTGTGTCTAATATTTTAGCTGCCCTTATTGGACTATACAAAGTTTTGAAAACGCTCAATCTTATCAAGTTAAACCGTCTCTGTACAAGATTTGAATCTGTCAAAAACCTCTGGGTGTTGTGTATTATTTTAATTACCTATCAGCATTTACTCATTTCAATTTCACAAACTTTGTCCAGCCACAGGCGCATTTCAACGAGAGGAGTTGATAAGGGCGCTAAGGAAGATTTCAAACTAGCAATGAAGAGACAAGTGGCGAGAAGTGTCGAGCCTATCGACGGCATCATCACCTCGTTTCTGACTGAACAACGAGATCTCATCAACCACAGCTTATCTACAAGTCAGCCATGAGGTGAAGAAGAATTTGCGTATCATGTACATAGAGAACCTTCAGATTATGAGCAAATTGACTTTTCTGTAAGTTTTAATCTATTAGCCCACCAACATATACATACATTTCTCCTGTTTCAGTTATTTACAAATCTAGGTATTGTCTCTGAGGCCTCTTCCATCTTTTTCTATCCCTTCACAGTTCCCCTGCTTCTTCTATATGCCATCAGTCTCCTTTCTTCTTCACATCCGTTTTCATCTTATTTATCCACCTTCTTCTTAGTCTTCCTCTGCCTCCTTCCTTCCTCTGCCTCCTTCCTTCCTCAACTCTTTTTTCTTAGGAATTCTCTCTTGCATTCTTCTTACATGCCCAAACCATCTTGCTTTTTTGCTGTAAACCCATGTCTTAATTTATACATTCCTGGCTCCCATTTTACTCTTAATAGTAACCAAAACTCTTATCAACTCTTAATGACTTTTTTTAAATCTCTTGAAAATCCTATGAAAGGCTAGCGAGCATATACATATCTAACATCTTAAAATGGTTAAACAAATTTGGACTAGTTTGAAGATTTATTGGATAAAAGTTCTTTACTACCTACCAATAAATAATAAATTTTTCTAAAAATCTCAGCAATAGACAACAATAGACTAATAGAACAATAGAATAATAGACAGCAATTCTTTGTCTTATTATTAGATCTTATGGTTCAGATTAGCAATAAAAACAATTACAATTGAAATAATGTGGAGTTTCAGATCATTAATACTTGACCAATCGAGAGCTCCTACAGAAGTTAACTACGCACAGAGATATGTGACGTAAGGGCTTTGCCAAAAATGCCCCGTGGGCCAAACTTCAAGCTAAGTACTGTACAACATGGATAGTTTGATTAATTTTAAAACTCACTGTAAGTATTAACGATTTTGTGAATTGATTGTATATGTATATAAATGTGTCTAACTGTATATTTTGTATTATATACAATTTTAGAATCACTGCGTGCTTGTATTTTCCCCTCTAGCATACATTTTTTTTTATAGTTACATGTTTTACCACAAGTTTCAGATCATCAAAGGAAACAAACAAGTAAATTAACGGACATAGGCTTTTTCTCAGTATGTTTATTATTACAACAATGGCAGTAGAGTAGCAGTCAGTGTTAAAAATAGAAGGTATATAATTCTAAATATTCTATTCTAAATGCAAAATTTAGCACCAATTTTTTAATGCAAGCATCAAATACCAATCCTTTGCTTTTTTCATAATTTTTGCTACTGTATCTCTTTACTTAAAATAAATGTGTGAAGAAGACTTCTTAATATTGACGTACCTAGTTTTTTTTGTCTCAATTTTCCTACACTATTTGATTTTGGTGCCTGGATTTGAAAAATATTATATTTTTGTTGGGATGGTGTATGGTATCTTACAACAATATCCTCTCTCCGTTAGTTAGAGATTTTATGGTGGCGTAAACAGTCTTATTTAAATAAATGTCATGTTAAAATAATTCACAGCACTTATATTTTGTTATTTGATGTACGATTGGCAACAATGACAATAAGCTTACCCAAGCAAAACGTTTGCTAAACAATCAACAGTAAATTATACCTTATGTATGCCTTTGTAGTTTGAAGTCATTAATCACGTTTTATGTTATTTTGGGTAATATTGTGTTCACTCATTGAAATTTACTATAGTTCGGCCGCGTAGAAAGCGACCTCTTCCAGCATTGGTTTGCATTAGCATTAGCGCGCAGGTCGTTTTCTAAGCGGCCGAACTATAGTAAAATAGTTAATCTAACTGACTTACAAACATTGCATAATGTTTTAACCTTACTGCATTGATTAAATATCCCAGACAAACTATAACCCTTGTGCTTTATAAATGAATGTCTGATTTTCATTTTTATTCCACCTTTTTCTTTGTTTTTTAACCTAAAGTTATGTTAGGTTTTTGTTCTATTTGAATGAGCAAGACTTAAGAACATTTCAATATAAAATGGGAATTTGAGTAAATAATAAACCGCACCAAACAATACAACTAGAAAACACTAGAAAGGCATACACAAGCACTAACAAAAATTTTAATTCACAACAAATAGTGTTAAAGAAAACAAAATAACTTACAGCTAAATTTAAAAAATAACGTGTCCAATAACAATTAACATTACATAGATGATAAACAAAAACTAATAAAAAACTTAAGTACCTTGTATTTAAGCTACATTTTTAAGAACCATCTTAAAGTCAAGAATTAGCTTCCAAAGGTTACATAAGTGCTAGTATAAGGATTCAGATCTATTTAAAAATAACTATATTCTATGACTTTCCATATCAACTCTGTTATACATTTTTTTTTTGTAAAAATAAACTATAAAAATAAATACTTGACTGGCATAAATCTTGGCTGGTTCAAAAATTTCACCAAAGTTTCACCATTTATGATTACACAACATATAAAAAGACTTATAGAGAAAACATGTGCAAAACAATAAAATGTCTGATGAAGATAGTGATGATGGTTAGTGGTTGATTGTTCAATGTTTAGACGCCTCTGTACGAACGATAAGCCAAAATTGTGCTGGCAAGGTACAACAGCGAAAGAACCACTCCCAGAATCTGGAGAAAATACAACACACGTTCATTAGTAATTTAATATGATTTTACAAACAACAGTTTCCAAACATAAATTGTATTATTTAAATGTTGTTGTTTCAATCTATGTTTATGACTCCAGACGATTGTTTTCCTGGATATTTTTCATAAAATTGTTATAAATCAATTTAGATACTATCTTAAATTAACTGGAGATGTTTTATAAAAGTTGAGTGTTGTTGGTTTAATATTTCACATCTCTGATTTTGGTGTCTGAGTGATAGATTCGAGTCTTGGCCCCAACATATCCACAGACAAAACATACCTTCTCAGGCGTAGATACAAAAACCAAGGTTTTTTATGGTCGGTTGGGTGTGAAATTTTATCAGAGTACTCGCACAGATATATGGAGTAGCGGTCCCAAAGGGGGGAATCCCCCCAAAATTTCAGAGTGGATCTCCTGCCTAATATTATAGGGGGTAATTAAATATTATGTTTGGTTTTTAATCTTAAATGTATTTATAATACATACAATATTTAAAAGCTGAAATGTGGTAAGACAACAGTACTAAGATAATGCTGGTGGCGAGTCTCTAAGTACGCTTGGATTTACATTACCAAACTAGTAGTCAATACTTTTCTATGAAGTAATGGAAAGGAAAGATGGGCAGATAGGTGGATGGATGAGGTGGATTGTACCATAGAGGAATACCATTGTAAGGTATAGAGGAGACAAGATTTCTGAAGCTTATGGGACGACCGTGCACTTTCAACTCTAGTAGGCCTATGTGCTGTGAATCTACTTGTGACAAGCGAGGAAGATCTCAAGCAGCAAACACTGCGCGGAAATTCCTATTGCACAGGGTCTTCCTCTACCATGAGCATTGCAAGGGTGAGGGACAATGTGTGAGGGTGAGGGAAGTGGTGTTGGACTTTGCCCTAGACACCACTTAAGTGTACCATTGAGTGTTTCCTCTGTATCTTACTTCTCTATTATACAGGGTTATTCTAAATGAAGGACCCATTTTTAACGCTTTATAATTTTTATACTATTAAACTTACCGCTATAAAATACACATCAAACGAAAAAGCAACTCAAAGAGTTTATGCCTTCCAAAGACACATCATTTAACAATATCGATCCAACAGAACTTTAGATTTAATTGTACAAAGTTAAAAAGTAATCTCCAACTTTTTTACCACTAGAAATTTGGAGGTTACTTTACGTTTTTGCAAATAACTATTAAATGGTGAGGAAATCGACCAAAGTGGAAGGTAATATTCCGAAAGAGAATAAAATTTCCTACAATCTACTATTATGCATATCTTGGAAATGCGCAATAAATGTAGCCTAAATTTGGCTTAAAATAAAAAAGTGTGAAATTTAATGTTTGCTATGTTTATTGTCTACAATTGAAGATGGGGATTTTAATTTTTTTTTTATTTTGAGGCAGTTTTTGGTACTTTTCTTGAGTATTTTCAAAAAATGCATAATATTAGATTGTAGGAAATTTTATTTTCTTTCGGAATATTACCTTCCACTTTGGTCGATTTCCTCACCATTTAAAAGTTATTTGCAAAAACGTCAAGTAACCTCCAAATTTCTAGTGGTAAAAAAAGTTGGAGAATACTTTTTAACTTTGTACAATTAAATCTACAGTTCTGTTGGATCGATATTGTTAAATGATGTGTCTTTGGAAGGCATAAACTCTTTGAGTTGCTTTTTCGTTTGATGTGTATTTTATAGCGATAAGTTTAATAGTATAAAAATTATAAAGCATAAAAAATGGGTCCATCATTTAGAATAACCCTGTAGTACAATTTTTGGATGAATGGACACAAGCTAGTTGCATGGATGGATTGGATTTAGGGAGATAACATTTGAATACATACCCCAGCTGTAGCGTAAGGGTGTTCGTCATTCCTGCGTCCTTGGACAAAGTATAGAATTAGGGTGGCCAAGTACAGCAGAAACGCTATGCCGTGGAAAATAAACTCCTGTAAAGGAACAAAAAAACTTCCATTAGTACCAACAGTTGTATTCTATTGAAAATGTTTCTTTCCTGAATATCTGCATAGTAGGTCGTTAATAAAAAAATTCTGTTTATTGTTTCCAGGCTCAAAAATAGATAAATTATCGTGAAATTCATTACTAATGATTTGCTCTGAATCATCAGTTGTAATTGAGTGATATGTACATTTAACTAATAGTCTTGAAAGTAATTCATTTCAGGGCGTGATAGTGGTTTACAACTGCGACAAAGCCAAGCGCGGAAACATGAAGTAATCCTTTACTATTCTATGTCGTACACTACATGGACCCTTACAATTTGTAGGAAATCAACCAGTGAATTAAACATTAGGAGAAAACATCAGTCATGCTCCTAGAAGGAAGTGTAACTTGTTTTCTTAACAATTGCCCAAACACCCAAAATTCTATATTAAGGTTTAAATCCAATTTTGTTTGAGAGTTGTTCCAGATTTAATTCAAACTTCATCCATTTGGTTGGACTTTTTAATTTTTTTATAATCACTGCTGTAAAAGCAATATGTAACACAATACTGTACTTACAAACAGTGTCTTTGCGATGATTGAAGAGGTTCCAAGTGAGAAGAGACAGGCAGCAAGAAGACAGAAGCTGCCGAAGAAACAAGCGAAGGAGACGAGATAAAGGTAGAGATGGCTCGTGATGGAGGAATGGAAGAAGAGACGGAACTCGTCGGAGTAGACAGTGATGAGAATGAACAGAGCCAGGCCTAGCAGCTGGAACAAACGAGACAAATGTGAAATATTGACACTTCCGAACATCTTCATGTTATTATAACTTCCGAGTTGTTAGTTGTGTGATTTTTGGCTTTTGAAAAATGCTCCTGACGAGTAGGATGATCTTAGTCAGCAGCCTGTTCCCTTACAAAATGTAAAAAAACCAATAGCGTGGATACTGATGAGTGTACGTAATTTAAAAAACCCCGTATACTGTAAGTACATTGATATACACGGGGGGACACAAATAATACTGTACACAAAAACATTATTATGAGCTGATGTTGTAAAGAAGCAAATCCAGCAAAAGTTAAATTGGCCTTTCTATACAAATAGAACTCAAGACACCAGTCTCATATTCAAACCCCATCAGGAAATAATTTGTTTGTATCCATGCATTGACTTCTAGATACTGAATTAGACAACCCAGCCTCTATATGGACCAGCTGTAGCTAACCTTTCATTAAAAAACAACATAGTTGTCTGAGCCAGTCACAGAGACCTGTAGTACCTTCTATTTTCTACCTTATTTCCTGTTGCTGAGGTAGTTGATGAAACTGCAGCAACGGGAGTAGAATGTCTAGTTGTATCAATAGTCAAAGATTTAAGATACCTTCCACTTCAATGTTGGCGAGAGTTTTTCATGTTTTGTTGAAGAAAGAACTGCCTAAAAGTTTGTTATGAATTTCACATTAAAAGTTTTTAAAAGTCATTCCTTCAGTAAAGTAGAAAACCTACTCACAGACATTAACTATGTGGGTTCTATTCCAAGAAAGCATAAATGCACTTTTTATGTGCTTTCGCCATGAACTGGCTGGATAAACTAGCTGAGTGGTTGTAGTGCTCGCATAACAATCAAAAGTTCGATCCTGAGAAAAGTCAGTAGCTTTTTGATGGTTCGAAACTGGACCCAGTTGTACCTGATTATTGAGCTGTAAATAAATTATCCTGGCTAATAACAGCTGGTCTTAGTCCGTAACAATGCTAGACAGATCATCTCACACCATTCTACACAAATATTTTTGCGTTAAAATAAAATACGCAGCCAGGTGGCACCCCAATCTCAACAATTGATAATTGAATAAATTTATTCAATGCTATCACTATAAGGCGGGTTACACACCGGTGTCGCGGATATTATGTCGCCGATATTTCTGATGTCGCGGACATGATGTCTGCGACATGTAATAAAATGCAACCATGGGAGAAGGGACACGTGCTGGCGACATGAGAGGGAATCAGTTCAGTTTTTCATCAGTTTCAATAATGTCATCCTCTGAAGAAGATGGTGTGTTGTTGCTGCTGATGCTACGGAGACGAAGACGACGACGAAGAGTAAATATGAGAAGAGCGTTCTAGACATATCCTTATTGGAAGGATAATCAGTTGTCCAGTCAATTCACATTGACTCTAGTATAATATAACCACCACTCGAGTAAACCCACCACTCAACTCACAAAACAAAACAGAAGTACCAAGACCAAGTGACAGCGCCGAAACTACTAGAAACGTGTTCTGCGCATGCGCGGGCCCAAGAGACACGAGACATGTCTGTCCAAACACCGACCGGTTGGTTCGCTCGAGACACGCGTCTGCGACACGAGTCGCAGACAACGTGTCCGCGACACTGGTGTGTAAAGCTCCATAAGATAACATAGGTTGGTTTTCGAGGGGCATGTCGCGGACACGAAAAATATCGGCGACATCATATCCGCGACACCGGTGTGTAACCCGCCTAAGGCTGTCATTGTTGCTTCAAATTGTTGTCCAACTTTAACTGTAATAATTTGTTTGCTAGACAAAAAAGAGACTAATTAAAGTTATCCAAAACAGGTGTAGACCATTAGTAAAATAATCAAGTTAAAGATTGAAAGAGTGAAATAAACAATAAATCAACGTCACAACACTGGGGTGAAAAATAAAAGTAAACACTTGACTTAAAGTAATTTATTTTACAAAATATAAAGGATTTCAGGCCACAAAGTTACAAAGGCAATAGCCACAAACACACATTGACGTAATGCTAAGCCTTGGAGAAATAAGGATAGTAGAGAGAACTTCTAATGGTTTTTTTAATTTTAATGTATACTTAATCTGTGAATAACATAAATAAAACAATGAGAGACTATACTCCCTCCAAAAAATTTAGGCGGTTTAAGGGGAAGCTTTCTTATAGCCGCTTGTATTCCTGGTCAGAAACCGATGAGAACCTCTTAAGCGAAGGAGTGGGGAGCGTGACGTCACTCTCTTCTCTTGAGGTAACACCATTACCGCAACGATACGAACTGCAGCCATTGGTGTTCGTGGCAAAGTAGATAAAGTATTGGGTTGGTGTCCATGAGGTTTCCAGATCAAATCCCTTTGGTGACACTAACCTTTTTGTCAAAAATTTTGCTTAGAATGTGATTACTTCTTAACTGTACATCTTTTGTTAGAATTTGAGAAATTTATAATTTTCTTTTATAAACAAAACTATCTTTTTCGATTAGTAAACTTTCATTCAATTTTTATCTTATATCTGTTTTATATTATCAGCAAGTTTGGTTGGTTAGGTTAGGTTAAGACTCCTTCGCAGAAGAGGTTCTCATCAGTTTCAGTTTTCAGTTTCACCTGAGACGCTAGTAAGCTTTCTTGGGTTCCCCCATCACTTTTAGCGTAATTTATATATCAGCTGTCAGTTGTTCTTTTAAAGTTAGGGTGAGGAGGAGGGGTTGGAATCGCTTCCTCTCAACCCACCTATATTTTGTGAACGTATAGAATAAATGTCCATTTTGACATACTGTTGAAGTAAAAAATACTGTCATTAAAAGAAGCCCTCCCTTAGCACCTTAGCACTCTGTAGCTAAAATTTATGTTGATACAACGATTGTGTGAGTAAGTGACTCATCAAGTAGGTAAATCTAAGGTATATGATATACTGTCATCAGACTAATATTCATTCCCCAAGGAAAGTGAGCCAAGTTTAGTGAGTCGGTGGCTCAGTCGGTAGCGTCGCGGACTTCGGTCCCAAGGCAGCGATGTCGTGGGTTCGGATCCTGGTCACTGCCGATAACATTTTATCAGTACAGTTCACCTTTGTACTGTACCGGCTCACTCCTTGCTTTGCTGTTAACGATCCACGCACGGGCGCTTAGTCTATGTGGACGGGCAAATGCAAGGTTAAAAGAAAAAAAAAAAAAAAAAAAAAAAAGGCCAAACAGAAAAGTTTAGATTTTGATTATTTTGATTGCTTCCTCTACAGCTGATCCAAGCGAAGCGTTGATATTGTTGTTTGAATAGGTGACTTCAGTTCATGGAAGTCAGAGTTCAATTCTTTTCAGACACAATATAATTGGTCATTCATCAAGCGTCCTCATTTTTCAGAGTTCAGTTAGTAAACAAAAAGTATGGTTCTCTTTTTGGAAGGCAAATCAATCTCTAAACTGGAATTCTCTTTAAAAAATCCAAGGATCTGATTTTCAATTGCTTAACGTAAAATGTTATGTCATCTTAAAATTAATTAACCCATTGTACAAGTCACCCACTCACATTGAACAACTTATGCTCTTAAAAGAACACAAACCTATCTCATGGTCATGCAAAGTTGTACGTATTGTTAATAGCTGTACAATAGGTATATTAAATGAAAAAATAAATTAAAAAAATATATATGCAATGCATTTTTATTGTGAATGATTATTAATCAGTAATACACATATGAGTTGTGACACTACATCTAAAGCTCAAAACCTTTTTATAACAATATGTATATTAAAGTTAGATATTTAATTATTCTACAGTGTAGTTGATGCACATAAAGTAATTATTTAAATAGATTTTTTTTTTCAATAGACTTACATTAATATAATGAAAGAAAATATATGTAGTTAACATCTATAAATTATTAGTATTAGCATGACTAATTTTTAAATACATAAAAAATATTTTCTAAAGTGTGATTGATTAAATACTCTGCCTACTTTTATACCTCCTAAAATTTTTTAAATGTATGAAAAGAAATATACTACAGTTTATAGATATATTCAAGTTGTTAGACTTAATACTTAGGACTTTATACATTATACCTCGTAAATTTTTATCTAAGGCATAAATGCGTCCTTCATTGGAACATTTGGCAGTTATCAAGCAATAAATATAAGTAAAATAGGAAGACATTTTTAACAAATTTTGATTTGATTTGAGAACAAATCAGTTGTGTTTGATGAACAATTGTTCTCCTGTAAAAAATATATATTTATTAGGAATAATTTATTAATAATTAGGATTATGACGCAACTGTGATACTAAGAAATCTTGGTAAAAAAATACATTGTGCCAATAACAGTGTATTTTTATAAGTACAATTAAAAATCCTTTAGGACATTACCTTAATATAAAATTATCATTATAAATAATCAGATCTTAAATACTATACACATTAAGCACTTTAAAATTACAATATATTAAAATATAAACTAAGTTTTATGAGACAAAAATAATAACCAAAATAGGTCGTTAATCTCTCAAGGGTATTCTGAATGATCCTAGTCAAAGACTACACTTACACCCTTGTTGATTAATTATCCACGTAAATAAGCTTAAGACATGAAAAGTATATTTCTAATACAATAAAAAATACTAAAGACAATAAGTATATTTCTAAATTTTAATGAGTGTATTTTGATGCTTAATATTTCTTGTTATATAGTAAACAATACCAAGAATAGGGACTATCATTTAAAAGTACCGGTATGTAATGAATTTTGCATGTTAAAAAATAATTCAAATTAAACTAATTTTCAGTAAATAAAAATTCTCAAAAATAATATTAAATTTGTGATGACAAATTATTTTAGAAGTTTGGTATTCTATAAAAGAAGTTGCAGTTTTGATTTTGGATGGATGGATGATTTGTTTAAGGTCCTCTGTAGGATCGGTAAGCAAGGATCGTGCTGGCAAGGTACAAAACCACCATGATCAATCCCAGAACCTGGAAAAAACATTTGAGATAGTTAGGAAAA